GTTACTGCAAAACCTGGGTTTCCTTATCAATTGAGAAAAATCTATTTTGACACCGGCTCAACATATCGAATTCCTGGAACTAGTGATCGATTCAACCTCACAGAAGTTACATCTTCCAGCATCACAATTGCTAAATATCAAAAAAGAAATCAGATGCACATTGGCCGTTCCCCAATTCTCCCTCAAACACTTGGCATAAGTCATCGGACTCCTGGCAGCTTCCATCCAGGCCATATTCCCAGGCCAGCTCCACTACTGAGCTCTTCAACGGTTACAAGCCTCTTACATCAGAGGCGGGGCATCCTACGAATACATAGTGACATTAGACAGAGAGGCGAAAGACAAGCTTCACTGGTGGCTCCTCCACATGGAAGCGTAGAATGGACGTGCTATCTTCGGAACAACCCCAGACCTGCTTATAGAATCGGACGTGGAGATACCTGCAAAGGAGGCAGATGGTCGGACCTGGAAACGACACTGCATATCAATTGCTTGGAACTTCTGGCCGGATCCTTTGCAGTACGCAGCGCATATCCGACTCACTTTTCTGCACAATTCTATTGAAGATGGACAATGTTTCCACAGTCAGATACATCAACCATCTAGAAGGCACGAAATCCAAAGTTCTGGTGAACATGGCACGCTATTTCTGGCAATTTTGCCTTATGCACAATGTCTTGGTGACAGCGGAATATATTCCCGGCCTCTCCAACACCACAGCGGATTGATACTCCAGACATCTCAAGGACTTCAGCGACTGGGGTCTGGACCCCTTGACATTCAGGAACATTAAGTACACTCTGGGAATAGATCTTTTTGCCTCTCGTTTGAACGCTCAACTCCCTTGTCTTTTCAGTTGGAGACCAGATCCTACGGCTCTAGCAACGATCGCCTTCTCTCAAGATTGGGCCACGGAGACAAATTACGCATTCCCCCTGATTGCACTGATTCTCCATTACCTTTCACAGCTGCGTCGCCGAAAGGGCACGTTTGTACTTGTGACCCCACTATGGCTGTCACAATCATGGTTCCCTCATCTATTGGAAATGGTGATAGACTTTCCCCACCTTCTCACATTGTACGATTCTCTCTTCCAGGATCCGAACGGACAATTTCACCCCTTAATTCCTCAGGGTCTCCTTCGACTTATGGCTTGGCTGATTTTAGGGGACCTTGGTCAATTGAGGGCGTTCCACAATAAACTCTCAGACTTCTCGAGAATGCATGGGCACCCGGCACGAGACAAGCTTATAAATCTGCTTGGAATGCATGGAATGGCTGGTGCTTGGGAAGAAATCTGGATCCCTTATCGGCTCCTTTGACATCCATTTTGCAATTTTTGACTTCCCTCTTTGAAACAGGGAAATCGTACCGCACAGTTAACCATTACCATTCGGCACTCTCTGCTGGACATCAAGGCATTGATGGCGCCCTCATCGGATGACATCCCTATGTCTGTCGCCTACTACCTTGATTATGTTTTTCTCGCCCTCCCTTACCTCGTTATTCTTCACTCTATTCTTCACTCTCTTAATTCTATGTTTCTCTTGTCCTCCATTTTCTAGCGTCATGGCCGTAAAATGCTTCGCCATCCCTCAAACAACTGTCGGCAAAATTGGTCGTACTTTTCTGCCTCATCTTATGCAAAAGAGTCTCTGATGTACGAGCTCTGGACACAGACGCCCCGGTCCTTTACACCGGAAGGCGTCCTCTTTGATATCTCCAGAAGTCAAATCCTCTTCTAAGTTCGTACTCTACCCGGCATTTCTGCAGAATCCTCTCCTGTGCCCAGTGGCATGTCTACGGGAATATGAACTCCATACGGCTTCGCTCCGAAATCCTATGAGACCTCAATTATTCATCTCTTTCTGGAAACCACACCTTCCAGTAACTTCTCCTTCTTTGGCCAGATGGGTCAAATGGATAATGACGTTGGCCGGCATTGATACTTCCGTATTTTCTCCACATTCTCTACGAGGAGATATGGCCTCTAAAGCTTCTGCGGTAGGATGCCGACTAGGCGATATTTTACGAGCTGCCGATTTGTCATCGGAATCTACATTTCGAGATTTTTATTTCAAGCCGATTGAACACTTTGCTGGAATGGTTATTTCACAGCTTTAAACCAGCATAATTGGAGCCACCGTGTCTTAATAAAATGACCAGATTTTACTGTTTACATAAAGTAAAGTCATGATTTTATTAATGACACGGAGGCAAGTATTATCCCTCCCACCCTTCCCTAGATGGTGCTTTAATCTGGGTAAGTTACTTACAGTAAGTTTCTTTGGTTCAGGTTTGCTCAATAGTAAGGTGATTTGTTTCAAATCTCTCATGTCTGTATACATCCCAATATGTTGAGTGAATACAATTTAACCCCTTTAGGACCGAGGACGGTTCAGGACCGTCATCTGCATTTTTGCCTTGCCGACCGGTGACGGTCCTGAACTGTCCTAACGGTCCAATGTACTTACTCGATCGCCGTCATTCCCCTGGCGGCGATCAGCGGTGCTCCCATTGTGGGGAGACTGCCTGCAGCCCAGACAGTCTCCCCATGGCGGATTAGGACCCCTTGGTCCATGTGATTGCTCAACAGAGCGATCACATGGTCACAATAGGTGTCCATGTGTCTGCCTGCAGGGGGACTGTCTGTGCTGACAGGCAGTCTCTCTGCATGTTTAAAAAAAAATAAAAAAAAAATTAAAGTTAAAGTTAATAAAAAATAATAATAATTATATATGTGTATACAAATATGATATATAGACATATATATATATATGTCTATATATCATATATATAATGTCATACTAAGTATTTTTATATTAATATGTGCATATATTAATATAAAAATACACTTATAATTAAATTACACATGTATATATATAATATATATAACTATATATATTGTATATAAATATTATTTTAAAATACAAATAATAAGTAATTTAAATTAAATAAAAACATGTAAAAATAATAATAAAAATTTAAAAAAAATATATATCTATATGAAATTTTATTCTAACTGTATTTTGATAGTAATATATATATATATATATTTATATCAAAATACACTTAGAATGAAATTGTATATATATCTATATATATATATAAATAAAAATAATACGAAATATACATATGTCCATATATAAAAAAATAGACTTCAAATATATAAATATGCATATATATTTAAATTCTATGTGCGTATTTATGTAATATTTTTACATAATTAAGTAATTTTATTGATTGCAATTTGAGGGACCTGCCTGCCAACCCAGGTCGAAAGTCTAGAGAATTTAATTTGCTAGCACTAGATTTTACGCTGTAACGTTCTATGACACCCTAAAACCTGTACATGGGTGGTACTGTTTTACTCAGGAGACTTCGCTGAACACAAATATTAGTGATTCAAAACATTAAAACATATCACAGCGATGATATTGTCAGTGAAAGTGACTTTTTTTTGCATTTTTCACACACAAACAGCACTTTTACTGATGATATAATTGTTGTGATACATTTTCCTGTTTTGAAACACTAATATTTGTGTTCAGCAAAGTCTCCCGAGTATAACAGTACCCCCCCATGTACAAGTTTTATAGCGTTTTTGAAAGCTACAGGGTCAAATATATGGGTCAAATATTTTTACATAAAGACCAGGTTGGTTACGTTGCTTTGAGAGCATATGGTAGCCCAGGAATGAGAATTACCCCCATGATGGCATACCATTTGCAAAAGAAGACAACCTACAGTATTGCAAATGGGGTATGTCCAGTCTTTTTTAGTAGCCACTTAGTCACAAACACTGGCCAAAATTAGCGTTCAATTTAGTTTTTAACTTTTTTCACACACAAACAAATATGAATGCTAACTTTGGCCAGTGTTTTCGACTAAGTGGCTACTAAAAAAGACTGGACATACCCCATATTGAATACCCTGGGTTGTCTACTTTAAAAAAAAATATGTACATGTGAGGTGTTATTCAGAGATTTATGACAGATAATAGTGTTACAATGTCACTATTGATACATTTTAAAAATGTATGTTTTGAAACCGCAATATCCTACTTGTACCTTTAGCCCTATAACTTGCAAAACAAGCATGTAAACACTGGGTATTTTTAAACTCAGGACAAAATTTTGAATCTATTTAGCAGTTTTTTTTCATTCGCTTTTGTAGATGAGTAAAAGATTTTTCAAGTAAAATCAAAAAACATGTAATTTTTTCAATTTTTCATCATATTTTTTTATTTTTTTTAAATTAAATTACATGAGATTATATAGATAATGGTATGTAAAGAAAGCCCCTTTTGTCCTGAAAAAAACAATATATAATTTGTATAGGAACAGTAAATGAGAGAGCAGAAAATTACAGCTAAACACAAACACCACAAAAGTGTAAAAAGAGGCCCGGTTGCAAATGTACAACATCACAAAAATAGTCCGGTCCTTAAGGGGTTAAATCAGATATTGCCTATTCACTTACACAGTGTTATTCTATGCATGAATCCAGTTTTTGATAATTCTTTATTTTCATTTTCGTAGATCAAGTATACAATCTTACAGAAACAATAAATGGTTAGTTAGGAAAGAACAGTGGGGAATAGCTTCTAGTTGTGCGGGGGTAAGTCTGGCATTGAAGTCTCCGAGAGAGTGTATTACAACGCCTGTGGTGGACCGGTATGTGGTGGTGTCTCGTGCGGTCTCGGATTAGGCGGTGGCCTAATTTGTAGCCAGGTATGGCTAGGGGGAGAGGTATGACTTAAGAGTCAACTGAGCTAGAGATGGTAGCCCGAGTCTGTTGGGGGGGTTGCTGTCCTGGAAAGGTTTGTTGTGGAGGGCTTAATCAGCTGAGCCCCGTGGGTGTGTTAATTTCACTGTTCAAGGGGGCGATAGGACGGGTAAGATGGGTGTGTGGGAGACTGGGGCGAGGGGTATTGTGGGAAAGAACAGGCAGGGTGGTGCCGCCCTCTTGGGTACCCCCCAACACCCTTGGTGGGGTGGGGAAGGTTAAGGGCGAAAAGTGGGGTCGAGCCTCAGATTTGCAACGTGTTGTAGGTGTGCTTGGGTGGTGTTAGTCGGTGGGATTGCCGCGGGTCACCATGGGAGGGTGTTGTTCCCCTCCAGCCATGGGTCCCACACTTTGTGGAATGAGTTGGGGGTGTCATGTATTTGTGCAGTCAGCTTATCCATGTTTACGCTGTCAGTTATTTTAGTGTGTATCTGCAGTTGGGTTGGGATGCGCGGTGTGGACCATGTTTCCGCTATTGCCCTTCGTGTGGCCAGGGCTATTAAGGCAATGAGTTTGTTTTCGTTACGAGTGAAGATGTCGATGGGTTTGGAGAGGAGAAAGGCCCAAGGGTCTAAAGGTACCGGTTTGTTAAGTAATCTGGTCAAGAGTGTGGTCAGCGTTGTCCATATGGGGGTGACTTTGGGGCAGGTCCACCAGCAGTGGAGAAATGTGCCAGCCTCGCCGTACAGTTTCCAGCATAAGTTGGTGGGGAGTTGTTGCATTGCCTTTAGGCGGAGGGGAGTGAGGTACCACCGGAAAAGCATTTTGTAGGCCTGTTCCTTGTGGGTTACACAGGTGGAGATGGATTTGGTAGCTATCCAGATGTCTGCCCAGTCAGAGGTGTCTTCAGGGGGTCCCAAGTCACTCTCCCATGCTGCGATGTATGGGAGTGCTATTTGGGTGTGATGTGTGGTTAGGGATGTGTAAAGGCTTGAGATTTGGCTCTTTCTGGCCGGTGAGTTGAGGGTGTCCCTTTCAAATCTTGTCAGGGCCGAGGTGGCTGCCAAGCGAACCGTGTCTGATGTTGCAAAACTACGGAGTTGGAGGTATCGATAGTAGTCATGGGTGTTTAAGGATTCCGGATTAGGAACCTCTGCGTATTGGAGGAGTTTACCATTGGGGTAAAGGTGTCCTAGTCTAACTATGTCTCTGTCTTCGAAGTGAGCATAGTGCCTGGGAGTAAGGCCAGGTGGGAACATTTTATTGCGGAGGATTGGGGTGAGGGGCGATAGGCCAGTAGATAGGTCGAATTTGGCGCTTAGGTGATCCCAGAGGTCCAGGGAATGGGTAATCGTTAGAGAGGTGGGAGGAGGCAGAGGTCTATGCTGTTTTGGGATCCACATGTATTGGGAGGGGTGGTCCCAACCAAAGATGAGGTGCTCTAGGTCCACCCATCTCTTGTGAGCGGGGGGAAGGTGCCAGTGCTGGATTTGTGTGAGGTGAGCGGCATGTAGATAGTGCGTGAAATTGGGGAGACCTAGTCCTCCGGAGGGTGTTGGTACATACAGTGTGGTTCTGCGGACTCTGGGCCTCCTGCCCTTCCAGAGAAATCGGTCTATTGCCGTTTGTAAGAGTTTAAGATCGTGTTTTTTACAGGGGATGGGTAGTGCTTGGAAGGCATAGAGGAACTTGGGAAGTATGCTCGTTTTAATCGAGGCTATCCTCCCGAGCCACGAGATGGTCATGGGCTGCCAACGTTCAAGGTCCCGGAGAGCTTTGTGTAATAGGGGGGGTAGTTGGCGGCATATAGGTTGTCAGTGTCATTGGTTATTTGGATGCCTAAGTATGTTATAGTCGTCGGGCAGATACGAAAGGGGAATCTGCGTTTGAGGGTGTTTATGGTGGAGGAGTCAAGATTGAGCGGCATGAGGTCTGATTTTGTAGCGTTTAATTGGTAACCCGAGATTGTTGAGTAGTCGTGTACGGTTGCCAAGAGAGCAGTTATGGACTGAATGGGGTTGGTGAGGGTCAGGAGAATGTCATCGGCATATGCAGCTACAGAGAACAGCTCGTTGCGGACTTGGATGCCTTCGATACGTGGGTTGTTACGTATGGTCTCCAGTAGGGGCTCGAGGGATATGGCAAATAGGAGGTGGGAAAGGGGGCAGCCTTGGCGGGTGCCGTTTAGTATGGGGAAGGAGGGAGGGGTGATGTTGGGTATTAGCAGTTGCGCTGTTGGCGAGTGATACATTGCTTGTAAAAATTGAATAAATTAGGGCGGGAAGCCAAATTTACGGAGTACTGCAAAGAGGTAAGGCCAGAGAAGGCGATCGAAGGCCTTCTCGGCATCTAGGGAAAGGATTGTCGTTGGGATCCGTCTGTGGTTGGCGTACCAGGTTAGGTCTATGGTTCTCCGTGTGTTATCTTGCGCCTGTCTTTGTGGAATAAAGCCAACCTGGTCAGGGTTGATGAGTTTCGGTAGGAGGGGGTTTATTCTGGTAGTCATGACCTTAGTCAGAAGTTTTAGGTCAATATTCAGGAGGGAGATGGGGCGGTAGTGGCCTGGGTCGTCGTGGGATTTTCCTGGTTTTGGCAGTAAGGTGATGTTAGCTTGGGTCATATCGTGGGGGTAACTGTTCACCGGTGAGCATTGCATTAAAGACTTTGCATAATCTGGGGATGAGTATGTCACCAAAGGATTTGTAATAAATGGTCATCAATCCATCCGGGCCAGGGCTTTTATTTGGTTTCAGGGTCTTAATTGCTTCCCCTAGTTCTTCCGGGGAGATATCGGCTGAGATTAGGGTTCTGGCTTCGTCGGTGAGGGTGGGAAGGGACAGCTGCCTTAGGAAGGTGTCCGTTTGGGTTTGGATGGCATCGCTAGGTGGGTCTGTAGTATGGTTATATAGGGACGTGAAGTATCGTCGGAAAGATTCTCCAATTGTGTGTGGGGTGTCGCTCAATGTCCCATCTGGGGTACGAATTTTGCAAATTCGTTTTGCTTCCGTCAGATTTTTAAGGCGTTTTGCTAGCATAGAATCCGCCTTATTGCCCTTCTCGTAGTATTTTTGCTTAGTCCATGTGAGGGCTTTGGCTGTGTCAGCTAAGGAGAGGCTTTTGAGAAGTGCTCTGGCTGTTGTAAGCTGTTCTAAGTGCGAAGGGTCTGGGTGGAGTTTATGCAGGGTCTCAAGATGGCCTATTTCTGCTATGGTTTCCATTAATTGTTTGTTATGGAGTTTTTTACGTGCCGTCGCTATAGCTATCAGTTTGCCTCTGATAACTGGCTTGTGGGCTGCCCACACAGTGAGCGGGGAGGAAACTGATGGCTCATTCAGAGTGAAGTATTCCTTGAGATCGTTTGCTAGGGACGTCACAACTGATTTGTCGTGGAGGAGTTGTGGGTTAAGTCTCCAAGTCCACGGGCGCGTCATGTTAGGGATTGTGAGGGTTAGTGAGACGTCGGCGTGGTCCGACCAGGTAATGTGGCCTATGGAAGTGTGTGTGATGCGTGAGGTCAGGTTCGGGGAAATTAGGAAGTAGTCAATGCGTGAATAGGTGTTATGGGGGTGGGAGTAGAACATGTAGTCGAGGGTTGAGGGGTGTTGGGATCTCCATATATCCAGGAGGTTGTGCGTGGTCAAGAAATGGGCGAAGAGGGAGTCGTTTAGTGAGGTGCGGGGTTTGCCCTGCGCCTTGGAGGTGCGGTCTAGCACGGGGTGATGAGTGGCGTTGCAGTCTCCACCTATGATGGTAAAGGTTGCCTTGTGTGCTTCTAGATGTGCCGAGAATGTTGGCCAAAACGATGGGTCTGGGATTGTAGGGGCATAGAGGGAGGAGATGGAGTAGTTAGTGGGGCCTATCTTGCCCGTGATAGTGAGGTATCTCCCCTGTATGTCCGAGATAGCTTGCACGTCGGTCAGCGGGCAGGATGATTTAAGTACTATGGCCACCCCTTTGGTTTTTGCGTCCGGTGAATTAGCAAATAAGGCGCGGTTGTAGTGTTTATTCTTGAGTGGGAAGTGTTTGTGGGGGGTGAAGTGAGTTTCTTGTACCAGGAGAATGTCTGCTTTGTGGGTATGGGCCCAGCGCAGTAAGGAGTGACGTTTGGTGGGACTACGAAGGCCCTTTGCATTGATGGAGATGCAGCGGAGTTGAAGTGGCATGGTCCTAGGTACCTTAGTCGTGTTCTGAGGCTCGTGAAGGGGGTGTAAGGAGGGTATCGGGAGGGGGAGGTCTCTGGGTCCGGGTGGTCCCCAAGAGGGCGGCAGCGGGATAGAGTGCGGTGGGGTGGGGGATGTGTTTGCTGGGCTTACGTCTAAGCCAGCAAGGATGGGCTGAGTCTCCGGGGGTCTCTCGAGCCTGGTTGGCCGGGGACCAGCGGCAAGAGTCAGGTTGTGGGGGCAGAAGTGGTCGTTCTATCGGGCGCCAGAGGTGGGCAGTGACTAGCTATACTTGGGCAGCTCGGTTAGTTACAAACCCCAATAGGGGTAAACGTAGGGAACAACGTTTAGGGTTCCCAGGCCCTCGTCACGGGGTCCGGGGGGAAGTGTACAGGTGCTGGTATAACTGGGGAGAAGGGGCAGGTTATGGGGCCCCAAGAGAACTATATACATAAATGATCGTGCTGCACCCTGCCCCTGCTCGCTGCTAGGTCGTTGTGAGTCGTCTGCTGATGGGTCTGACGTCATGGGAACCTCCGTGGGATGTGGTGGCCTGGTCCCGCGCCCCATCCCCCTCCCGGCCCCCAGAGTGTCCCAGTGTCCGGGGCAAGGCCCCACGCGTTCCAGATCTGCCCGCTCCTTGAGTCCGGGGCTGTCGCGGCCCACCGCCCCCCGCTCCACGGAGTGGGGAGGGACGCCAGAGCCCCGGTCCACTTGCACCAACCAACCCTCCATATCAGTGCCTCAAACCCAGTGTCCCCAGTCAGGCCTGCGGGAGAAAACAATGGGGTTTATGCAGTTCGCCCTCTGTGGCTCAGCTAGGCTGAAGCCGGCCGGGAAGTCCACTGGCCAGCCAGTGCAGTTCTTCCTTGATGCGGGCACATTCCGGAGTGACTCGTCGTGCCCCCCTTTCCAAGCCATACTCCCGGAGGTAGGCTCCCAGTCCATGGATGACCGCGGGGGAGCCCCCACGGATGCGGCCGAGCGCCGCCAAGGCCCGAGCACCCCCCCCTCCGGCAGCCGCCAGGCTTCACCGGCAGGATCACAAGCGTATGCCACCAACCGGGAGGGCGGAAGGGCAGGCGGAACGCGGGCGTTCGGTCCACCACACCCGCAAGGGCTCGCAACCCATCTGGCAGTCGGGTCCCTCCGCAGCCCCCGAGCCTCGGGTGTGCGCTGGTGTCCTCTTCGGTGCTTCAAGCGCTGAGCTATGCTGCGGTTGTCAGTGTCCATCGAATCCAGGGTAAGTTATCGCGTTAGCTTGCTGCAGGAGAGGTCGGGGCAAGGTGCTTCCACGAGCCCCCATTTTAGGCTTGAGCTGGGGGAAGTGCAGGGTGCAGTCTGCCGCTGCGCTCTCTCTGGGGTTGCGGTTCCCATGCATGGTCTTGGGACTCAGGACGCAGGTGAGTCGTGCTGAGTTCTTGACTTAGGTCACGGAGGCCGATTTGGGCGGCAATATCTTGCATCTCAGAAGGTTTGTGAACCGTGAATGTGCGGTTGTCGTGCCTGATGTTTAGCTTGAAGGGGTGGCCCCAGGAGTACCGGATCCTTCGGGCTTGTAAGGCCTGGGTCAGCGGTTTCAGCTCCCTACGTTTTCGCAGGGTAGTGGGTGCCAGGTCATGGAACAATTGGACCGCATGGCCTTCTACTTGTAATGGGCTCACCCTCACTGCACGCATGATGGCTTCCTTGATATGGAAGAAGTGGCAGCGTATAATAATATCCCGAGGCTGAGTGGGGTTCACGGAGGGAGGGCGGAGGGCCCTGTGCGCCCTGTCAAGAAGGAGGTCTGCTGGTGCTGCATCGGGTAAGAGATGGCTGAAGGCTTCGTGCAGTATGGCATTAAGAGCCTCCGGTGCGGAGGACTCCGGCAGTCCCCGGATGCGGATATTATTCCGCCGGAACCTGTTGTTTAGCTCCTCCTGTGCCTCTTCTAGGATTGCAAGTTGTTCCCGTAGTTCTCATAGGGAAGCCTCGTGGGCTGAGGTGGTAGTGGTGACCTCGGCCATTTTGTTTTCCAGCCCTTGTGTGCGCTGGGATAGGGCTGTCAGGCCGTCTTTTAGAGGGTCTAGATGTTTGGTGAGCTCCTCAGCGACAAAGGATTTCATCTCCGTGAGGAGCTCTTTCATATCCCTCCTGGTGAGGGGAGTCGACTCCATCGTATGGCTGGTGATGCTGCTGTCAGAGTCGGAATCGGAGGCCCGTTGGCTTAGTGTCAGGGTACCTGTTGGTGCTGAATCCAGGGAAGACATCCTCTCTGTTTAGGGGCTCCCTGCCCCTAGCATTTCGGCATATTCCGGCCGTTTTCGCGCCGGCCGCGCTAGCTCCTCCCCCTTTTATGACGCGACGGCTAGCGTCGACGTCATGACGTCGGCATTTACATGAAGTGCCGGGAACCGCTATTCCGGACCTTTTGGGGGCGTGGTCCCTATTTAGGTAACGGTATTTAAAGGAAACCTTTACTACTGCTCATTGCCCTGTCGTGGTTCTAGCTTGCTAGTCACTCAGCGCGTTCTTTATCTTGTGTTTCTGGTTTTGACCCTTGCTTGTCTTTTGTCCTGTTGTCCTCTCTTCTCCTTTGACTCGCCTTGTATCTCACTTACCTGTCCTCCGGCTCCCTCGACCTCGGCTTACCTTTTGACTATTCTTGCTTTGTCCCTACGTTAGTCCGGCCATTCTAAGGTCCGGTATACGTACCTCCTTCTGTCCGCACTCTGCGTATTGGATCCCTGTCAGTATCCTGACATTACGACAGGGCCAAATGGATCCTGCAGGTGCTAGTCCTCCTGACCCCAGATTTGAGGCCATGGACCATAGAATGGACCAAATGGCTTTAGCATTACAAACTTTGTTAACACGCTCCAGCACTCAGTCTGAAGAAATACGTTCCACTGCTAGCCACTCGCTAAGTACTGGTTTGGAAGTAGCCACTGTAGGCGCATCTTCCCATGTCACTTCACCGTTACGATATGGGGGTTCGCCTGATGCTTGTCGTGGTTTTTTAAACCAGATAAGCATACATTTCGAACTTCAACCCCGGGCTTACCCTACTGACAGGGCTAAAGTAGGCTTTATTATAACCCTGCTAATAGATAAAGCACTTAGATGGGCCAATCCCCTTTGGGAGAATGACAATCCTTTAGTCTACAACTACACTGCTTTTGTCACGGCTTTTAGAAGAACCTTTGACCCCCCAGGAAGGAAGATCCCTGTTACGCCTTAAACAACAGAATAGGACCCTTGTAGAATATGCTCTAGAGTTTAGATCATTGGCAGCAGAAGTGAAATGGAACAAACAAGCTTTTATGGATGTATTCTTGAATGGGTTGTCTGATGAAATTCTAGATGAGATTGCCACAAGAGAACTTCCGGAAAATTTAGAGGATTTAGTATCCTTCATTTCCAGAATAGATGAACGCATGAGACAGAGGCAGAACACTCGGGAAAGAGTTACTAGACTTCCTGTAAGACTCGCTCCCTCATTTCAGAACCCTGACTCCTATAATCCTACTCCACCAGAACCTATGCAAATAGGTAATACTCGCTTATCTGAGGCTGAGAGACAGTACAGAAGAAGGGAGGGTCTTTGTTTATACTGCGGGCAGAGAGGTCACCTACGTCTTAGTTGCCCTAATCGTCCGGGAAACGCTCGCACCTAAGTTCCCTTAGAGGACGGGCCTTGGGTGTTTCATTACTGTCCTCTATGCATAATAAAAAAGACCATAGGCTTCTGATTCCTGTCTCTCTAGCTTGGGAAAAGGGGTTTATTTCTACGATGGCATTATTAGATTCTGGAGCAGCAGAAAGCTTTATAGACCAAACTTTCGCTAATAAGCATTGTATCCCAGTCCAATTGAGAGATACACCCTTGGCCGTTGAGGCCATAGATGGTAGACTTTTATCTGATCCAGTAATATTCCATGAGACCAAACCCGTTAAGCTTACTGTTGGTATTTTCCACGAGGAGTTGATTTCCCTTCTGTTAATTTCCTCCCCGGCAGTCCCAGTGGTGCTAGGATATTCTTGGCTCAAGAGACACAACCCTCAGATTGACTGGGAGGGTGGAGAAATCGTTTCTTGGGGTATGGGTTGTAGGAAAGAATGTCTGCAGAGAGTTACTTCTGTTTGCCCCGTAAACTCTTATGCTAACACTTCCCAATCCACAGACGTTCAGATACCATTACAATATCTAGACCTCAAATCTGTATTTGACAAGGGTAAGGCGGATACTTTACCTCCCCACCGGTCTTATGACTGTTCTATTAAACTTTTCCCTGGTACTATGCCTCCCAGGGGTACGGTATACCCTCTATCCACCAAGGAAAACTTAGTTTTAGAGGACTACATCAAGGAGAATTTAGACAAAGGATTTATTAGAAAGTCTTCTTCTCCGGCGGGGGCGGGTTTCTTTTTTGTAGAAAAGAAAGACGGTACCTTACGTCCTTGTATAGACTATCGGGGATTGAACAGAATTACTATCAGGAATGCTTACCCTATTCCTTTGATTACTGAACTCTTTGACAGACTAAAGGGCTTGAGTATTTTTACCAAACTTGACTTGAGAGGAGCATATAACTTGGTGCGAATTAAACAAGGAGATGAATGGATGACAGCATTTAATACCCGTTACGGGCATTATGAGTATACCGTAATGCCGTTTGGGCTTTGTAACGCCCCGGCCGTCTTCCAAGACTTAATCAATGAGGTTCTTAGAGAATTCCAACATGAATGTGTAATTGTATATTTGGATGATATACTAATCCATTCTAGAGACATTAATTCACATCATAGACAAGTCAGAAAGGTATTACAGAAACTTTTACAACATGGATTGTATTGTAAATTGGAAAAATGTAGCTTTGACCAGTCTCAGGTAACTTTCTTAGGTTACGTAATTTCCAAAGACGGGTTTATGATGGACCCGACCAAACTAAAATCGATTTTAGATTGGCCTTTACCTAAGGGACTCAAAGCCATACAAAGATTTCTTGGATTTTCTAATTATTACAGACGTTTTATTAAAGGGTACTCCTCTGTTATCGCTCCTATCACTAATATGACCAAACAAGGAGCCGATACCAAAACCTGGTCTACTGAGGCTTTATCTGCTTTCGAAACGCTCAAACAGTCTTTTGCCTCAGCACCTGTATTAGTTCATCCTGATACCTCTCTACCCTTTTTACTTGAAGTTGATGCGTCTGAAACAGGGATAGGCGCAGTGTTGTCCCAAAGACAAAGTTTAGATAAGCCGCTGCACCCTTGCGGTTTTTTTTCCAAGAAACTATCACACACTGAAAGGAGATATGACATTGGTGATAGAGAACTTTTAGCTATCATTATGGCATTAAAGGAATGGAGACATTTGTTAGAGGGCACTGTCCTCCCAGTTACTATCTTAACTGACCACAAAAATTTATCGTATATGGGGGAGGCCAAAAGATTATCTGCCAGGCAGGCACGTTGGTCTATGTTCCTTACACACTTTAATTATATGCTTACTTACAGGCCTGGTTCTAAGAACACTAAGGCAGACGCTTTGTCACGTCAGCACGAACCTATCACCTCTACAGAGGACACTTTGTTCCCTATTATTCCTGAAGTCAATATTATCGCCAACACCAATGTCAAAATACTCTCTCCATTGCTCGCTGATATTATGAACGAACAATCTCTTGCTCCCGAACGTACGCCTGTAGGCCGCTTGTTCGTGTCTCCCAAATTCCAAGTAGACATTATTCGCTGTTTTCACGATAGCAAGTTCGCTGGTCACCCCGGCATCCACAAAACTTACTGCCTGATCTCCAAAGACTTCTGGTGGCCTGGTTTACGTAGGGATGTGGAAGACTTTGTCAAGGCTTGCAATGTTTGTGTCAGGAATAAATTTCCGCGTGATCTCCCTTGTGGTTTATTGCAGCCCTTAGTTGTTCCCAACAAACCTTGGGCTTGTTTGGCTATGGATTTTATTGTTGATCTACCAGCTTCCAGTAGGCATACGGTTATTCTCACGGTCCTTGACAGGTTTACTAAAATGGCTCATTTCATTCCCTTGCCTAAACTTCCGTCCTCTCCTGAACTGGCCGTGATTTTTGCTAGAGAAATTTTCCGTTTACATGGTATTCCCAATGAGATTGTGTCAGACAGGGGTTCCCAATTTATTTCCCGTTTTTGGAGATCCTTCTGTTCCCAGTTGGGCATCAAACTGAATTTTTCTTCGGCCTATCATCCTCAATCTAACGGAGCAGCCGAACGCACTAACCAAAAAATTGAGCAATATCTACGTTGTTTTGTTTCTGAACACCAGGATGACTGGGTCGGTCTGATTCCTTGGGCGGAGTTTGCTCACAACAACCTTGTTTGTGGTTCCACTCGTAATAGCCCCTTTTTCTTGAACTATGGCTTTAACCCTACTGTTCTTCCGTCGGTGTCTCCTTCCCAGGGTATACCGTCGGTTGATATTCATATAGCCAACCTGAGAAAGTTGTGGGATCAGACTCGACAAATTCTTACACGTAGTTCCGCGGTGTTTAAGTCACATGCTGATAGGCGTAGGCGGCCTGCTCCTATTTTTTCTCCGGGTGATAGGGTCTGGTTGTGTACCAGACACATTCGCCTGAAAGTTCCTTCCTTGAAGTTTGCTCCTCGTTACATTGGTCCTTACAGGGTGCTGAGGAGGATCAACCCGGTTTCTTATTTGCTGGATCTGCCTCCTACTCTACGCATCCCTAACTCTTTTCATGTGTCTTTATTGAAACCTCTTGTTTGTAACAGATTTTCCTCCCGCTCTGCTCCTCCATCCTCGGTCCGTGTGGATGGTCAGGAGGAATATATCATCAAGTCCATCCTTGATTCTCGTATTTCTAGGGGGAAGCTGCAATACCTCATAGACTGGAAAGGTTATGGTCCAGAAGAGAGGTCTTGGGTTCCTGGTATAGACGTGCATGCTCCTCGTCTTCTTCGGGCCTTCCACGTTCGTTTTCCTTCTAAGCCCGGTCCCATCCGCCCGGTGGGCGTTTCTAGAAGGGGGGGTACTGTCAGGGTACCTGTTGGTGCTGAATCCAGGGAAGACATCCTCTCTGTTTAGGGGCTCCCTGCCCCTAGCATTTCGGCATATTCCGGCCGTTTTCGCGCCGGCCGCGCTAGCTCCTCCCCCTTTTATGACGCGACGGCTAGCGTCGACGTCATGACGTCGGCATTTACATGAAGTGCCGGGAACCGCTATTCCGGACCTTTTGGGGGCGTGGTCCCTATTTAGGTAACAGGGTATTTAAAGGAAACCTTTACTACTGCTCATTGCCCTGTCGTGGTTCTAGCTTGCTAGTCACTCAGCGCGTTCTTTATCTTGTGTTTCTGGTTTTGACCCTTGCTTGTCTTTTGTCCTGTTGTCCTCTCCTCTCCTTTGACTCGGCTTGTATCTCGCTTACCTGTCCTCCGGCTCCCTCGACCTCGCCTTACCTTTTGACTATTCTTGCTTTGTCCCTACGTTAGTCCGGCCATTCTAAGGTCCGGTATATGTACCTCCTTCTGTCCGCACTCTGCGTATTGGATCCCTGTCAGTATCCTGACACTTAGGCCTCGTGGCGCCTCTCTGTCCGGCCTAGGTTTAAAAATCGGTGCTACGGCCGCTCCAGATTTGGACTTCCTCCCTCCGCCCATGTCAGTGCGTCCCAGTGTTGGTCAGGGTGGTAGCGCCCGGGTTGTGGCGGTATGTAGGCTCTATTGCCCCTGTTGTGAGCTGGTGTGAGTGTCTGCCACCTCGGAGCTCCCTTAGTTCGAGTCCATCTTCGTCGGCGGTCAAGCTCCGCCCCCATGAATCCAGTTTTATACTAGGATATTACCATATTCTACTCTATCTTACAGCTTGACTTGGAAACCCGGTTGCTGGTGGCATTATCCCCTTATTGGAGTTCCTTTTTCGGTTGGATGGTTGTACAAGTTCGGGATCGCTAGAAAGAGGAAATACCGGGAATACCGCCTATTATGCTGGAAAGTGGAACCTGATTGGCTGTTGGTTGCCATGGGGACGGCCGCCCTGCGGACCCCTGCAACCGGGTAACTGCCGCCATGTTTTGCGGCCCTTGCGGCAAACCGCCGTGGGCGCACATGATGGGGCCCATCGGGTAGCCCCTGCTGTTAGGGCCACCCGATGGATATGGATTTTCAGGGGGTCCGGTCAGTGCTGCGGTGCTTTAACAGCGCGACCGGGGCCCCCTGTGATGAGCAGGGGTGGACCTTACTAATGTGATTGCATTGGGGGAATGAAGACCAAGGTAGGTGGCTACAGGTTCCCTTTAAAATTGGTTTAAAGAGATGGATTTTTACAGCTGAACAGGATTTAGTCATTTTTGTGGGATTTCTCTCACTATGGTAACCATAGTTGTTTACCGAATCTTCACTTCCTTTACCAAGCCAGCTGCAGGCAATGGGAGGGGTGTGACTTCTACGAACAGATTTCAAACAGACATTGGAGTAGAGCACAGAGTACAGACAGCTCAGCAATGAACACAGAAAAGGCAGACTGAGAAAAATATACACATCAAAGTTTGAATTTCCCTTCTACAACTCAACTGACTAGCACATCACAGATCTGGTAAAAAGAAAAAGTGAAGAAAAACAAAATTAACTTCAGTGAAAAAATTAGGAGTTTGGAATCCTTCTTTTTGGACAGGAAGTTTTAGCGATGTGTCAAAACATTGGTAAGTATGGGTCGATATCTGTTCTACCAGTTTAAAATTCAAGTATCTAATTTTCTTGTTTGTGAGAAGAAAGATTCATTATAGTAGGGAAGTAGCTTTACTCTTTGGTGTATAGAGTCTCTTTAAAAGAATAAGCATCAAAATAACTTTAGTTTAACCCCTTAAGGACAGAGGGAATTGTCCAAGTTCGGAACCCAAACAAGACCTAGAATTTGAGTAATGTGTGTGCCCCTATACATTTTATATATTGATTTTGAAAGGACAGAGCTTTCTTTTAATATCCTATCTATATCCCTAACACATATTAAGTGTGAATAAAATATATAAAATGAGGGGGAGGGAAAAATCATATCTTTGCCTATTATAATTTTTACACATCCATTGCGACTATCGTATTTTTTGGAATATAGAATGCACCAGGGTATAAGATGCACCCATATACTTATTTAATGTGTTTTGGGGATCCACTGTGTGTATACTAGATATGGTTTGTGTATAGTGGATATGGTGTTTGTAAGGAATGCAGTGTCTGTGTGTTTAATGCTTGAAGCATGTGTATGGGATGCCGTGTGTGTATTTGTAAGGGAGGTAGTGTCTGTTTTAAGTGCATGCATGTAGTGTGTGTAGATGATGTAGTGTGTGTGTGTGTTTTACTTTGTGGGGTGGGATAGTGGCAGTGATTTGTGGGTGCTGAAAACAGCAGCAGCTTTATATGTTATCATAATTTTTTATTTTTAAGCTTCATTTAATGTAGTTCCCTTTCTCTGTCTCTTATTTCTGGCCAGGGATGGTGACACAGAATTCCCTGGTAGTGTAATGGTAAAGGCTGCTGCCGCTATCAACTCGGTATGGTGGCACAAGCTCCTGCTATAAACTCCACTGGTGGTCCAGTGGTACCTTGTAACCTCAGCTTACACCTCTGCCAGGTGCATTCTCCTTTTGTGAGTCACAGTAGAGCCGGCACGTTGCTGTGATAACCCACGGTAACGCTCTGACAGGCCAGGCTCGCAAGAGGGAACGGACCTGCTAGAAATACAGACAGCGTGTCTGTTGGGCTCCCTCTATAAATACCTAAAATGGGATGGGGAGGGAGATTTTCGAGATGTATATATAATCTCAGTTTATGGAGGGACTGTGTCTGAAAACACAATAAATATGACAAAAAGGCCTGACCTGAACATAGAGATTTCAAAGGATAATGTATTTAGAAATTGTATCAAATGTAGTACCAGTGGCGTACTAAGGAGGTGTGGGGGGGGCGGTCCGCACCGGATGCCATCAGGCAGGGGGGTGCCACCAGGCAGGGGGGTGCCACCAGGCAGGGGGGTGCCAGCAGGGCTGGCTAGGCTTGGGAGTCTGTGGGCTGTGTGGCTGCACCAGGCGCCATAGCAGCATGGGCACCGGGCAGCCGACACAGCTCACACGCAGGGGCAGGGAGCAGAAAACCTGGCTCAGCTGGCTGCACGGAGAGTTGGGGCGGAGCTAGAACGACCATGGGGGCGGAGCCAAGCCAGATGTGGGGGCGGAGCTAAATGCAGCCTCTCTCTGATCACACAGAGGGGAAGCAGGAAGGAGTCCCTGCTTCCCCAACTACAGCACAGGAGCCAGAGGGACTGAATCCAATCCTCCTCCACCCCAAGCTTACTGTAAGTGAGAGAGAGTGTGTGTGTGCTGTGTGTAACTGTGATTGTGACTGTCTTTGACTGTCTGTGTGAGTGTGTGACTGTGTGAGTGACTGTCTGCCTGTGGTTGTCTGTGTGACTGTGTGTGTGAGACTGTCTGTCTGTGACTGTGTGTGTATGTGTGACTGTCTGCCTGTGATTGTGTGTGTGTGTGTGTGTGTGTGTGTGTGTGTGACTGTCTGCCTGGGATTGTGTGTGTGTGTGACTGTCTGTGACTGTGTGTGTGTATGTGTGACTGTTTGCCTATGTGACTATCTGCCTGTGATTGTGTGTGTGCGAGTGTGTGTGTGACTGTCTGTGACTGTGTGTGTGTATGTGTGACTGTTTGCCTGTGTGACTATCTGCCTGTGATTGCGTGCGTGTGTGTGTGTGGGACTGTCTGAGACTGTGTGTGGGACTGTGTGCATCTGACTGTGTCTGATGGTCTTCCCCCTGCAATGAGACGGCAGCCGGGATATGGTGTCATCGCGGCCTCTGCGTCATTACAGGGTGTGCGAGGGACCTGTGCAGGAGGATCCACTCCAGCCCTTCTAGAGCAAGATAGGGAGGCTGGGTGGACCTCTTATTTATTAAATGTGTGTATGTATGTAATGTTTGTGTGTGTATGTGATTGTGTGTCTGTGATTGTGTTTGTGTATATCTGTGATTATGTTTGTGATTGTGTGTATCTCTGTGTATGTGTTTAGTAGATAGCTCCCTTATTTGGTGTCCTTAAATATTGCAATCTAATATAAGGATAACAAATAAGGGATTTATCTACTAAACAACTGAAAATAAGAAAAGGGCTTTTTAATTTTGATCCTTTAGCTGTTTAGTAGATAATTCCCTGAATTGGTGCCCGTATGCAAGATTTCCATATTTAAAGATACCAAATGAGGGTGCTGTTTAGCAGATAGTTCCCTTATTTGGTGTCCTTAAATATTGCAAGCCCACATAAGGATAGCAAATAGGGGAGTTATCTGCTAAACAAAGATCGAAGTTAAGAGGTGTCAGCCAGCCCACAACAAGAAATCTGAGAATGTGAATTATATGCAAATGTGTTGTCAGATGCCAGCGTGCAGAGCACAGTGTTTCTGCGTGTGTGTTTATATGCATCTGCATGTGTGTATGTCCGTGTATGTGTATATGTGTAGACATCTCAAAATTTCGCCAACACTACACACAAATACACTCATGCATTTCAATGTCAACACTACATACAAACCCCACCATTATATATAGCCACATCACTGCATTCAAATACCACACAACACACAAATGCATGCTTGCAAAAACCAACACTACATACAAACACACCTCTACATTCACTCACACATACTCCATACAAAAACATGCATACATTCACACACAAACACTGCTCAGTGCTAAATACATTAAAACATTTTTTGGTTGTTTTTTACATTTACAAAATAGGACCCGCCCCGGGTGCCAAATGCTCTAGGTACGCCCCTGCATAGTACTCGGAACACCATAGCTACTCACACTGTAGTGATTATAGAGACGGAGTGCCCTGGCTGCCCCCATCCTGATGTACTTAGTCAAACTGTTTTGAAAACTTGGGTTTTATTAAGCATTATGCAGAGCCAAAACTTCTTCCTTACTGTGGTGCAGCAGCAAAATGATGTGTTTCGCTCCAGTGGTCTAACCCTTTAACGTGTAACCTAGCCTTTAAAATGCTTTGCATAAAACGTATGAAAACGTTTTATTTAACTATATGTGTCTACGTGTCTAGCCAAACCTATTTGTTTATTGGTATTTTATCCGTTCTCTATTTAGACATGTTCGTCTAGCCTGTATCTGCTTTTTTATTTCTTAAAATAATTTGTGCGTTGGTCTCTCATGCCATGGTTATGTTTCCTTATGTTTACATTCATAATACTTGCCCTTGCTGTCTTGGCAGTGCAAGCATGTATGTTATCTTGTGCACAGAAAAATAAAGAATTTAATAATAAAAATTGTCAAATGGAAAATAAATGAAGAAGTTGGGAGTGTGTAGGACCTCCCAGTACCTCCTGGGCTCTGGGGTACATGACATTTAGAAACAGGAACGCGAGCAATGTGATACTGTCCACTTCCTGAATAGATTTGCAGAATGGTATACATGCTAAATGTCACACCTATTATCAGAATAACTAGCACACACATGCATATTTTAATTCTCTCTGTGCTACAGAAAGACAGACAATAAAAGGGACCTTGAGACATGTATGAGGAAGCAAAAATACAGAAAAAGATTATCAGAGTTATTTACTAAAGTGAGAATTCAAAATGAATTTTACATTTAAGGTAAAAGTAGCTAGGCCTTCCAGTTTGGCTACTCTTGCTCTAAATGTGAAATTTACTTTGAATTCTCAAGTTAGTAAAAAGCGATGTAAGTTTCTTTTCTGCTGGTTATTTGTATTTGGTCACAGAAGAAAAAGTCATGACAGGTGCAAAGATTTGTAACCTATTTACAAGAAAAACAATGTTAACACCCTCTAGTGTGTCCTTTCTTGTCCATTGTCCAGTTTGCTGTCCCCCTAACTTCCCCCAGGGTGGTTTTATGGCTCAGTTTACCTGACCTTACTAACCTATTCACTTTTAACTGTCCCAAAACTTTTTTGCCATCTCTCTCTTTCTATATGACACTATTCTTGTCACCCTTTTGTCTTTTTTTTTACCATTTCTTTGAAATCTTTCCCTCTGCATTTGTCTTGTACACTAACATTATCATAGTCTCCCCAACATATTCTAACATTTTCCTTATCTCCTTTTTCTACTGCATACTTATCCTCTTCCTATTTTTATCCTTCCTTTTCATGCCTCTTTCTATTTTTATCCTTCTTTCTCTGTATATATCATAGTTTCTTCCCACCTCTCCAAACTTTTGGTCTCTCATTAGTCTTTTTTTTATTACATGTTTTATTATTATTCCCCTGCCAATCCTCAAGCAGTCTCTTGGATTCATCCATGTCCAGCTTATTTTGGAGTCTCTTCTTTACACACGTTAGTCCTGTCCATTTACATCTCCATCTTCTATTCTCTCTTCTCCATGTGGGTCCTACACAGTCCTCCTCCATCTTCACCTTTGTCCTCTATTCTCTTCTTACTAAACAACTTTATTTCCATTATAATTTTTCTGTTTGCTATATTCATGGCACTCCCTATTATCTTACATTTGGGCATTATGTCTGGTAATCTGTAGTCTGTCGGTAATCATGGTCTGGACCTGTACTGGGTACAGATCACTTTCAGTGCTTTTTATGATCGTTTGCCAAGGTCAGTAAACATACAAAAAGTTGCTGTCAAGTGGCAAGTTCTAAATAGTGTGCACCATTTTAGCAGATCCAGATTAAGGTTTCCCAGGACCCGAGGCAGTGTTCCAGATTGAGGCTCCCTTCTAGAGTCCTGTTTAAGGTTCTGTTTCTGTAAATGTTTCTGGGTGTTGTATGTGTCTGTGGGAGACTGAGCGATGTGTGTGTGAAGGAAGCTGAGAGACAAATGGGGGAGAGGGCAATTTGTGGCTATGTCTGCTGGTTGAGTGTTCTGTGTGGTGGCTGAATTTTGTTTGTGAAAGAGTCTGAGTGTGGTGTGTCTAGGGGAGGCTAAGTGGGACTAAATGTTGTGTTTGTCTATAGTTTCTGTGTGTGTTGGGGAAGAACGTTAAATGTGTGTGTAAAATTTCTATTTGTCTTCCTCCTACTTACCTTTTGGAATGAGAGATGATATCCCTGGTGGTACTGTGGGGAAGCTATTGTGGTCTGCACCAGTATCGGTTCAGGTCACTTAATGTGCTCCTTAGAAGTCCAGCACTCATTTAATGACTCAGAGGGCTGATCCGCTCTGAGTCATGGAGAAGCACTGAGGAACAGAGAGGGAGCACTTAAAGTGACCTGCACCTGATAGAGCAGACCACAATGCTCCCTCGAGGTAGTGAGGGAGTGCAGGTCAGGGCAGCAAAATCAAAAGATCTCTCACACTGGAAGGACCTTCAGACCCAAACAGCTCCAAGCCCACTGCCTATGCCACCTTATGGATAATCCGGCTCTGGGTCTATGCAAAAATTGTGTTGTATTGATTCCTTTTAAAACAAATGCTAATATAACAAAAGTTTTATGCTTTACTGACTTTTTTTTAACTTACTTTTTTTTTTTTTTTTTTAAACAGGTCCGTGCTAAACCACGACATGCTCCATGTATAAAAACTTGTCATCTTATTTTTTGACTGGTTTCCTGTTATAGCCAGGAGAATGAAATGGGCTGTGATCTCTGTGAATTTCTCTCTATTAATATATATGTTCATGCCAATAAATTCCAAAGATGAGTCTGTAGGAAAAAAAAATCCCAATCGGCTCACAAAAATCCTACCAGATGCCTCCCACCTGGACACACTACTTGATTTATCCCACAAAAATATTTGTTGCCTTCATGTTGATGATTTTAGATTATTTACAAAGCTAAGTATTTTGAATCTTAGCCATAATCAAATTGAAGAATTTGAGTTTGAAGTGTTCCAATTTAACACTGCTCTAGAACAGTTGGACTTGTCACACAATAAGTTGACTATAATAAGATGCAATTCTTTACATTTGATCAAAAACTTAAAAACATTAAATTTGTCCTATAATAACTTTGCAACTATGTATATTTGCAAGGAAATTTCCCTTTTGTCAAAGTTAGAATACCTTGGGTTAAGCGCTGTCCAGATACAGAAACTGGACTTCATTAATATAGCACACAGAGAGCTCCGATATGTTTTTTTAGGGATTGAAAACCTACAGGAATATGAAGTTGGAAGTCTCCAGTTGCTTAATACCAGTAAACTTCATATTACTTTACCAATATATTTGCAAAGTCCATTTCTTCTGCATGACGCATTGAATACTTCCACAACTTTGGAGATTTCTCAGATTACGTGTGACGCTTATTTTTGTGATTACCCCACATCAGCCTTATCCAAGATCAACAAACATTCGAAGGTATCAACTCTAATTCTGAGCAATATAACTATGCCATGGAATGAAATGAGTAATGTTCTCCAGGCAGTTTGGAGATCCTCAGTTCAACATTTGTACATTTACACATATACCCTTGTACATGAGTTTGTATACAAACAAAAAGACTTTTCCAATGGTTCCCTCAAATCTCTAGTAATAGATCACGTTATCCAGAAGGTATTTTTTTTCACACCTCCTCACCCATTAAATATATTTTCAGAAATGCTTGTTGAAAATTTCACCTTTTCCAATGCTGACATAACACACCTGTTCTGTCCACCTTGGCCAAGCATTTTTCGAACCCTAAATTTGTCAAAGAACAGAATCACACATGAGATTTTTAAAGAATGTGACAACTTAACTGCTCTGGAACTTCTAAATCTACAAAGTAACAGATTACAAAAAATATCAAAAGTTATTTCTATGACATCTACAATGAAATCTCTAAAATATCTAGACCTCAGTCAAAATATCATAGATTATGATCAAACTGAGAAATGCAATTGGACAGAAAGTCTTGTTTTTCTAAACTTGTCTGAAAACAGAATTACTACTGAGGTTTTTGCCTGTTTACCGATTAATGTTCAGATACTCGATCTTTCTATGAACCAGATTACAAGTGTCTCCAAAGGTCTTGAACATCTAACCTTTTTGAGGGAACTAAATCTGGCTTCAAACCACCTTAAAGATATCCCTGATTGCCACCTTATGAGTCGTAATCTTAGAGTTTTGAATGTTGATGACAATGGTATTTACTCTCCATCTGTTGCATTTTACCAAAGCTGCCAATATATCAAAACATTAAGTGCTGGACGCAATCCATTTCAATGTAATTGTGAGTTAAGGGAGTTTACGCATATTGAGAAGATGACACCAGGAAAACTTTCTGGATGGCCTGATTCCTACAGGTGTAAATATCCAGAAGACTTTAAAGGTGTTCTCCTGAAGGACTTCTATGTTTTCGAAATATCATGCAACATATACATATTATTAGGTATTGTGTTGGGTATCCTTTTGGTAGTGCTGGCTATTATCATCTTTTCTTGTAAATATTTCGACTTACCTTGGTATATCCGTATGCTGTTTCTGTGGATTCGAACAAAGCACAGAGTGAAGAACATCAACAAGCATGAACTTGAAAAAGGCAAACGGTTCCACGCCTTTATCTCTTACAGCGAAGAAGATTCAGAATGGGTAAAAAATGTTTTAATACCTAACCTTGAAAAAAGTGATGGCTCTATAAAGCTTTGTCACCACGAAAAGCATTTCATTCCAGGCAAAACTATAGTTGAAAATATTATACTTTGTGTTGAACAAAGTTTCAAATCGATCTTTGTTTTGTCACCCAATTTTATTCAAAGTAAATGGTGTCACTATGAACTACACTTTGCCCAACATGCATTATTCGGGAAGAATTTTTACAATTTGATTCTAATTCTGTTGGATCCTATACCACAGTATTTGATTCCCAATAAATACACGAGATTAAAAGCAATAATGAAACAGAGGACATACTTGGAGTGGCCAAAGGAAAGGGGAAAACATGCACTTTTTTGGGCTAATCTTAGGGAAGCTATTGGTGTAAATCTTACATCAGATGAAGAGGAAGATATTGACTGGGATTTCAAGGGGGCCATTACACCTGTGTGATTATCCTCTCAACACACATCGTATCATTGCCTCATACACCACGTGGCACAAACTTTATTTTGTACTGCAACCCTACTGTATTATTTTTATTCACATCATTTCCTGTTCTTCTTTGGTTTACAATTTGTTTAAACCACATCATTTACATTGCTATACACCCACCAGTTTTTCTTTTATCACCTGTTTTATATTAAGTTAAGTACTATTATCTCACGGATTCACATACATCTTTTTCCTCTACATAGGTTTTGTTATTAACATTGTTGTACTTCTGGGACCCTTTCTGTTCACACAGAATCTGTGTGAAATATAGCGAGATAAAGGCACTGCAAACTGTCTTAAGCTGTTAATTTTCCAGATATTTTTATGAAGTTATTCTGCTAATATTTTTTTCAATCAAAAAGTGCTTGGTAGTGAAGGGGTTAAGGTGGTGTGAATTTAGAGCAGGCCACCACTTGACACCATGAGAAGCACGTTGTAATGTGAAGCCCAGGTACATATTGTAAAAGTTCATTCAATGCCATGGTGATTCGTCACTCGTGTGTGGCAAAACATCACATCGTTTATCACATAATGCTAATGTGCATGGTGATTTTATAAAAATAAAAAAATATTTTCTAATGCTCTTACTTGAGAAAAAGTGTGATGGAATGAGAATACAATATAGAACATTTTATAGAATGTCCCCCAAGATGGCTGGACATCTACCAAAAGAAAGGTAGGATGTGTTAATCATGCAGGTAAGAATACAGTTCAGTATATCTTTGTCATTAGATCTTAAAGGAACATGCCATGCACCATAACCACTACAGAAAGCTGTACTAGCTATGGTTCTATGAGTGCTCTGATGCCCCAACCCCCTTGTCAGAATTTAAAACGGTTTGACTTCTTAACTGGATTCTGCCATCTGCTTCAGGTTTTGCTAAGAAGCTCTCCATTATTAGTAGTGTAGGTCAGGGAGCAGCCCCTTGCAGACCCCAAGTAAGAAATCAAACTATTAAAAAATGGTTTAACTCCTTACAATGGGAGCAGCCGCCAGGTCACTCTTGGCACCATAAGCACTACAACAAGCTATCAAAAACATTTTCCGATAGCCCTGACCAAAATATCTGCATAGATGAGTCTCTTTTAAAGTTCAAGGGTAGACTACTTTTCAAGCAGTACATTACATCAAAGCAAGGCTTAGGCTAAAATGTTATGAACTGTACAAATACCACACTGGGCATACTTCAGCATTTCGCATTCATGCGTGCAGAAAAAGACGGTCAACTAGATCCACCAGCCTGCCTTGATACTGTGGGACGCACAGTAAAATTGTGTAGGATCCCACAGTATCCTCTGTGGCTAGATAACTTTTACACTAGCATAGCTTTATGTAAACATTTATTTTGCTTTGACACCCCAGCCTGGGGCACAGTGTGGAAGAGCCAGAAAGGTTTCCCCAGAAGATGATTGCAGGTGAAAACAGTAAAAGCACAACAACTGCTTTGTGACATGATGAGGTGCTGGCCCTCTTGATGAGATTATAATGCCAGTGTCAGTCTGCAGAAAAAATGCACATGTTGAGAAGCCAACATGCATTGTTGAATACAACAAGCATTCATGGAGAGTAGATTTGGCTGACCAGGGTATTCAGCTATATCTCGTTGACCATAAAACAAAGAACTGGTATAAAAATAGTTGCCACCTACCTAGTTCAGATTGCAGTATTTAATTCCATTCTTTGAGATGGAAGCAGCAGGATTTGGTGATTGATTGGACATGAGGGGAGAAGGAGAGGTTTGAGTCAAAGAAAACACCTAGACAGCGAGCCAACGAGGTAGAGTAGATAGTAGCGCCATTAACTTGGAGTGAAAGAGACAAGGGAGTAGCAACACTTGAGGTAGGGGAGACCAGAAGCTCTGTTTTGGACAGGCTAAGTTTGGAAATAGCACAGAGGAAATCCAGTTGGAAATAGCAGAGAGGTAATTAGAGACACAAGTCACGAAGGGTCGTGAGAAATCAGGGGAGGACAGCTAAATTTGCATGTCATCCACATAGAAATGATACTGGAAGCCAAAGGAGCTGATAAATTTTACCAAGGGAGGCAGTGTAGATTGAGAACAATAGGGGACCAAGGAGAGACCCTTGGGGAACACCAACAGAGAGGAATTGGGAAGAAGAGGCAGAGCCAGAGAAAGAAACATTGAAAGAACGTTGGGAGAGGTAGGGAGAGCAGTATCTCGTAGACCTAGATGAGAAGAAGCAGTTGATGATCTAGGTTGAGGAGAATTAGGATAGAGTAGCCACAGGATGTTGTAATGATAAGATCATTGGATACTTTGGTCACAGATGTTTCAACAGAGTGACAAACATGGAATCCAGATTGAAGCGGGTCAAGCAGAGAGCTGGATTCGAGGAAGTCTGTCAATCTTGCATACACAATTCTCTCAAGGATCTTGGTGGTAAACGGCAGTAGTGAGATAGGGCGGTAGTTGGATGGGCAATTAGGGTCAAGGTTGGACTTTTTTAGAATCGGGGTAGCAGTTGCATGTTTGAAGGATAGAGGAGAGGATGAAATTGAAAATTTTAGTGAGAGGCAGAGCAAGAGAAGAAGACAAAGTGCGAATGTGATATGAGGGAATAGAATCGAGGGAACAGGTGGTGGGGCAGGAGGAACGGAGCAGAGCAGAAACCTCTTCTGCTGTAGCAGGTGCAAATGAGCATAGGACAGCTTAGGGAGTGTGGTTAGGGGAAAAGATGGCAGGGGATGGAGAGAGATGAGGGATCTCTTCCTTGAATGTAGAAATCTTCTCAATAAAGTGAGTTGCAAAGTGTGTGGTGGTCAAGTTGGTAGGAGGAGGAGGCACAACAGGGCGAAGAAGAGAGTTAAAACATGACACAGTTGTCTGGGCTCGTGGGCAAGTGAGGTTATGAGTGTATTGAAGTAGTTTTTATTTTGAAGAGGAAAGAGCCAGACTGTAGGAGCGCAGCATAAATTTATAGCGGAGGAAGTCAGATGCAGAGTGAGACTTTCTCCAGCAGCAGATTATGAAATTCCCTGTGAATATGGAGTTGATGTGTGTGAAAAAAACAAAAAATAAAATATGACCACTAAATGGGGCCAGCAATTGTGGCTAGACCAAACAACTCAAATTATGCCATTTGGGATACCCTGGGTTGCCCATTTAGGTCTAGCAAACCAATCTGGCAAATTTCAATGTGTAAAAACTGAAATAGGCAGACTGAAAAAATCCACACATCAGCTTTGTTTTCAGTTCAGTGCAATCAATTCTGTTTTCACTTTGGCTATTTTGGCCTTAAATTTGCAATTTACTTTGAATTCACTTTGAAAATTACTTTGAATTCACTCCAAATTCCTGGTAATTCTTCCCTTAGTGAATGTCCTAGCTTCTAGCTCAAACAGTACAAAATTCTTAACACAACCACTGGGTGGCAGCAAATAACTCAATGAGAAAAAGGAAAACTACCTGCACATAGAGAATGGTTTAAAGGATCACTATAGGGTCAGGAACACAAAACATGTATTCCTGACCCTATAGTGTTGACACCACCATTTGAAACCACCATTTAGCCCCCTGGGTCCCTCATGCCCATAGCAATATAGCAAAATGTTACTGTATTCAAGTCTGAAGCTGTAAATCTGCATGCTGTTTGTCTCAGAAAAACAAGCTGTCTGTTTACATCATCAGAAGTGGTAGCCTGATCCAATCACAATGCTTCCCCATAGGATTGGCTGAGACTGACAAAGAGGCAGATCAGGGGCAGAGCCAGCATGATTCAAACACAGCCCTGGCCAATCAGCATCTCCTCATAGAGATTAATTGAATCAATTAATCTCTATGAGGAAAGTTCAGTGTCTGCATGCAGAGGGAGGAGACACTGAATATTTGGATGCATTTTAGGCAGCCATGACCCAGGAAGGATCTCTAACAGCCATCTCAGGAGTGGCCAGTGAAGTTATCACTAGGCTGTAATGTAAACACTGCATTTTCTCTGAAAAGACAGTGTTTACAGCAAAAAGCCTGAAGGTAATGATGATTCTATTCACCAGAACAAAATCAATAAGATATAGTTGTTCTGGTGACTATAGTGTCCCTTTAATGAACTACACTAATTTGTAGAAGAAAAATGCTGCCTTTTTAAATCATTTTTTTTTTTTTATATAACACATTTATTGATAATATTGCATCAACACAGCACATGTTAGACAGTACAATAAGGAAACAATTATACAGCGGATATTTAGAACAAAGCTTGTCAAAATGAGAGATACGTGAAGCATCACATCAGTCTCCTTTATAAATTGAAAACATTATTAAATACAAAAAAAATCACATGATAGGACATATTTTGCGGATATCAGGGATTATCCATCATCAAATAGGAGGAGATAGTGGTTGTATATGTTTGTTACTATAGAGATTAAGCAATTAACATCCGATTAGTGAGTTCTAGGATAATTCAAGAACAATTAAGTTCCTACATAATATATGTTGTAATAAGAAAAGAAAAGAATGAAAAAGAAAACAACCAAGTCAAGTATTTTTTGAATTCATTTAATTCAATTTCTTAAAGGAGTCTGGACTGGAGGGCTCAAGCTCAACAGAAACAATCCGAAGTAGCAAAATAAGAAAAAGTAGCTAAACCTTCTTTGAGCTGTCTTGTTAATAAAAAACACAAGACCTTGGCACAATGTCTTCTACTCAATGATCAACTCAACGTTAGAGCGGACAGATCAAATAAATAGGGATGCCAAAAATGTACCTCAACCAGCAAATAAGTACAAAAATTTAAATATATTGTAGACAGGCACACAGGTAAAGTGTGACATTTTGTCAGAGTCTTTGGAGTGAAGGCACCTGCTTTTTCATACTTATCCGTGGGCTAAGGATGATTTTTCGATTTTCGTTTACGGAGGCCGAACACTCGTAGAATTACTTATTAGTTTTTATCAGGCCAGACTGAGAATTGCTTTCACATGCTCACAGTTCATTTTTAGTCTAGTTAAGTTACCAAGGATTTCCCATTGAAAAACAAACATAGCATAGGAAGAGCTAAACTTAGCGCCAGAGCTCTAATGGAAGCTCTTTCATAAGAAATCTCACCTCATCATGGGAAATAGGGGAGGGAAAGAGCAGTGTCTGGTGGACTCCAAGCAAGAAGTCAAATCCTTTTAAAGCAGTTTGACTATATACAATTAGGCTGGGTCAGGGCACTCGTGGCACCATAGTGGTTATGGTGCCACGAGTGCCCTGGCCCAGCCTAATTGTATATAGTCAAACTGCTTTAAAAGGATTTTTTCAGTGTGCTGTGTTCTCTAAAGAATGCTGCCTCAATATAGAATCCTTTTTAGGGCTGCTGAGATTTCTTGGGCAATATTTATCAAGTGAATCTGCCTCTATGGTTGTACAATATTTAGCATTTTCAGCTGAGGTATGCGAAATGGCAAAAGGACATCAAACAGAGGATATGAAACTTCATGACAGAGGCATCAGGAACACAGCAAAGGAGAAAGAGGAAACTCAAATAATATAGTCTATGGCTAATGCACCAATGGTAAAATAATAGAGAGGCTGAAAGACACAAAGGACGAAAGTGAGACTGAATAGGGCTCAGATACATCCAGGTCAGTTTCAACGTTTGAATCACGAATTACTGGAATAGCAACATTCTTGCAGAACAAAACCTGTTGTTTGTTTATAATTCTCTGTGTTTGTTTTGCTCTATGGGAGATGTTGCAACATTAGGCTCTGCTTGGAAAAAAGATTGTCCCTTTCAGGGTCCGTTAACCCATTAGGCGACCGAGGCGGTTGGGAATTCCAGTTACTGTAGCCACTTTAATTAGATGAAGCGGTTGCAGTGCCTTATGCCTACAGTATCCCTTTAAACACATCTCTGGTACTCAGAGGACAATTGGTCAAAATAATATGTTCTATGTGTATTGATAGAATCTTTTTTTAAAGGTTCTCAATGTGAAATTTAATGAAAAATACCTCCCTACCAGTGCAATTCCTATTTTCAGCATCAGGTCTGTCTACTTTCGATCAGATGGTTGCCAGTCGGTATGTCTGGCACACGGAGAGCACACGGCAGTAACATCATCGCTTAGCACGCTATGCTTTCTGCCTGGTGCTCTATATAAAGTCTAGCAAGAGCACAGTGAGCTCCATAGTGTAAATGGAAGAACCAGGACTCTTGCTAGGGCCGGTGTTGTGGACATTGGAGTAGTATACAAAGCGGGCAATGAATGAGTTAAGATACATTTGCTGTATTGCAACAGACATTAGTACATTTTCCACATTATGAATATTAATAGCAACATTGATAAGCCTAACTATAACCATGTAAGAGAATGTCAAACTGGTTAGAGCTTAGAACAGCCAGGACTTCAGGCGTTCCAAATAATCACTCTTTAGAATTTTGCATTGCATCATTTAGGCTTAAAACATGGGTGTAGTGCATACACGGTAACAGACCAAAACATTGGTTTCACTTCTTCATTTATGTTTAAGTTCCAGTTTAATAAAAGGAAACAATTAGCAGAGTTTTATAAGAATCCTTGCTAACATTTTAAAAATTATTTGACATGGTCATCATTATTGAAGGAGCACATCAGGGACCATAACTACTACAACATGCCCTGGTAGCCCCCCACTCTCCCCAATATAAATATTCACAACACTTGCTAACAATTTGAATTGTTCTAAAGCAGCACCTTTTGCATACATTTGTTTTTCAATTCACTACAATATAGTGAGTAAATAACATCAGGTTTTTCACTTGTCAGGAATTTAAATTAAAAATTAAAATTTTAGGTCAAACTAGCAGAATTGGAAACTTTTACAGGTTGTGGGCATTGGTGGTTGGAAAACACTAATTGTGACTGGCAGTGGTTGTAGTTCCAATGGCATACTGACATGCCAGTCAGAATTGGTCAATCTCCTATCATTATGTTGACAAGTATTTGAATTTGCCATCAATGCTACAGTGCCAATCACAGGTAAGTGCCCCCATCCCATTTGGGATAGAACTAAACAATGATGACACTGTGCAAAAACTCTTTATTCTCCTTACACAACTCACAAACCTCCCAGCTACCCTGCCCTTCTCTGCATGACCTTGATTTAATATGTAAGCTTTTCAAATTATTTTTAAGTTTTGGATAAACTTTTAAAATATATTTTTTTCAAAATATTGAAAAATAAATCGCATAAAAATATATCAAAATATAAAAAAAATCGAAAGAATTAAATATTTTTCAAAATATGAATTCATTTTAAAAGTTTATCCAAAAATATTAAATTATTGAAAATGTTTATAAAATAAAAAGAAATCAATGCTTAGGTGCATTATAGACTGATAAATGCTGTACATGATTTATTTACATTCCCTATTCTCATTAACTCCTATACTGCACTGTTTAAAGCATTTTCATATATTATATTAAGATAATATGTTCTGTCTAGTGTGCTACAGTAGAAATACAAATCAATCTTTGCAAATTTTAAATAGGGTCGACTTGGCATTGAGTGACCCAATAAAACATGTCACATGTCAACTTTAACGTCCCAAAGACCTGGGTTGATCTCTTTAAATGGTCAATGACAATGGCATACAATACCATTTAAAAGCTACTAGAAACCTTTATTATCATACAAATAAACTATTTCATAACTGGATGTGTATTCTTACAAAATACATCTTTAACCTAGTGTACAAAAAACAAGAACATATCATATGTAAAAGAAAATGTGTGAAGAAAAACATTTAAAATGTGTTGACTGCCAAAAAGAAGAAGATATGCTCTTTCTTTTTATTATATACCCTGAATGTCAAGATATGATTAAATCAAAATGTCTGATGTTGGGATAATAAATCCTTTCATATTTGTAACATATTTATGAGCTTACATGTGACACAGAAGAACTGCTTTGACTTTCTGGGTCAGGCAAATTAATATTAATAGCTGCCCTCAAATTAGCCCAGAATAAACCATGTTTGCCTGTCTCCTTTGGCCACTCCAGATATGTCCTCTGCGACATCAGAGTTTTTAGTTTGTAGTATTTTGAAGGAATCAGATACTGAGGAATGGGCTCAAGTAAAATAAGGATGAGATTATCCGTATTTTCTGTATACAATTTATGATGAGCAAAATATAGCTCATAGTGACACCATTCACTCTGGACAAAATTTGGTGATAAGACAAAGATAGATTTGTAACTTTTATCAATGCAGTTGATAATGTTCTCAACTATGCTTTTGCCAGCAACGAAATTTCGTTCATGTTGGCAGATCCGTATTGAAGCATTATTTTTTTCCAAGTTTGGCAATAGAGTATGTTTCACCCAGGATGCATCATGTTCGCTATACGATACGAAGGCGTGGAATACCGTCTCCTTTTGTAGTTCTTCATACCCATTCTTCTTTCTCCTTATTCTGTGCTTTGTTCGTGTCCACTGGCATAACATTTTTAAATACCATGGGCCATCAAAGTACTTACAGAGGCAGTAAAGAAGAGCCACGATAAACATTATTGGCAATACAATAATTGCAATCAGTAAGTACACATTGCAGTATACTATTGGAATGTGTATATTTTTAAGATTGATCCCTCTGGAATCATCAGGATGCTCACAAATATAGCTGTCCGGCCAACCAATTAATTTTCCAGGTGACATTTTTTCAAAGTCAATAAAGTTTTTTAGATCACAATCACACTGGAACGGATTGTGTCTTACGTTTAACTCTTTCACACTTTGGCAGCTTTTGATAGATTCACGGGATGGAGAAGAAATTATGTTAGATTGAACATTGAGTACCGCAAGCCTTGTAAAAAAGGAACAGTCAGGGAGATCAGACATACGATTAAAAGCAAGATTTAGTAGTTTTAAATTCTCCAGCTTGGTCATTTCCAAGGGAATATGTGTAATATCATTATTCTTCAGAATGAGGATTTTGAGAGATTTTGGCAAACAATTAAAAACTAAACTAGTTAAATCACATGATGCCAAATTTAGCCAAATAATGCTCTGGGACCAGTGACAGACCTCCCCAGTATAGTGCAGAGGGTTAGTGCTAATGTCTAAATGTTTTAAAGATGGCATATTTTGTGTCATTTCACTTATTTTTGACACTTTTTCTAGTTTATTTTGTGCCAAATTTAGGCTTCTCAGTTGGGTCAAAGTGTTGCAGCTGCTGAATATTTTATCAGGGAGAGCATTATCTTCAAAGTGTATGTTCTGAATGGTGCTAGGTTTCAAAGGGCACACCATGAAAATAATGTTAGCAGAGATTATCGTCAGATTTTCAACATTCATTTCTGCAAAAACTCGATATAAATATTCTTGATTGAATAAAAAAACCGTTGTTGAAGCTTTATCTACCACAAATTCTTTCATTGAAGTGTTCGAATAGTCAAAATCCATTTTAGTGACGAAACCAAACAGATTGAGATCGTAAATGTATAGTTTTTCCACAGAAGAATGCCAGATGCACTGCAGAGCCTTTATTAGATGGAACCAATCTAATTTAATGTGACTCAAGGTTAAATCAGTTACTATTGAGTTATTGGCAATGTCTGCCATATATTTCTCCGATTCGTTTTTTAATTGCCAACCGCTTATGTTGGACAATTCCAAAGACTTGGTTGTCCTGACAGCATCGATAAGAACACTGTATGGGTCAAATGTACCACCTGGTAGAATGATGTGAATGTGTTCTGTGTTTAACATGGATATACTGCCAGCTTCATAACCAGAGAGTCTCTGCAATTCAATGAGCGCATACCGTAGCTGTAGATGTGTGATGGCCTCAAAATCTGACCTTTCAATTTCAGCTGCACCAATGCCTAAATACTCCAGTTGCAATAAATTTGCCAACCCTTTGCAGACAGACATGGTTTTGAAATCATTGAAAGAAATATCGAGATGGCGGAGAGCCTCTGGAAACAAACCTGAGATGTTCTTCAGACTATTGTTGGAAAGATCCACGAACTCTAAGTTTTTGTTGAACTCAAAAACCTTGCAGTCCAGTTCATTAAGTGCATTGTGAGACAAGTTTAGGAGTCTTAGCTCAGACATGTAGCTGAAGTCTGCATCTTCCAAGGCGTGTATGAAGTTGAAAGATAAATCTAATATGGTTGTCAATGATGATAGATTAGTTGGTACTGTGCTTAACCCCTGGCCAGAGTAATTTGCTATAACAGAGGGGGAAGTGGCACACCAGGTGCCCACAAAGCTGGAGGCAAAAGCAAGGAGACAAAAGGAAACAAATGCCATTGTATGGCTCTTGTCCTTTATTTTAGAAAGTTTTCAGAAGATCCATTTATTGGCAAGCTCTTCGTAGATAATTCAGCACTCAAACCTATAAAAATATAATTATAAAAAACAATTAATTGCATGCCTGAAACATCTTGTAAAATTATTTTTTAAAATGTATTAACAAAGGAAGTTTCAACATTAGATCTCTCTTTACAGGAAGTGTTTAGGTAGGCTGTGCATGTTACTTGCAGGGAGGTGTGTCTAGGACTGCATAAACAAAGTGATTTAACTCCTAAATGGCAGAGAATTGAGCAGGGAGACTGCATGGGCATGACCTGTACACCAAAACTGCTTAATTAACCTAAAGTTGTTTTTGGTGACTATAGTGTCCTTTTAAGAAGAGAAGTTTATGGCAAATATATAAATATTCTATTGCCAGTTAAACTCTTCTATTTACTAATGAAGAGCAAAAAATGGGTCACAGGAGTATTCTGAGAACGGACAGCAGCTAAAATAGCCTGCCCTTCGGTGGGTCCCCGATCAGGACAGCAGCTAAAATAGCCTGGCCTTCGGTGGGTCCCCGCTCTTCTATTTACTATGTAATAGATAGGTTAAAGTTGTTTATTACTAAGAAGTGGATTTTGACACCATATCTACACAACTCTCTATTACGCAAGAAGTTTGCTTTGTTGTCTTCTCCTAAAGTAGTGAAAGTTCAATTTAAGCAATTCTTACAGGTTTATTCACTACAGTGATAATTGTCAGGAATTTAAAGGGAATTTAATATTTAAGGCCAAAATAGGCAAACTGGAAAATATTCTCCAAGTTAGCTAATATTTAATTTCAAATACTTTGCCCTTAAATTATAATTCATTTTCAATTCACTTTGAATTCTCAACAATTCTCACTTTAGTTACCCTGTACATTTTACATTTTAGGGTTCAGGGCATATGTATGCAAATTACGCAGGTTTTAGGAGTGCAAAACAGGCTGTCACAGACTCAGACAAGAAAAGTTAAAAGGGACACTGTAGGCACCCAGACCACTTCAGCTCATTGAAGTGGTCTGGGTGCAGTATCCCTATTGCACTTAGTGCTGCAATGTAAAACATTGCCGTTCCAGAGAACGGCAATGTTTACATTGCAGATCTTGGACTGCCCTCAGTGGCTGTCTACCAGACAGCCACTGAGGGGGCAGTAAAGGAATCCAAACAGTCCTTTGGTCTGTTATCTAAAGCTGGACATCCTCACGCTCTGCATGAAGACCTCCAGCGTCAGATTTTCCCCATAGGAAAGCATTAAATGTTGGTGAGGGAGGAGCGTGGGCGGAGCCTGACCCAGCGCCATGGGATATCGGAGCTGGATTCAGGTAAGTGACTGAAAGGGTTTTAACCCCTTCAGCCCCACGGGAGGGGGCGCAAGGGAAAGGGGAAACTATTAAACTTATAGTGCCAGGAAAACAGCTTTGTTTTCCTGGCACTATAGGCTCCCTTTAATGCTAGCTAGATCATAGAGAAGTACACTGCACTGGCTTTATTTATTTTTTTGTCCTGTAGGACATTATGGAACAGGAAAAAAATACAGCGCTAGGCTTTACTAGTGACGTAATAAGAAAATGGAGGATATAAATTACTGATAAAAACTGTACAGCCCCTAGTGTAGCATAACATGTACAGAACAGGGATATGGAATGCACTGCCTGGAGAAAGGCTGTCAATTCACCTGGTGTCTTTAGAAGTAAAACATGTTCATCAATGATTTTATAAAGGTTTATTCATTAACATAAATATTATTAACTATTATAAATTGTTGTATCCATTGTCATTTTGCAATCTCAAAGCATTTTTCTTTTCATTATTCTTGATCAGCAGTAACAGGAATGTGTGAAAGATTGAACTTGGTGGAGATAAGTATTTTTCTAATAAAAGTGACAGTCAGGGTTATTTATACCTCAAACATTATAATGCTGAGAATGATAAAATATGGGCAGAAATAGCCCATTCTCCAATTCAACTATTTTATCCTGAAATTTGCATTTCCCAAATTAGTCCTGAAAAATCAACAGTTACTTAAATATCAATGTGGAGTGTATTCGTAAAGAGTGAATCACATTAAACTTAACATAAAATGATAAAGTTTAGTGTCATTGCCTGTAGGTGTGATTCATTGTTCCTTGTAAGAAAAATACTGTGACTCAATGTGGTGTGCATTCACTGTCTCGTTGCCAAAGTAGTTTTAACTAATGTGATGTGTGTAGTGGGTGTTTCATGGAATGGTTACACAGTAAAGGTGGTATGATTATAGGAACAGTTAGTGACAAACTGGTGGCATAGCAGAGTTCTCAAGTGCCCTCAATCCCCCATTCCAAAGCTGAAATTTCCTACCACATTCAGACATGGTCCAGGTCCCCAATCCAACTCAGATATCCAACCTCCAGTCCTCTTCATTATTGGGACAGCAATTAGCCATGTTTCCAGCCTCCTTCTCACTTTCCATTAGCCAAGGTTTCCAGCCCTCTCACCCTCTCCGTTAGCCATGTTTGTAGCCACCTCTCCCTTTCAATTAGCCATGTATTCCTTTTTTTGACAGGTTTGTAAGTGTGTAAAGCATCGATACTCAGGTAAAAAGTAAAAGCGCTGTGATATATATTAGGCCGTACTACAAGCATGATGAGATTATGACATGGTGAACGTTGTTTAATATGAGGTTTGTAACTAATTCTATGTTGTATGGTCATGTACATTGAAACTTTTTTTTTATCTTTAGCTATACAGCAAAATAAAAAAAAATAAAAAAAATGATCACATGGAAATTATAGAAATTGAATCTAGCATAGCAAGATTAACTCAGTTTGAAACTGCAATTAATAAATTAAATATATATACATAAGTAAATATATACAAAATGTCTGCAGGTGCCGAACTCATGTTTACTTTCATTTTCTGTGAATCATTTCTTACAGCCAGGGCATAGATTCAGGAGAACTGGAATCTCACTTATCGCCGAATGTTATTGAAAAATTTCAATGCAATTTGCTAATTTTGCAACTTGTCTAATTCACCAACTCTGCACAGTAGAATACCAGGATATAAGAGGGATGGCAGGTGCTCTAGCATCTAAGGATAACATTCTAAAGATAGAATTCTGTTTATTTTAAAGTCATCAGACACCCAAACAGAGAATAATTGTGAAATTCTGTACCGCACAGACTTACCACAGTCGTGAGCCAGAACGTTTCTTTTTGTATAAAAAGCAATATCATCGATAGAAATCAAACTTACAGAGGTCCGATGTTGAGCCTGCTTGGCATAGAGTAACTGTGATCGGGGATTTCCTTGCTATTCCATTGCAGCTTCTATAAAACAGGAAGTGCAGACTGCGCTGTTTGGATTACTTTCATTATGTGCTCAATGTTTAACCTCACTATCTAGTTCTCCTTGGCAGACAAAGGACTCTTTTGCACGTGAAAAGCAATGTGACATGCAACCAAATAATAATTTGTTATTCTTGAGTGGAAATGCTGCTGGCAAACAGCCTACTGAGTTAGACGAGATTAGATCATCAGATGTAATGTGGGGATTTTGCATCCCTTTGCTATTTGATTGATCTAGACTTTTTTTTTAACATTTCATAAACGTATTAACTAACGAGCACTTGCTAGGGGGTTATAATTAGCATTTGCTATATATTAGTCCATAGAAAAAAGTGTGGTATTCAACAACAAAAAAATGTGCACAATTTGCATATATATATTTTGATTATCAACAACATGTTGCCAGCTGCCGATTAGCCATTAACGTCAACTTGATCTCAGTCACACCTTTCCAATGTTTTTCAACAACACCTTTGTGTGTATGAACAAAGAAAGAGCTCTACATTAGTCAGTCAAACTTAAAAGAGCATTATAAAAAACAGAAACACTACTCCTTAAAGGGACACTCCACTCCAAACACAAAATAAATCATTACTGTTTAGTAGATATACCACACATTAATACTTGCATGCATTTAATTAAGCATTTTTTTTCATTATGGCAAATCTAAGAACAGTTTGCAAAACCTGCAGAATATTGTCTGCTACCCTCCCCTTCTAACCCCACCCACATTTTTGTGGCTGCCCAATCACAGACTTCCCAATGCAGTTCAATGAGAAGTCTTTGCAAGGCAGATACTCTGGGCAATTGCTGCCTCTTGAGTTTACCTCCTCTGAGCTAAACAAAGCAGGAACTAACATGACCTGTTGTCTGCTTGACAGCCAGGGGGAGGGGGGAGGGTGGGAGGGGAGGTATCCAGGTTAATTTATAACAATCTCAATTTCCATTGATACCTGTACTTTTTGAAAAATTAAAAAAAAAATAGGACATACTCTTCACACTTAAATCTTTTCAGTAAGCTGAAGTGCTTTTGGGGTTTGGAGTGTTCCTTTTAATTGAGTGGTTTTGGTGCATAGACCCTATCTCTACACTCTGACAAAAGTAAACATTGTCATTCTATAATTATAAACCATTGCAGGATATGTTGGTCCTGTGTAAATGCTAATACTTATAATAAACATAGTACAACTAACAGATAATATAAATAATCTAAAGGAAACCATGACAGATTTTTCTGTCCAAAATGTTTGTGAATGGAATGTGATGTAGGATTTGTAACTAGCACAAAGCAGAACTGTCTATGCAGGGCCAGATTCATAAAAAATTTTTTTGGCCCAGGCAGTTCTTAATCACAGCTGCCCAGTGTGGAGAGGGCAGGAATGGGGGAGGAGGAGGGAAGAAGGGTTGTGTCTTCATTAATAACAAGTAGCACTCCGAACTGTCCACCTCATGGGAGGAATAGATCCCCCTGGGTCTCCCTCCTCTCCCCACCCTCTCCTTTAGGAAAGTGACAGTGGGCCGGTGAGGAGGATCATTGATTTACCTACCATCTCTTGAAGGCACACAGCAAGGTCAGCACTTTGATAGCGCCGGCAAGCCCCGACTCTGCATCTCCCCTGTCGGCCTCGACTCATGGCCTTTGTGGTCCACTGGGCATTTGCCAGGGTTTACCCGATGGCCAATAATACTAAAGAAATTAAAAAGATAAGCTATTAGACATTCCAAGTTTATCAGAAAAGGAATAATAGAAAAATAGACCAAAATAAAAAGGATACAATAAATCTGTTTATCACACCACTAAACTGGTGACCATAAACACAAAGTGTCTCTAGAAGTGATGCACACAGTGTGCACATGAATCAGCCTATATCAGAAGGCTCCTACTATACATTAGTATTTGTGTAATGGGCATATAGCAGAATAGTGGGGTAAATTTCCCGATGTTTTAACTCACACTCTCTTCACTCCTAGACTCTGGCCGGCTGGGAGGTAGATCAGAATGGAGATCCTTTCTGATCTGTGCATTCCACAACCTTGCGTCCTGCATTCCAGTAGCACAACATACTTTGCGACAGATGCAGTAGAGCCTTACGCGTTTCGTGAACTCGGGTCACTGAATCATAGGGTAGCATCTGTATGAATATCTACAAAATATCTAAAAGTGCAAATATATAAATGTGAAAATGTATAGAGAGGACCTTTCAAATGTCCATAAATTAATAAATCCATCATTCAGATATAAATATATATATATATATCTATATATATATATATAGATATATATATATATATTTTTTTAAAGCATGTAAAATCTATACTACAACATGAATGATATAAAATCTACAGAAGCGCATTTAATTCAAAATCTATGTTTAAACCTTTGGGTTCCAAAGGGTCTAATTGGAAAATCCACTTTGCCTCAGCTTTGTCCAGCTCTTTTTTTAAGTCACCCTCTCTCCAATGGGTATTCACCTATTGTATCCATAAAATCCTAAGTGCTTTTGGATTTCTCGCCTGAACAACATTGAATTGTCCGGATAAGTTATAGGTACAGAATTCCTTTTTAATGTTTCTAATACGTTCCCCTATTTGTGTTTTAAAGGCTCTATTTGTCCGACCTATATCTAGTTTATCACAGGGGCAGCTCAGGATATAGATTAATCATGTGTTGCAATCCAGATGGGTCCTAATTTTGACCTTCTCCTTTGTCTGAGGGTGAGCACATGTCCCTGCCCAGGGTTGTTGATGCACCCCTGGCATCTTCCACACTTCCAAAAGCCTTGTTCATCTTCCGTTACTTCTAGCTTATCCTTCTTTTCTGGACATTCAATCATTGGCTGAGAGCATCACCTGAGTGTTCTTAGACATTGAATGAGAAACATATCACCAGCACCTAGTCCAAGGCGTCCTATTTGAAGTCGGAGACAGAGGCGGAGGAAGAAGGACCCGGATGATGGTTGATATTTGGACAACTTTGGGGTAGACTTTATATAAACAGTTTGACCCCTTAAGGTGGTGCCCAGAGAAAAGGTTGTTATGGTGTCCAAAGGCATAGAAATGTAATCCACCTGATGTGATTTCATCACATAATTTCCTATAATAAGACCTTGCATCTGAAAAGTGGAGCATGCATTGACACAGAGTGCCCAGCATTCGACATGATGCCTGATCAAGCACTGCATAACACACACAACATGGTGATGGCAAAGCTTGAGGGACATGACAAATTGCAGCAGCTGGTTTATCACTGGGCTAAACGTTAACTTCTTTGGGGGGCAGGCCCCTGCAGAACATGGACTTGAACTTCATTAAAGACAGTTCTAATTACATACCTGCTGGATCCAGAACCAGAATCGGAGCAGGACACTGCTGAATTTTCTGTTCTATTTTATCTATAGAAACATTGATACAATGCAAGTACCTATATTAGCTCCCGCACATACAGCAATTTATACATATGGCCAAATGCTAATATTTACACTGTTGACCAGACAAAAATGCTCATGACTTCTTAGGAGCTCTTGTCCTGGATGTTCTTGATTAGTGGAAGCTATCCCCTGTCAGGAATGGGTCAGCAAGTAACTGTGACAGCCTCTATAATAGGTACATCTGCACGAGCTTTGAAGGTGAAGATATTTTATTTTACTTTTTCATTTATATGCATACATTTCATTCATTATCTTCATAAAAAAACAAGAAGTCACTTGTTGCTTATTGTTTCAATTTAAAGGACCACTATAGTGCCAGGAAAACATACTCGTTTTCCTGGCACTATAGTGCCCTGAGGGTGTCCCCACCCTCAGGGTCCCCCTCCCGCCAGGCTGGATGGAGAGGAAGGGGTTAAACTTACCTCTTTCTCCAGCGCTGGGCGGGGAGCTCTCCTCCTCCTCTTCGGCTGAATGCGCATGCGCAGCAGGAGCTGCGCGCGCATTCAGCCAGTCCATAGGAAAGTATTCGCTGGCGTCTTCTCACTGTGATTTGTACAGTGAGAAGCACGGAAGCCCTCTAGCGGCTGTCAATGTGACAGCCACTAGAGGTTGGATTAACCCTAACATAAACCCTAATATAAACATAGCAGTTTCTCTGAAACTGCTATGTTTATAGAAAAAAGGGTTAACCCTAGATGGACCAGGCACCCAGACCACTTCATTAAGCTGAAGTGGTCTGGGTGCCTATAGTGGTCCTTTAAGTACCTTTTATTTTGCATAAATGTATTGAAGAATAATATAACCAATAAAAAAAAAAAATTGCCCTTTTAACCCCTTATTACTACGCCCTATTATAGGTGGCTCTAAACGCCGCCGGGCGTAATAGTACGCCCTCCGGTCTTTCTGTACTTACCCGGTCACCGGCGATCCCACGCCGGCGATCGCAGTTGGGGGGACTCCCAGGGAGCCCCACGCGGCATGTCCGACCCCCTGGAGGCCCCCCGGCCATGTGAGAGTGAGGTCCTTGCGAGGACCCCACAATCACATGGCCAGGTTAGCTGGCTGCTGCATTGCCAGCAGGGGGGCTGCCTGTAATGACAGGTGGTCCCCCTGCTGGCTGAAAATAAAATTAATAAAAGTTTATAAGTGTAAAAAAAATATATATATATACTTAGATCATAGACATACACACACGTACACTGTCTAGGTGTATTTTACTATTAATATATATATATAATTATATATATATATATATATATACACATATATATATATATATTAATATCAAATTGCACGTAGACTGATACTGATTAAATATATATATAATTATTGTTATATATATATATTTATATATAATATAAAAAAATTAAATATGTAAATACGTTAAAAAATAAAATTAAAATTAAAATTAAAAAAAAATTAAAAAATATATAGATGTGTGTTATTTCGTTCTAACTGTATTGTGATATTAATATATATATTTATATCAAAATGCACGTAGAACAAAATAATATATATATCTACATACATAAATATATACGTATATATATCACTATATATATACCTATTTATAAATAAAAATATTTTTAAAAATTATATATATATATATACACATATAGATTCACATACGTATATATACATATATTAATTCTACATGTATATTTATGTAATATTTTTACATAATTAGGTATCTTAATTAATTACAATTAGCGGGACCTGCCTGACAACCCATGCCGAAAGTAAAGGGAATTTAATTTGCTAGCACTATATTTAACCCTATAACTTTCCAAGACACCATAAAACCTGTACATGTGGGGTACTGTTCTACTCGGGAGACTTCGCTGAACACAAATATTAGTGTTTCAAAACAGTAAAATGTATTACAAAGATGATATCGCTAGTAAAAGTGAAGTTTTTTGCATTTTTCACGCACAAACAGCACTTACACGGACGATATTATTGCTGCGATACTTTTTACAGTTTTGAAACACAAATATTTGTGTTCAGCGAAGTCTCCCAAGTACAACAGTACCCCTCGTGTACAGGTTTTATGGTGTTTTCAAAAGTTACAGCGTCAAATATAAGGCTTGCGTTTCATTTTTTTCACATTAAAATTCGCCAGATTGGTTACGTTGCCTTTGAGACCCTATGGTAGCCCAAGAATGAAAATTACCCCTATGATGGCATACCATTTGCAATAGTAGACAACCCAAGGTATTGCAAACAGGGTATGTCCAGTCTTTTTTAGTAGCCACTTAGTCACAAACACTGGCCAAAATTGGCGTTTTTTGCATTTTTCACACACAAACAAATACTAACGCTAACTTTGGCCAGTGTTTGTGACCAAATGGCTACTAAAAAAGACTGGACATACCCCATTTGCAATACCTTGGGTTGTCTACTATTGCAAATGGTATGCCATTATGGGTGTAAATTTCATTCCTGGGCTACTATAAAGTCCCAAAGGCAACGTAACCAATCTGGCGAATTTCAATTTCAAATGTAACGTGCTATATTTGACCCTGTAACTTCCCAAAACGCCATAAAACCTGTATATAGGGGGTACTGTTTTACACGTGAGACTTTGCTGAATACAAATATGTGTATTTTATTGCAGTAAAAGCAAACAGTATTATGACATTGACAGTTAAAATGTCATGTAGAACTAAAAAAATAAAAATAAATCTTATTTTCTCCCATTTTTTCATATTAAATTATGTTTCATAGCTAAATATTTGATATTAAATGAAAGCCCTGTTTCCCCTGAATAAAATGATATATAATAAGGGTGGGTGCATTTACTATGAAAGAGGTGAATTACGGTTGGACAGACATGTAGCGCAAATGCCAGGTTTTGTTACATTTTGTTTCGTTCACAATGTGTACATTTGGCTCCGTCCTTAAGGGGTTAACCTCAATACAAGTTAATGTTTAGTCAACATTCCTTCCAGCTGCCCTGGATTTGTTTTAATTTGAGAGGCAGACAAAAAAAAAAAAAAAAAATCTAATTTCTTGCTAAAACCCCCACAAAACCATAAAATGCCCCTCTTAACCCTCACAGAAAACCAAATCTATTTGACATAAACAAACCATTCATGAGAACTCTGAAAACAGCAAACATTCTCTGTGTGACATGCTAATCAGAAGGAATTAGGCTCATCATTCTAGACTGTAGCCAGTCACTCCTTCACTGACTGCAACATGAACTATTTCAGTGCTCTCTCCCCAGTCTGTCTACGTGGCAGGGAGGGTGGAGGAATTAGGCTGATTACTGTACTGGAAGGAGCATAGCTCAGCTTGCTATAGAGAGGTAAGGAATAGTTCTTATTAATTCATGTAATTACCTATACTGTTAATTAACCACCACATTGGATGATTAGACAAGAGGCACAACTGCTTGTTTTGCAATGTTGTGATATCCCATCAGGCACTTGCAGATATAAAGATTATACTGTGTAACTGCATCCCTCTGTATAGAATAACTTGCTGGAGTTAACAGTTACATTGTTTACAATATGCACCATTTTATTAGGATTGGCCTTTATATAGAAGCCGTGATTTAAAGAGGTAATGTGAATCCTTTCCCATACAATCCTGAACTGGTTAAAAGTTAAAGTGAAAGTATCCTGTATTGAGTGATGTGCATGAAGTTTATTAAATCACGTGGTGTCACTGCATGTCAATATTGTTAGATAATGCCCACATTTTGAATAAAACATAAAAAATAACTTTATTTCTTAGAATTTTAATGACACTTTAGGATTTGAAAACCATATTCTATTTACAGGGTCATTCACTAAATTGAGAATTCAAAGAGAATGTCAAACTTAAGGTAAAAATAATAAAACCGGGTCCGTTGTTCTTCTAGTTAAGCTATGTTGACCTCAAATGTGATATTCAGGTCGAATTCTCACGTTAGTGAATAACCCTGTTAGTGTTGTTTGCTGACATTAACGGGAGCCCTTGTGAAAGCGATCACTATGGAAACTAACAAAAAATCTTACTACTTGAGTCCTCGTTTGAACTTATAAATAGCCACTGTGGAATTTTCCAAGTGGTAGTAGATAATAGCAGGTTGATTGTATCCCTTTGCAGATTTTGAGATGTCAAGAAGTTGAAGAGAAAAAAAAATGATTACACAGATAATGCATTAAAACAACTGTAGTTAATGAAGCAGTTTTGGTGTAGAGATCATCCCCCTGCTTAATCCTCTGCCATTTAGGAGTTAAATCCCTTTGTTTATGAATCCCTAGTCACACCTCCCTGCATGTGACTTGCACAACCTTCCTAAACACATCCTGTAAAGTGAATATATTGCTTAATCATCCTTTATTGCACAGTATGTTTAACTTAGAGGGTTTTTTTTTTTGTTTTTAAACTCCTGGATTGTTTATTGCTTGCTAAGTTTTACAGGAGCCTCTTGTGTGAGATTAAAGTTCAATTTACAGAGCAGGAAATAAAAACTTAAACTTTAAAAATATATATTTTTTTTTCATGCAGGCTCTGTCAGTCACATACAAGGGAGGTGTGGCTAGGGCTGCATAAACAGAAACAAAAGTGATTATAGTTAGTTTATAAGAGACCTCAGAGGCATTATCTATACACCAAAACTGCTTCATTAAACTGAAATTGTTTTGAAACATAGAAACATAGAATGTGATAGCAGATAAGAACCATTCGGCCCATCTAGTCTGCCTAATTTTCTAATTTCTTTCATTAGTCCCTGGCCTTATCTTATAGTTAGGATAGCCTTATGCTTAATCCCTTAACCCCTTCCCGACCGTGGACGGAAATTTTCCGTCAACCTTGTCCTTCAGTTAAGGACCGTTGACGGAAAATTTCCGTCATTTTCTTAAGTTAACCCCAGATCGCCGCGATCGCGGCAATCGCGGGGTTAACGGTGCTCCGGTCTGCCTCTGCATTAGAGGCAGACCGGGAGCACCCGATCGGGCTGCCCCAGCACCGGTGCTCGCTCTGACAGCATGTCAGAGCGAGCACATGTGCTCCACATACTCACCTTCCGCCTCCCTGCACTTCCGGGTTCTGTGTGAAGTGCAGGGAGACGGATCAGTGCTGATCTGCTTCCCTGTGTAAAAAAAAAAAAAATTAAAGTTAAATCCCACCCCCCCTGCCCCTGTTTTAATAAAATTAACCCCTTCCCTGCCAATTGATCACTGACTACAGTGATCAATTGGCAGGGTATACATTTTAATGTCATCTGATTTTTTTTTTTTTTAACCCCTGAGGGTTAATTATTATTTTTTTAACCCTCAGGGGTTAAATTTATTTTATTAATTAATTTAAATATTAAAAAATTATATATTTAGCTAGCTGGGATGGGTGGAAGTTAGTGGGGAATTGGGGAATTTGGTGTTAGGCTAACTAGGGGTTAACGTTAAAAAAAGTTTTAAAATAAGCTTTAAAAAGGTAAAAAAAAAAATTTTTTAAATGTTTTAGTAACGTTTAAGTAAAAAAAAAAAAAATACCACCCCCTTTACCCAGTCTAAATAAAAATTAACCCCTTCCCTGCCAGCTGATCACTGCCTACAGTGATCAAAATACAGATCACAGTATTATACTGTGATCTAATTTTTTTAACCCCTGAGGATTAACTTTTTTTTTTTTTTTTTTAACCCTCAGGGGTTCCATTTATTTAATTAATTAATTTAAATATTTTATAATTAAATATTTTGCTAGCTGGGGTGGGTGGGAGTTATGGGAAAATGGGGAATTTACGGTTAGTGCTGCTTACTGCTAGTTAGGGGTTAACGGTAAAAGAAAAGTTTAGAAAAAAAATTAAAAGTGTAAAAAAAGTTAAGATAGTGTAAAACATTTAATAAGTAAAAAAAAAAGTTTAAAAATGGGTTTTACAAAGTAAAAAAAGTTTTACAAAGTAAAAAAATACATTTAAAAATGCTCATTACCACTACACTTGGTACAAGCTAGCGGAAATATTATCCCACGCTAAGGTTCAAAATATGCCTTTTGAATTACCCTGGGATGTCTTCTTTAAGAAATGATATGCCTTTATGGTGTAATTGGATGATATAGCCTTGTAAAATACTCTAAAATGGGACATGGACACAGCATAAAAATTCAAAGTTTGGAAAAAACTGGAATGGCTGTGTCTCAAATGTGCCCCTTCAATGTCCACATATACCTGGCAAAGTTACATACGGGGGTATTGCTGTACTCAGCGACATAGCTGAACAACATATGAAGTAGTATACAGTCGTAGTACACATAAGGTTTGCAAAATATACTGCGCAAACTCACTTTGTGTGTCAAAAAGGCAGAAAAAATGCTTATTACCACTACACTTGGTACAAGCTAGCGGAAAAATTATCCCACGCTAAGGTTCAAAATATGCCTTTTGAATTACCCCGGGATGTCTTCTTTAAGAAATGGTATGCCTTTATGGTGTAATTGGATTATATAGCCTTTTAAAATACTCTAAAATGGGACATGGACACAGCGTAAAAATTCAAAGTTTGAAAAAAATGGAATGGCTGTGTCTCAAATGTGCCCCTTCAATGTCCACATAAACCTGGCAAAGGTACATACGGGGGTATTGATGTACTCAGCCGACATAGCTGAGCAACATATGAAGTAGTATACAGTCGTAGTACACATAAGGTTTGCAAAATATACTGCGCAAACTCACTTTGTGTGTCAAAAAGGCAGAAAAAATGCTTATTACCACTACACTTGGTACAAGCTAGCGGAAAAATTATCCCACGCTAAGGTTCAAAATATGCCTTTTGAATTACCCCGGGATGTCTTCTTTAAGAAATGGTATGGCTTTATGGTGTAATTGGATTATATAGCCTGGTAAAATACTCTAAAATGGGACATGGGAACAGTGTAAAAATTTAAAGTTTGAAATGAACTGGAATGGCTGTGTCCCAAATGTGCCCCTCCGATGTCCACATATACCTGGCAAAGGTACATACGGGGGTATTGATGTACTCAGCCGACATAGCTGAGCAACATATGAAGTATTATACAGTCGTAGCACACATAAGATTTGCAAAATGTACTGCGCAAATTTACTTTGTGTGTCAAAAAGGCAAAAAAACGCTTATTACCATTACACTTGGTACAAGCTAGCGGAAAAATTATCCCACGCTAAGGTTCAAAATATGCCTTTTGAAATACCCTGGGATGTGTTCTTTAAGAAATGGTATGCCTTTATGGTGTAGTTGTAATATGTAGCCTGCTCAAGTGCTCCAAAGTGGGCACGGACGCATCAAAACCCTCCATGAAAATTCACACTTAAAAACCTTAACTTGTTACGTCTCTTTTATAGCAGTGTAACTTCACAAAATAGTGTCTAGGTCATACATTGGGCATATTGTTTTACTCAGAAGACTTAGCTGAGCATAATTTGGGGGGTTTGAACTTAGTGGCACATATGAAATGTACAAAATGCCCAGCAAAAATGTAATCCGTATGTAAAAAATGCCCAAAATTATTTTTTACCACATACTTTGGCATATATTGGTGAAAAAATGGGGGCATGTTAAGGCACAATATGCACCATATGAGATACCCTGGAGTGTCTACTTTTATAAATGGTAGGCCTTTGTGGGTTTTTTTTGAACAGTCAAACTGCTATAATACCCCAAATTGAAGCATAGGCCCATTAAATCCGCCTCTCAAAATTCTACTGTAAATGTTGAAACGGACAGGTCTCCTATATGGCACTGTAGCTTCACGAAATAGTGCCAAAGACATACAATGGGGGTATCGTTGTACTCAGCAGAAGTAACTGAACACAAAATAAAACTTTGTACAGGAATAGCACACACCAACTTTACAAAATATACATGGGAAGTTCTTTGTTATAAGTTTGTGTGCCAAAAACTCCAAAAAACTAAATTTTACTCCAATATTTAGCAGAGATTGGCGGTGAAATGGCTACTTAGAAAGTGTCAAAAAACCTTAGGACAATAGCCTGTGATGTCTACTTTATATAAATATATACTTTTGTGTGGCAATTTTGTTTTCTTTTATGGCTATTAAGCTTACAAGACAAACATACAAAATTCTAAAATCGCTCTACATTAAAAGTTTATTTTACTCCTTGTGCTTTATGACCTGTAACTACCAAAAAAAATTTTAAATCCCAGACACATTATATATTTTGTAAATCAGAACAACTAAATAAATTTATTTTTAATTACTTTCTTTAACCTGCACTAATTAGGCACACATTATTATTGCAAAAACTGTACAAAAAACACAATTTTTTTCATTTTTTTGCATTTTTCTGTATTTTTTAAATAATAAATAAGCATTTATATATATATGTTACATCAAATTAAAGCCCTTTATGTCCTTTAAAAAACAGTATATAATATGTGTCGGTGCAATAAACGAGAGAGATGCAAATTGCAGTTGAACGCATACAGCAAGAAAATGCAAAAATTGCTTGTGTCATTAAGCGTAAGACAAGCTTCTGAAGCTGTGTCCTTAAGGGGTTAAGGACCAAACTTCTGGAATAAAAGGGAATCATGACATGTCACACATGTCATGTGTCCTTAAGGGGTTAAACTCCTTTACTGTGTTAACCTCTACCACTTCAGCTGGAAGGCTATTGCAGGCATCTACTATCCTCTCACTAAAGTCATAGCGAAAAACGGGTTGCAGGAAGCGATCAAAGATCACTCCTGCCATTATAACTCTGTTACTATCTGCCAGACATCCCAGGCAGATAGTAACAGCAAATTGCGGCGTGTGAGCGATCCGCGATCGCTCACAATTGGCTGCTGTCAAAGTGGGTGTTACAAACACTCACTTTGACAGTGATCTCTGCTCCTCTCTCCTCTGTAGCGTTTTGTGAGGCGTGAGAGACAGAGATCATGATAGTTTGTTGCAGCAGAAGTGTTCCAGCGCTTTATACAGTATCTAAAGTGAATTAAAAAAAATCCCTTTTAACCCCTTCCCTGCCAGATCTGTTACAGCAGTGCATTTGTACTGTCTGTATTTTTTTTTTGCCCTTAAAGGATTAAACATTTTTAAAAATCTGTGTCTTGGTCAGTCAGTTTCCTTCCCCCAAACCTCCATTAGATTTTTGTGACAGGAGTTAATTTAGGGATTGCTGTTTAGTCTGTTATAGCAAAAAAAAAAGTGTACAATTTTTTTTGTGTGTGTTTGTAATTTGTTTTAGTCGTGTGTTTAAAAAAAAAAAAAAAGCATCGTATGTATAACTTGCAGGAGGCATATGCCTTCTTGGCGTCAGACTCTGACGCCACTGACACTGCGTGAGATTTTGACCCAGGTCAGTTTTCTGACACGTCTAGTCAAGACGACATGTCATCTGTGTGTGAGCCGGCTGAAGAAAGAAGCTGTGCTTCCTCTGCTATGCCAAATGTGGAGGAGGATTGGGTACTACCCAAAAGTTTGACAAAGGCTGATGGTAGAATTCAGTGCACGAAAAGTGTTTAACTACCACTTAAAATACTTTGTCTACTTTTCAAAAGTATATGGTTTGATGGGGGTAAAATACATTGGTCCAAATAGGACATGTGCACAGGTTGATTACATGTCAGAATTCCAAGTTTGGAAACTGATAAGTGCACCTGCCAAACGTGGCCTTTTAGCCCCCAAAGAACCCGACAAGCCTATGCATGGGTGGTATCACTGTATTCAGGAGATCTTGCTGAACACATATTGGGGTGTTGTTTGGCAGTGACACATAACAGGATCTGTTATTTCATGCCTGAAGTACAATGTGTGTGTGGAAAAAAACAGAAAACAATTTACTAACTCAATGTTTGACAAAGCCTGGTGGTAGAATTAGTGCATGGAAAGTGTTAAAATACCACCATGTGAAATACCCTAGGGTGTCTACTTTTCAAAAATATATGGTTTGATGGGGGTAAAATACATTGGTCGGCTTCAAAAATGTCCCAAATAGGACATGCATGCAGGTTGACTACATGTCAAAATTCCAAGCTGGGAAACTGAAATGCGCACCTGCAAAATGTGGCCTTTTAGCCCCCAAACAACCCAACTCACCTATACACGGGGGTATCCCTGTACTCGGGAGATGTTGCTGAACACATATTGGGGTGTTTGGCAGTGACATATAACAGGATCTGTGAATTTATACCTGAATTGCAATGTATGTGAAAAAAAAAAACACCCTATGCAAAGTTTGGCAAAGGTTTGTGGTAAAATGGCTGCATAGAAAGTATCAAAATATTCTTAGATGAATACCCTGGGTTATCTAGTTTAAGAAAAATATATACATGTGGGGTGTTTTTGGAGATTTATGACTTAACAGTGTTACAATGTCACTATTGATACATTTGAAAAATGTACATTTTGAAACAGCAATTTCCTACTTGTACTTATAGCCCTATAACTTGCAAAAAACACATAAACATTGGGTGTTTTTAAACTCAGGACAACATTTTGAATCTATTTAGCAGTTTGTTTCATTCGATTTTTGTAGATCAGTGAAAGATTTTTTTTTTAAGTAAAAGTCCAAAAAAGTGTGGTTTTTTTTGTTTTTGTTTTTTTTTCCACCATATTTTATTTTTTAATTAAATTATATGACATGATAAAAATAATAGTATGTAAAGAAAGCCCTTTTGTCCTGGAAAAAAAAATATACAATTTGTATCGGAAAAGTAAATGAGAGAGCGGAAAATTACAGCTAAACACAAACACCACAAAAGTGTTAAAATAGCTCTGGTCCTTAACGCACAAACATCACAAAACAGTCCGGTCCTGAAGGGGTTAAGAGAAACTGCTATGTTTACATAGCGGGGTTAATCCAACCTCTAGAGGCGCATTTGCGATGCTGGATGCGATATTCGCATCCAGTGTGCAGAATGTCCAAAGGAAAGTATTGAGAAATGCTTTCCTATGAACTGTTTGAATGCGTGCACGGCACTTGCTGCGCATGTGCATTCTGCTTCACTCGGGAGCTGGGGGAGGAGCAGAGGTCACCAGCGCCGAGGGTGCCCGGCGTTGCATTAAGGTAAGCTGCTGAAGGGGTTCTAACCCCTTCAGCGCCAAGGGAGGGGGACTCTGAGGGTGGGGGCACCCTTAGGGCACTATAATGTCAGGAAAACTGGTTTGTTTTCCTGACACAATAGTGATCCTTTAAAGCTGTTTTGTTTTGAAATTACAATTTTGCTTTTATGTTTCAAAAACATGCAAACCAAATTCTAGTTACTAGAGGCACTTAAAATGCTGTCTATATATAGATGCTTGAGCTGTGGCTATCTCCCATACCTCCGGGGGGTTCTCTGTTTTTGGCCCCAAATTTCTCTGTCCTCCTTTGCTATCATTCCTTCTTTTCTAGGAGCTCCATATTTATGGTGTGTGATAGAGAGATATATATCCGGCCGGCGTGCGTGATGACGTAGAGCACGATGACACCTTGGCTTCCTCAGATCTTTATTTTTTTTGTTTTGTATTACTATGTGTTTTGAGCCTTTACTCATTGTAAGGTGCAGCTTTGAATAGCAATTTCAGTGAAATCATTTTTTGAGCTTTACTTAATGTATTTATTCTGTATATGTTGTTGAAACATGGCTTGACAGAAAATTATAATAATGACAAACTCTCTCCTTTTTTAGTCCTAATGTCTACAGAAACCAGCCAAGCAGAAGAGACTAATAAAGATGAAGAACTAGAAAAGATTAAAGATCTTAAGTTGACCAACGTAGGTGAAGCTGTGTTAGAGGAGCATCTAGAAGAGAGTGGAACACATGAGGAACCTGTGCAAGAGACTCACGAAGTTGGTTCTCTTTCAACCCCTGAAGAACTTGACAGCAAGGAAATAGAATTACCTGTGAAGACAATAGAATGCTGTGACTCTGTGAACCTGGAACCACAAATTGAAGGCAGCGAGACTCCGGAAGACCGTTGCAATCAGGTATTCTTTTCTGTAATCCGTATTGCATTTAGCCTAGAAAGCTGTAGAAAGCTGGTTACCTGCATGGTATCTTAACCCCTTAAGGATGCATGATGGAAATGTTCCATAATGCTGGCCTTTTACTTCCTTAAGGGGTTAATATAAACTCATTAGCACTGAAGTATTTTTGTCAAATTCCTTCCAAAATTGAGATTGAAAAGTATGTATTTTTCCCTATTTTTCCATCATTACTACTTTTCTCTTCCCTTCTTTTTCCATTGTTTATATTCCCTTCCATTTTTTCCCTTTCTTTTAATATCGTTTCCCCTCTATTCCCTTCTTTCCCCCTTCTCCCCCCCACTCATTTTTTTAAATTATTATTTTTTTGTCAAAAAGAGATTGGTTGTAATATACCAATGCATTAAATTTTCTATTCATTCATTGAAATATATCATCTGTGTTTCTACCCTAAAGACTCAAGATCCGACTACAAAAGATAGTGGTTGGAGTTCCTGGGGGACATGGGGCAAATCTATTTTGTCCTCTGCAAGTGCAACAGTAGGTAAGATGTTCTTGTTCGTCTCACATAGTGTCCTGCTGACCACTTTGATTTTCTTATGTGTTTTTGTATTTCCATTAGCATTGCTCTGTAAAGCACTGCAGAATATGTAGGCTCTATATAGGTAATAATTACTATATTAATTTCTTCATGCAACCTTTGTAGAGAGCAATAGGGCACAAAATATGTCAAAGAAATATGACAGCAGTGGCGGATACAGAGCCTGATCTCTGGAGGGGCACTTATTTAAAGAAATAATCCATGCACAATAACCACTACAGCTCTGTGTAGTGGTTATGGTGGCAGGAGTGCCGGGAACCCCTCCCAGAGTAAGTAGTCAAACTGTTTAAGAACAGTTTGACAACTTACCTGGGGTCTTCTGGGATATGGGGTTGTAGTAGGGCATAGGAGTGGTGCAGTGTGTGAAAGGTTCAGTGTGTGTGTGTAGTGTTTGTATGGGGGGCTGTGTGTGTGTGGGGGGCAAGTATCCTCTATTAATCATGTGGAAACACTGACTCATTTTCATGTTTGATGTTTAAAAATAAAGTTATTCAATATTGTAAATACAAACTGCTGGTAGATCTCCTCGACTCACAAATACTAAAAAGTAAATAACGTCTGCTAGCTACACATGTTCCTCCAATGATACTGACCCCAATGATACCGACCACCACTTAGCATTACTAATTTGAAAATCATACAAAAAGCTTGTTTTCCATTTCATAGATATAGCAACTCCAACAAGACACGATAAAATGTTCAGCACATGCACACTTCAAATGTAATCATCTAAGCAAGTTGTCCATTAGAGTTTATTCAGTAAGCTGCTCATTGAAGTGAATTAAAAGCCAAAATGTTATATTTTTAACAGCTTGGCTACTTTGATTTATGTGTTTTTTATTTTTCCAATCATGTTTGTAATCCACAGTTAAACCCCTTAGTGTTTCCATTCATCTAACCTGAGACATTTCACACGTGCTTATTAAAAACTACATACATCACGCGTGCAGATTACAATAAACATAGAAATGAGACCCATATAGTATTTTATTTTTATAGTAATTGTAGTAGCTTTTTATTTCTTATTTTATTTTTTAGACTTTTACTTTAAAGTCACTGTGTAATTCTATTGTGGTAGATTTTCTGTTGTTATCTCAGCAAGTGTGTGATTGCTACTGAAGGTCCACACTGACTCAGAACCTTCCGCAGAAATGAATCTCCGATAACTGTCATTTATGATCATTTAAACTGTGGTCTCTTTAAAAAAAAAAAAAAGCTTTATGGTACTTTTATTTGTGGTTTACTTCATATACTAGCTATCCAGTCACTACGTGATCCAATTTTTTGGCTGTCACACTGACGTGGACTAAAATCTTATAAAAAAATAAATATGTAACCACTAGTACATCTAATGGATTATATATAATATTAATAGAGCTCACACCCTAAGGATCAACTTAAAAGGCCCCTAGCATTTTAAAAAGGCCCCTAGCACTGACTGGGAGATATAAGAGCCTTTCTGAGCCACCTCTATTGACTCATACAGATTCTCCCCCCCCACCACCCTTTTTTTTGTTTTAATATTTAATTTAATACTATCATTTATTTCACACACTTCACTTATTTATGTTGTTTTGTACATAGGAATTTCGTGTGGTAAATATTAACCCCTTAAGGACCGAGGACGGTTCAGGACCGTCATCGGCATTTTTGCGTTGCCGACCGATGACGGTCCTGAACCGTCCTAACGGTCAGAGCTACTTACCTGATCGCCTTCGTTCCCCCGGCGGCGATCAGCGTGGCTCCGGTTGTGGGGAGACTACCTGCAGCCCAGACAGTCTCCCCACGGCAGATTAGGACCCCTGGGGCCATGTGATCGATCAACACAGCGATCACATGGTCACAATAGGTGTCCATGTGTCTGCCTGCAGGGGGACTGTCTGTGCTGACAGGCAGTCTCCCTGCTAGTGTAAAATCAGTAAAAAAGAATAAAGTTAGTGTTAATAAAAAAAAAAAAAAAATAATAATAATTATATATGTGTATATATGATATAATATATGTCTATATATCTATATAATATATGTCTATATATTATATATATATAATGTCATACTAAGTGTATTTTTATATTAATATGTACTTATATTAATATAAAAATACACTTATAATTAAATTACACACGTGTATATATTGTGTGTGTGTATATATATATATATATATATATATTATTATAAAATATAAATAAGTAATTAAAATTAAATAAAAATTTTTTTAAATAATAATAATTTTTTTTTTAAAAATTATATAGCTATATGAAATTTTATTCTAACTGTATTTTAAAATATATATTAATATCAAAATACACTTAGAATGAATTTGTATATATATCTATGTATATAAAAATAATAAGAAATATACATACGTCCATATACAAAATTACATAAATAATTATATAAATATACACGTAGACTTCAAATATATAAATATGCATATATATTTAAATTCTACGTGCGTATTTATGTAATATTTTTACATAATTCAGTAATTTTATTGATTGCAATTTGAGGGACCTGCCTGCCAACCCAGGCCGAAATTCCAGAGAATTAAATTTTTCTAGCACTGTATTTTACCCTGTAACGTTCTACGACACCCTAAAACCTGTACATGAGGGGTACTGTTTTACTCGGGAGACTTCGCTGAACACAAATATTAGTGATTCAAAACAGGAAAACATATCACAGTGATGATATTGTCAGTGAAAGTTACTTTTTTTGCATTTTTCACACACAAACAACACCTTTACTGATGATATAATTGTTGATACGTTTTCCAGTTTTTAAACACTAATATTTGTGTTCAGCGATGTCTCCCGAGTAAAACAGTACCCCCCATGTACAGGTTTTATAGCATTTTTGAAAGTTACAAGGTCAAATGGCCAGGTTGGTTACGTTGCCTTTGAGAGCGTATGGTAGCCCAGGAATGAGAATTACCCCCATGATGGCATATCATTTGCAAAAGAAGACAACCCAAGGTATTGCAAATGGGGTATGTCCAGTCTTTTTTAGTAACCACTTGGTCACAAACACTGGCCAAAATTAGCGTTCAATTTAGTTTTTTTACTTTTTTCACACACAAACAAATATGAATGCTTACTTTGGCCAGTGTTTTCGACTAAGTGGCTACTAAAAAAGACTGGACATACCCCATATTGAATACCCTGGGTTGTCTACTTTAAAAAAAATATGTACATGTGGGGTGTTATTCAGAGATTTATGACAGATAATAGTGTTGACAGATAACAATGTCACTATTGATAAATTTAAAAAATGTATGTTTTGAAACCGCAATATCCTACTTGTACCTATAGCCCTATAACATGCAAAAAAAAGCACGTAAACACTAGGTATTTTTAAACTCAGGACAAAATTTTGAATCTATTTAGCAGTTTTTTTCATTCGCTTTTGTAGATGAGTAAAAGATTTTTCAAGTAAAAGTCAAAAAACATGTATTTTTTTCAATTTTTCATCAGATTTTTGTATTTTTTTTTTTAAATTAAAATACATGAGATTATATAAATAATGGTATGTAAAGAAAGTCCCTTTTGTCCTGAAAAAAACAATATATAATTTGTATGGGAACAGTAAATGAGAAAGCGGAAAATTACAGCCAAACACAAACACCACAAAAGTGTAAAAATATGCCTGGTCGCAAATGTACAACATTGCAAAAACAGTCCAGTCCTTAAGGGGTTAAAACTAATATTAAAACAGTATTGCTTTTTAAATTGTATCTATTAATACTAACAAGGAAAATGAATTTAGGAGTGGTGGTAACTGGTTAAGATTCTGTCCCCTTTTGGTTTTTTGTGCATTTGGAGATCACCTCTTAAATTAGTTTGTGTTAGACTGTGTATTTCTGTTTATTGTGTTCATAAACCTGTGCATACACTTTTTTTTTTTTTTTTTTTTTTACCACAAGGTCACGGATTGTCTGCTGTAAAAGAAAAGGCTGGCGCAACATTACGAATGAGAAGTTCTGAGTCGGAAAGTCATGAAAGTAATGCTTTGGACCCACATGACACAGGAGAGCAAAGTGAGATAATTTATTCAAACAGTCACATCTACAGGCAACTCGGGCAATTATTACTCAACTGCAAATGTGAATCCATTTAGCAAATTTAATGTAGAATAACCAAAATAGATGATACATTACAGTTTGAGTATGACTCGTGTATTCTGAGAACTGCCTTTAATGAACAAAGATTATTCAAGGAAAGCATAAAATAGTCTTAATTCAGTTTCAAATGTTGCGATTTGGACATGAACCAAATCAATTTATTGCCAGCACTGCAGAATGTATTGAGGCTCAATAAATAATTGTCCTGTTAATTCTGAAATTCAGGGATTTTAGTTGAAATAGCTCATTGACAAATTGAGTAGCACATCTTTGTATGTTAACACTTTGCCCACTGCAATGTTGGGGTTAGTTTAGGAACTTATCAAGGTTAAGTCTAATCATTTGGGTCAGTTTGAGGCAAAATCTCTTCAAGATGAATATGTACCGGTAGTTCTTATTTTAAATTTTTTTCAACTGAAAAGAAAAAGATTTATGTTTTTAGTTAATTTCTTTGAGATTTAAAACTTGATCTCAAATTGTCCAAAATATGGAGGCTGAAAATGTAGACTCTACCTGATAACTCTTAAAGTAGCTTTGTGTCTATATTCATGCAAAGTATGTTTTATTTTTTTAATATACAAACAGGCACAAAATATTAAACAAGTGGCCAAAATGCAGACAAAAGTTACTTTATTTTACATAAATCCATATACATGGGTATAAATTAACAAATTGGTTGGGTCTATATTTTATATTAAAGGTACACTCCAGGCACCATAACCACTTCATGAAATTTCAGGAGCACTTTTACCTCAAGGGGTTAAAACGTTCTCCAACGGTTTGAGCACCGATGTCAACTTCCCCCTCAGACAGCATCCTACTTCTGAAATTTCAGGTTCAGGAAGCTGGGAGTGCTGATGAGTATGAGCGCCGCTCAGAGCAGCTAGCTGACGAAACTGACTTGGAAAGAGAAACACCTTTTCCAAGTCCGTTTTTTGAACGGAGATTCACAGATTGTCTGAGTGTGTCAGCTGATCACTCTTAGCCAATCAGCTGCGGCACTCCACGCTTCCTGAACCTGATATTTCAGAATCCGAATGCTGCCTGGGGGGGAAGAGGGGCTTGACATCGACACTGGAGGCAACTTTGGAGTCAAACAGTTTGAGAATAGTTTAACCCACCGGTTCCCAAACTGTGTGCTGCCGGTAACACAGGGGACCTGCAAGATATTTTCCCTGTGTTGTGATGATAGCACCGGGAACTGTGCCTCCCTCTCCCCTGCCGGCACTGCAGGACCGGAGTGGAGATCAGAGATCTCCCTCTCTGGCCCACTTGCAGTATAATGCCAGCATGGGAGGACCCAAAGGACCCGAGTGAGGTCTAACCTGCAGCTCTGCCTGGTTCTCCTCTCATGATCTCGGAGCTCCAAATCTCGCAAGAGTGAACTCTAGCAGCTCCTAAACTATAGTGCTGTAGTGGTTATTGTGCCTGGATTGTTTCTTTAAATAATCTACCAGTGCCCCTCCCAAGATTAGGTTCTGGATCTTCGCCTGAATGGCAATCATTTCTGCCGTAGAGGGCCACAGTATATGCCGCAGTGCTGTACATGTATACAACCTAGAATTTTTTTTGACTTGGGGTGCCTTGGAAAGATGTTGAAATATTAAGCAGCTTGAACCTAAAAAGTTTGGGTACCACTGGGTTAACCCTTTGAGGTAAGAGTGTGCCCGAGGCCTCCTGGCATAGATGAAATTGTTATGCTGCCGGGACTGTCCCTTTAAGTATGTATTCACTATACAACTACTAGCATCAATGAAAGTGAGAATTTTGTTTTATTTAGAGTAATCATTTGCTTATGGTTGGTTTCAGACTGCTTGTTTTTTTAAATCTGGTTTGCAGTGGACTTAATTGAATAAAAAGTCACGTTGCATGCCTAATACAAAGAAAATGAATTGGAAATAAACTTAGTTCATGTCAAGTCTCAGACATGTGAATTATCTTACCTTTTCAGTTGTTTATTTATATTTGTGTCATTTTTGCTTGTGTGATGCTTTGTGTCTTACCTCTGTTTGCTGATAAAATAGAAGAACCATCGGAGAAGGACGATTACATCTCGGAACCTTCCTCAAGTCCTCGTGGAGTGTTGTCAACTCTAACAAATGTTGTACAGAATACAGTAAGTTATATAGAATTCCCAAGTAAAGACTTGATGTTATAGATTGGTGTTATAAGTATTCCAAATAAAACTCTAACATATATAAATATATTTTGTTTTATGTACTTGGGTCCCATTCATGTTAAACAAAAAGCCATTAAAGGTACAATCCACTATCCAAATTAAAAATGAAATAAGTTTACTAAATATACACTGAATGAAAAGATGCATGCATTTAATGATGCTTTTTTTTTTTGGAGGGTTGTGCGGGGGGACACTTTGCAAACCTTCCCCTTCTAACCTCTCCCAGACTTTCTGTGGCTGTTCAATCCCAGAATTCCCAATGCAGCTCAATGAGAAATATTTGCAAGGCAGGTGCTCTTAGCAACTGCTGCCTCTTGAGTTTAATTCGACTAAGTTAAACAACCAGGAAGTCACATGACTTGTTGTGTGATTGACAGCCTGGGGTTGTAACCAAGTTAATTTATAAAAGTGCCAAGTTCTGTTGAAACCCAGTTTTGTTTTGTAAGTGAAAAGTTCACACATGGGGGCGGAGCCTGACTACGAGTCGGAGCGGACGCATCTCGGCAGAGCTCCCGGCCAAAACCCGCAACGAAGCCTGATTACAAGGGGCTTAAAACCCCCAATTCACTCACCCGGGGACACCCTCTGGGCACGACCCAGCAGCCACACATGCCGTTTGTATACCCGGCACAGGGGAATCCACGGCGGCGGAGACCCGAGGCCTACAAGCCCACAGCAGCCCTCGACTGGTCGGCACTCCTGGGCAGACTTGCACAGCCAGAAGACCCAGAGGTGGAAGACCTCCACACAGCACTCCTACCTACCTGGGCAAAGATGGGTTGCCGATCCCAAAAACCTCCACTGGAGACATCATCAGGGACATAGGTGCCATGCTACACCACCGATGGCCGCCGACCAAAATGGTGGGAACAGAGGAACATGCTGCCGCACAGGTACCAATAGACCCCATGCCACCCGACCTACCCCCAGAAAGGGCTCAGACACCCAAAGAGACTCCAGATGGGTCTGCCCCGGTCACCCAGCGGGACTTTCAAAATCTGGTCGGGGAAATTAAAAACCTCCTGGCAACCAGCACAGCGGCCATTAAAACTGACGTGCAGGCCATCAAAGATAGGGTGCAGACCGCAGAGGGCAACATCTCTGGCATTAAGCAGGGACTGATAACCCTACAGGAATCTGTCCTGGCCTAACAGGTCCAACAACAGGCACTATCTCTCCACTACACCGCCCTCGATGACAGAACGAGGCGCAACCATCTCAAGATCAGGGGAGTACCAGACGCCATCACACCTGACGAACTGCCTCACAACATGAGGCGCCTTGTTGCTGCCATCCTGCCACCAACGCATGCCAAAAAATTTAACACAGACGGGATATACCACCTACCATCCTCCGGCAGAGCAGCCCCAAACATGGTCCATGATGTAATTGTCCGCTGCGCCACCTCCCAAGAAAAGAGAAGCCTGATGACGGCACTCCGGGGCAAGACGCCTTTAACATCTGAAGGCGCACAACTCACCGTTTATCAAGACCTCACCAGATCCATGCTACAATGGCGAAGATCGCTGAACCCGGTCACCAGCGCCCTCAGAGAAGCAGGATTAGATTATCACTGGAGATCTCCCAGGTTCCTGGTGGTTACGCACAAAGGAACTGTTCATAAACTCTCCACACTAGCTGAGTTCCCGGCATTCTGTAGGGCACTGGGCCTCCCCACACCCATGCAGGATACCACCCAAAGACCCACGTCTGATACCTGACTTCCCCGAGAGCCGAATAGGCAACAATACCTGGGACTTTACTTAGTATTAGTAAATTTGGCTGAAAGACCTATTTAGGTCTTTCAGCCTCTTAGTAGATAGCTCCCTAATACCGTGGGAATCTACTTATTCATTCCTTGACAGGCTAAGTAACATTTTATATGAATGTATGTTACTTGATTGTTGTACATGTTGCAAATACTTACAGCTGAATCCTGGCTATGTTTGTATACTTTTTATTTTAAACTTGTATACAGTGTAACATTCTTCATTCTTCCACTGGATATATTAGTACCTGGGCAATACTGTACTTTGGCTATTCGGACATTCAGATGTATACGAATGTCCGAATTGCCATTCGGAACGAAACAAATTGTGCATGTCTATTGCTCTCACAGCAGGAAGAAATTTGAATGGAATGAATCATTGCATAATAGATTTATAGGATATGTTTATTCCCAAGAGCTGGACCTGCTTTGTAAATATATATATATATTTCCGGAAACAGACTTTCCAGCTGGCTGATTTACTAGAGCCAAAAATGGAGTTATAACCCACAAAGAAATACTAAATATCTCAAAACAGTCTTTCTAGCTCTGCACAAACAGGGTGCTTGCAACATAACCACTTCAACAGGTGTTGTGGTTAACTGCTTAAAGTAACCCTTTAATACGTAACTGTTAAAACATATTCATGCTGATTGTCTCTTTAAGACAGCTGGCCATACCAAAATAATGCAAATGCTATGCATTGTGAGATAGTAGGGCATGATTTGTAGGTTGAGTATTGCATTATGGACTGCTGCTTATGAGCCAGTTGATGTGAAGAAGTTTTCTTCCTAATTTTCAAGAGTTTTTTTTATATGTTATGTATTATGTTTTTTTCTCTTCTATTTGGGCAGGGTAAACATGAATATCCAATCTTAAATCCACATTTTGAACAATTGACATGGCTGTATTTTGAACATCACCTTGTAGCCAATGGTTAGCGACTATTTCATTCAGTATTTTCCAAACCGCAAGTCCAATATTTGGTTATCTCTAGCCAACTTGAGTTGAGTCAGTTGTTGAAGAGGCCTTTCCCTTCCTGACTTAAAACTGGAGTTTATGATGATTTTGATAAATGGGTCCAGTGAAGTCTTTAAAAATTTCTTTGTGTACTATGATTCCTGACTATTTCACTTCATGTCTTATATACAGGGTAAAAGTGTTCTCACTGGAGGTCTCGATGCCTTGGAATTTATTGGTAAAAAGACAATGAATGTTCTGGCTGAAAGCGACCCTGGGTTTAAAAAAACTAAAATACTAATGCAGAGAACTGCGTCCTTATCACAGGTGAGATATATTTCCTGCCAAAATAATGTATGCACCGTATTTCCAGGTATGGTTCATTAAGACAGTGTTGGCATCCAGCCATGACAGCAGAGAGTATCTCACTTCATTCCTGCACACTAATGTCATTTCTGATCAATCTTTTTAGAGTTTTTCTACAAATACAAGTGTTTATATGCATTAATGAAATGTATTGTTTGTTTGGTTTTTATTTCATTTAATTGTGTTTTTTTTATTTTATTTTTTTCTTAACATCAGATATGTTCTGTCATATTTTTTGTTTTGTTTATTCAAAAGATTATGTATTTTCATTAATCGGCAGAAACTAATATCATCGTATGTTACTGTTTAGTCTGACCTCTTTAGGAGTTCTCTTACTCTTTGAATATTTGAAAACCTTAACTGTATTGGTACTTCTAAAATCATTAAGCCTTATCTACAGACCTTTTGTATTTAAATATTGTGAGACAAACATTTACTAGGTGCGATAATAGTAAACTGATTACTTTATTTGCGTGAGTCTGTTGGACCATATGAACTTATCTATTGTTGTCTGTAGTCGTTTGAAATCTGGGTCGGAGATTGGAATTGGGAGGGCTTGGAATAGGTATAAGAGCCTAGGCAGGATATTCATTTTGACCGAGGCTAGTCTACCTATCCAGCATATCGGCATGTTCTGCCATGTGGTGATATCGTGTGTGATTTTCTGTATGATTGGGGTGTAGTTCAGGGTGTAGCATTAGGAAAGGTCTGTTGGCAGGTGATGCCTAGGTATTGTATGTGGTTGGAGTTTAGCTTGAAGGGATACGTCTTTTGTAGGTTCTCTAGAGTGGGGGGGGTCTATATTTAAGGGTAGTGCTTCCGTTTTACCTATATTAAGTTTGTATCCAGAGATTGTGGCGTACTCCTCTAGGGCTTGTAAGAGTGGAGGTAGGGAGGTTGATGGTTCCGTGAGGGTGATAAGTTGTCCACGTAGGCTGCGGTTTTATATACTTCTTCCCGAATTTTAAGGCCTTTTATGGCAGTATTTCGTCCAAGGTTCTGTAGGAGCGGTTCTAGGGACAAAGCGAACAAGATCGGTGATAGGGGGCATCCCTGTCATGTTCCATTGTGTATTGTGAACATGGGTGGTTGCATGAGGGGTAGTAAGAGGCTGGCTCGTGGTGTGGCGTATAATATTTGCAATGCTTCTAGGAAGCCCAATGGAAATCCGAATTTTTGGAGAGTTGCGAATACGGACGGCCAGAGCAGCCTGTCGAAGGCCTTCTCGGCATCTAGTGATAGTAGGAGGGTTGGGATGCGTTTTGTGGATGCGGCCCATATGAGGTCGTAGGTTCTTCTGGTATTGTCGCTGGCCTGTCTTGTGGGGATGAATCCCACCTGATCAGGGTGGATAAGTTGGGGTAGGTAAGGTAATTTTGGTCTGTCAGGAGTTTGGTGAATAGTTTTATGTCTACATAGAAACATAGAAACATAGAATGTGACGGCAGATAAGAACCATTCGGCCCATCTAGTCTGCCCAATTTTCTAAATACTTTCATTAGTCCCTAGCCTTATCTTATAGTTAGGATAGCCTTATGCCTATCCCACGCATGCTTAAACTCCTTTACTGTGTTAACCTCTACCACTTCAGCTGGAAGGCTATTCCATGCATCCACTACCCTCTCAGTAAAGTAATACTTCCTGATATTATTTTTAAACCTTTGTCCCTCTAATTTAAGACTATGTCCTCTTGTTGTGGTAGTTTTCCTTCTTTTAAATATAGTCTCCTCCTTTACTGTGTTGATTCCCTTTATATATTTAAATGTTTCTATCATATCCCCCCTGTCTCGTCTTTCCTCCAAGCTATACATGTTAAGATCCTTTAACCTTTCCTGGTAAGTTTTATCCCGCAATCCATGAACCAGTTTAGTAGCCCTTCTCTGAACCCTCTCTAAGGTATCAATATCCTTCTGAAGATACGGTCTCCAGTACTGTGTACAATACTCCAAGTGAGGTCTCACCAGTGTTCTGTACAATGGCATGAGCACTTCCCTCTTTCTACTGCTAATACCTCTCCCTATACAACCAAGTATTCTGCTAGCATTTCCTGCTGCTCTATTACATTGTCTGCCTACCTTTAAGTCATCAGAAATAATCACCCCTAAATCCCTTTCCTCATATGTTGAGGTTAGAACTCTATCAAATATTCTGTACTCTGCCCTTGGGTTTTTACGTCCAAGATGCATTATCTTGCACTTATCCACATTAAATGTCAGTTGCCACAATTCTGACCATTTTTCTAGTTTACCTAAATCATTTGCCATTTGGCTTATCCCTCCTGGAACATCAACCCTGTTACATATCTTAGTATCATCAGCAAAAAGACATACCTTACCATCAAGACCTTCTGCAATATCACTAATAAAAAATATTAAAGAGAATGGGTCCAAGTACAGATCCCTGAGGTACCCACTGGTGACAAGTCCAAGCTTCGAATATATTCCATTAACTACAACCCTCTGTTGCCTGTCACTCAGCCACTGCCTTACCCATTCAACAATATTGGAATCCAAACTTAAAGATTGCAGTTTATTGATAAGCCTTCTATGTGCAACAGTGTCAAAAGCCTTACTGAAATCTAGGTAAGCAATGTCTACTGCACCACCCTGATCTATAATTTTAGTTACCCAATCAAAAAAATCAATAAGATTAGTTTGGCATGATCTCCCTGAAGTAAACCCATGTTGTCTCTGATCTTGAAATCCATGTGTTTTTAGATGTTCATCAATCCTATCCTTTAACATGGTTTCCATCACTTTCCCCACTACTGAAGTAAGGCTTACTGGCCTATAGTTGCCCGACTCCTCCCTATTACCTTTCTTGTAAATGGGCACAACATTCGCTAACTTCCAATCTTCTGGGACTACTCCTGTTAACAATGATTGGTTAAATAAATCTGTTAATGGTTTTGCTAGTACACCACTAAGCTCTTTTAATAGCTTTGGGTGTATTCCATCAGGTCCCATTGACTTATTTGTCTTTACTTTTGACAGTTGAAATAGAACCTCTTCCTCTGTAAACTCACGTGTAATAAATGACTCATTTATCCTTTTTCTCAACTGAGGTCCCTTTCCTTCATTTTCTTCTGTAAATACCGAACAAAAATATTCATTGAGGCAGTCAGCCTGACCTTTATCCTCTTCTACATACCTTCCTTCTTTTGTTTTTAATCTAACTAATCCTTGTTTTACTTTTCTTTTCTCATTTATGTATCTAAAAAATGTTTTATCCCCCTTTTTTACTGACTGTGCTATTTTCTCTTCTGTGTGTGATTTGGAAGCTCTTATAACTTGCTTAGCCACTTTCTGCCTAATCTTATAGATCATTTTGTCTCCCTCACTCTGGGTTTTTTTATAATTCCTAAATGCTAACTTTTTGTTTTTAACTATTTTGGCCACAACTGCGGAGTACCACAGTGGTTTCTTTAATTTTTTGCTTTTACTGACTCGCACATTAAGTAGAGAGATGGGCCGGAAGTGTCCCGGGTCTAAGTGTGTTTTATTGGGTTTGGGGAGGAGGCAGACTGTGTAGCATTTCTTGTGGTAGTGGGTTGCCTTGTAGGATGGCATTGTATAGGTTGCATAGGTGGGGGGTTAGCGTGGAGGCGAACGTTTTGTAGTATAATCCAGTGAACCTGTCCGGGCCTGGGCTTTTGTTTGGTTTGAGCGATTTCATGGTGCCCGCAAGTTCTTCTGGTGTTATCGGGTCTATCAGTTTTTGTACTGCTTCATTTGGCAGGAAGGGTAGTGGGGTGTGCGTCAGGTAGTGGTCAATGAGTGTTTTGGTGGTGTTTGGGTTCCGACGTGTATCGGGGTCATGGTCGTATAGGGACGTGAAGTAGTTTTGGAAAACTTCGGCTATCTTGCCGGGGTCTTCTGTTATGGCTCCGTTTGATGTGGCTATTTTGTTTATCTGTCTCTGGGCCGTGCGTTGTCTGAGCTTTCGTGCCAGGAGGGTGTCTGCCTTGTTGGCCTTGTCATAAAAGAGTTGTTTGGACCACAGTAGGGCTTTTGGTGAGTCCCTCTTCATGTGTTCCTTGATATGTCTGGCATTTTGTGATTTTTTTTTATCTATCACTTCTGGTGTGGGGTCGAGTTTTAGTTTGGTCTCCAGGGTTCTGAGTGTCGTCAGTGTTTTGTTCCAGGTGGGCAAGCTGTTTTTTCTTGTGTATGGTTGCTTGGTTTATTATTGCCCCCCTTAGGACCGCTTTATGGGCAGCCCATAAGGTGCAGTCTACCGAGTCTTTATTTAAGGCGAAGTATTCTGTCATGGTCTGGGCGATCGTTGTTCGGATCTGTGGGTTGTGGCGGAGGGTAGGGTTGAGCTGCCATGACCATGGTCGGGCCGTGCCTGGGATAGTGAATGTTAGTGTAGTGTCTGCGTGATCGGACCAGGTGATCTGGCCGATGGTCGTGTTCTTGAGCATGGGTGCCATCGCCGGGGATATTAAGATGAGGTCTATGCGGGAGTGTGATTGAGGTGGGTGGGAGAAGAAGGTGTAGTCTAGTGTTGTGGGGTGTTGAGATCTCCAGGCGTCTATTGGGTTCGGGCGAAGAATGCAGAGAAGTGTTTGTCTGCTTTTGCTGTCGGTTGTCGGCGGTGTGTGTGGGTTCTGGCTCGTTGTCTGTCTACTGTAGGCGATGGGATAGCGTTGAAGTCTCCTCCGATAATCGAGTGGTGGGAGGGGAGTAGTGCCAAGTGTGCTCTAAGGGTGTTCCAGAATGAACTGATGGGTATGTTGGGCGCGTATACTGAAGTGAATGCGTATTGTTGCGGGCCAATTTTGCCTGTTATTGTGAGGTATCTGCCTTGCGGGTCGGCGATTGTGTGGTTGATTGAAAGGGGGCATGACTTCCGAATGATGATGGCATCTCCGATTTGTTTGCCTGTTGGGGAGCTGGCGTAGTGGTTCACCCGGTAGTGTCTGCTCAGGAGAGGGAACTGTTTGGCTTGGGTGAAGTGTGTCTCCTGGAGTAGGAGTATGTCTGTCTGCTTTCGAGTTGTTAGCCCATCGCATGAGTTGGTGTCTTTTGGAGGGGTTGTTAAGGCCTTTGCAGTTGATTGATAGGCAGGTCAGGGTGGCCGGCATCTTACGTGGTTAGAGTGTTTGAGTATTGTAGTGTGTCCTGCTGTTCGTAGTGTGGGGTTGCGGGGGGAAGGAGGAAATGGAGGGACAAAGCAAGAGGAGAAAAACCAAAGGGAAAGAAGGAGGAGGGGGGATGGGGAAAGGGAGGAGGGGATGTAGGTCGAGAGTGCCTGGTCTTACTAAGCTGTTGCCAGGTGTCGTGTGGGCGGAGGGGGTTGCGTCCGTGGACTTGTGTTCGCTGTTCTTGTGGCGTGTCCTTTCTGCGGTCTCTGCCCCGAACTGGGTTAAATGTTAAACATTATGCTTTGCGTGCGGTCCTGTACCTGTGTTTGTGTGGGCGCTCACAGCGTATCTGTCAAGGTACACTGAACCCCAGTCTGTACATTCAGTGTGCCCCATCCTGGCGTATCTAACACTATGCTGTGCATGCGGCCCATGACGGTTTAAAAGAAAAGGGGGGGGTCGGGTCGGGTCACCGGGGGACTGTGTTGTCGGCGGCTCTAGTGGGTGCCGCACTATGTCGTTGGGCTATTCCCAGTATCCTAGTCAATAAGCCTTAAGTATTAAACAGAGCTTTTTGTGGCCATGGAGCATAAACGTTAAGCATGGTACATTGCATGCGGTCTAAGACTGGGAATGGGTTTAGAGGCTCAGTGTTGTGTCCGCTGGGCCGTTCCCAGTATCTTAGTTAGTAAACAATAAACAGAGCTTTTGGTATCTACAGATCATGCTCATTGTACTTCACTTGCGGTCTAAGACCGGGAATGGGTTTAAAGGAAAACCCTATTGTTAACTGTACTAATGGGTGCAGTGTTGGGTCCGCTGTGCTGTTCCCTGTGCAATTGTTAATATACATTAAATTTTAAACTGAACTTTTGGTGTCCACAGAACAAACATTAAACATAATACTTTACGTGTGATCTAAGACCTGAAGTGGGTTGTGGGTGACCCGTGGGGTTTTGCTGGGGGACCTCTTGGTGAACTTGTGCCTTGGTTCATGTATCCATTTGAGTTTGTCCCCTGGTTGCGGTGGAGGGTCTCGGCTTGGCCTGCTGTCTGGAGGGACGGGGTCTCGGCTCTCCGTGTCGGCCGTCCCCTCCGGGTGCGGAGGAGTCAGCATCAGGTGCAGGCTGGTGTAGTTAGTCCTATGTGTTTGGCAAAGTCCTGCATATCTGATACTTGGTGGAAGGTGTATGTCTGTTTCCCCCCCCTTTTGACGAGGAGCTTGAAGGGATGTCCCCACATGTATCACCAGCCTTTCTCCATAAGTGCAGTCATGAGGGGCTTGAGTTCCCGGCGTTTACTCAATGTGATCGGTGCCAGGTCCTGGTAAAAGTGCAGTATTTGTCCCAGATTCATTGGAGGGTTATCCCTTGTGGCTTTCATGAGCTGCTCTTTGACAGGGAAATGTAGGAGCTTGGTGATTATGTCCCTGGGTGCATTCATGTTGAAGGTTGGGGGACGCAGGGCTCTATGTGCTCGTTCAATGTAGAGCTCCTGTTCAGGTATGTCCGGGAGGAGAGAGTGGAATATGGCCCAGATGGTGGGTAGTATTGCCTCTGGCTGGACTGTTTCTGGTTGGCCCCTTATGTGGATATTTTGTCTCCATGATCTATTGTTCAGGTCTTCCAGGCCATCCTCCAGGTATGAGACCTTTTCTTGTAGTATCTCAATATCCCTGGAATGTGTCTTGGTCGTTGCATGTGTTTCTATTAGCTGGTGTTCAGCGCGGCTAGTGCGCGAGGCCAGGGCCTCCATGTCTTCCTGGAGGCCTGCGATTTTGTTTCTCCAGGGCGGCCGTTGTGTAAGCCTTAATATCATGGGATGTTTCCCTAAGCATCTTCCTGAGGTTCTCTTTCGTGAGGGGTGTTGTTTGATACTCCGTGGGTTCATACCCGTCAGATTCGGAGCCTGATTCTGTGTGGCCTTGTGACAAAGATGGCCGCCCTTTGTCCTTATTGCGGAACATTGTGGCCACCGACCGGAATAGTGTCCCGTCTTTTTTTTGTTGCCTCCCATGAGGTGGGTAGGTGAGGTAAGTGGTGAGTCGAGTTTTGGTAGCGAGATGCTTGAAATTGGTTGCTGATTGTAATCCCGGGGTCGGAGAGCTAAGGGCTCACGCGTCCGTCTCCATGAAAGGTTAGGCTCCGCCTCGATAGAGCAATATCTTTTATATAGAATTTGTATTGTAATTGTAATAGGTGTAGATAGGAAATCCCCAATTTATTCTTGAAATTTTTTAGGGCTAAAATGATATCATTCACGATTTCATTTGAAGATTTCAAAAAATTTGTAATAATTACAATCAATCCATAATAGATTAAACAGCGATATATTTTATACCTAGGTCATACTTCCAACTTGGATTAACAGAAATCTGATAATCCCACTTTAGACAGTGGGTAAACTTAGTGATATTGTGTATTTCTATTATGTCTGGGAGATTTATTTCACATTTATCTAATTTTGGGGGTTAGAGTATTATAAGAGATTCTAGATATTTTATTTCCCCAAATAAGTCAAAAATTGTTTCTTAAGTTCAGATAGAATATGTCTTGGGACTCTTAGAGGTATTGATCTGAACAGATATATACATTTTGGTAAAATATATGCTGTAATTGTGTTCAGTCGATCGAGCCATGAAATTTCAAGGTTTTTCCATTTTTAGAGATCAGTTTTGAATGATGTTAATAAGGTTTTATAATTGTCCTCCAAATAAACCTTTTCATATTTGTTCTTATTCAAATGCCTAGATATTCGATAATCTCATTGTTCGAGTCCCAATTATACTTCTTTCTCAAGTCTCTCTGGAATTATATTAACTGTTATTATTTGAGTTTTATTTATATTAATTTTATACCCAGAATATTCGCCAAGTTCCTGAACTATATCTAGAACTTGGGGAATAGATTTTACTGGGTTAGTTAACGAGAGGAGGACATCGTCTGCATACATAATAATTTTTGTGATGCTCTTCTGAGCTATTTATACCATTGATCAGGTCGTTAAGTCTGATCGCTGCTGCCAGTGGTTCAATAGATAAAATATATGAGAGGCGCCAAAGGGCAACCTTGCCTTGTTCCGTTCTTAATGGAAAACCAGTCAGATATCATACCAGGGCCTAGGGCTCTAGCTTGAGGAGTAGCATATAGAGCCATAGTGCTATCCTTAAAGAACCCGGCCAGGCCAACGTTCTCCATCACCATGTCCTGGAAGCTCCAGTTCACCCTGTCTAATTCTTTCTCTGCATCCAAAGCTATATAAGCTTTATGTACTTTATGTACATTTGAATGATATGTCATATTTAACATTTTCTGAGTATTATCAATCATATCTCTTTGGTACAAATCCAGTTTGGTTTTTATGTATAAGATCTGGTATTACTATTTTTTAGTCTTTCAGCGAGTATCTTAGAGAATATCTTGATATCAAAGTGAATCAGAAAAATAGGACAGTAATTCAACAAAAGGTGTCTGGATCCTTCCCAGGCTTAGGAATCGGTGGAACGTTGGCCTGAAATAATGTAATAATTCCTGTGAAATAATCTTACGAACGGTAAATTCATTAAAGATTTGCTGTAATATTGGAGAGATAGCACTTTCAAATGTTTTATAAAAGCCCTGGAGTTTTTCCTCTTTTTAACTATTTGATTGTGTTTTGAATTTCAGTCATGGGAAAAAGGTTTATTTAAGGCTTCTAATTTTAGAGGATTACATTTTGGAAGATTAAAATTTTCAAGAATTTTTTATCATTTTAGTCTCTGCGTTATTATTATTTTTAAGATTATAAAGAGATTGATAGTGTTCCCTGACAGCTTCTCCAATTTGCTTAGGAGAGCGTAAAGTTTTATCACCCACTCTTATTTTTCTAATACGGTCGTTCCTCCTTTTAAATTGTAATTTATTGGTGAGGAGATTATTGCTTTTTTATTCTTATTAAGATACCATTTTTGTTTAAATGCCAACAAACTTCTCTCCATTTTTTTTTCTTGGATTTTATTTTTAATAGAATCTTGAATATCCGCAATACTATTAGAAGTTGTTACATTTTGGAGTAGCTTTGTTTATTTTTTTTCTAGTTTAGACAAAGAAATATATAAATCTGACAGGGATTTCCCATTCCTTTTTTTCAAATAGGATCCGAGTTTAATAAAGGCCTTGCATAAAACATTTGAATGAACACCATATTTATGAAATTGCAGCTTCCCCATTATCGTTAATTTCCATAAATTGCTTTGCCTGTTTGATTAGATTGTCAGTATTTAATCCTGGCAAGCAAAGCAGTTCGTTCAAACGCCATCCTGTTTGTGGTATATACTACTTGTTGTTTTTGACCATTAAAAAAATTGGCGTCTCCGACCATGTTGTTGAGTCTGTCTTTGAGGAAATGAATTTATCCAAAGACTGCACCTTCGTAACAAATCGAGCCTAGAATACGAACAATGAACCTTTGAATAGAAAGTAAAATCTTTACTACTGGGATTATGCTTTCTCCATATATCATACAGTGAGTTTTTTGCCAAATAATCCTGGAATATGTTAGCAGTATGTTTCTGCTGTGGGTCCGCAGACTTACTAAGTCATATACAAATTAATATTTAATAAACATCCAGAAATAAAAAAAACCAAAAGGGGGAAAAAAATTGTGAAAAATGTGACTTTATGTTCTTATTAGTTGAAGAGGTTTGTTGTATGTTTGTTGTATGTATGTATGTATGTATGTATGTATATAAGGTTCTATTTTTAAAGACACACTCCAGCTTGAAGAGGGTAATACCTAAGCTGGGTCTAAAATTGGTGGCCAGTGATATCACTGTTGTCGAAGGCAATAATTCCTGAACGACTCCTTAGCAGAGGAGAAAGGAGGCAATGCAAATAAGCACTTGGGGACCCAACTTTGGTGTTTAAACCATTGAAAAATGGTTGGTTGTTCTCCAAGCCCCAAATGGAAATAATCCAGTGTGATTTCCCCCAAGTCCTTGTGTTCACTGATCACTGCCTAGTTACCAATTCTGTGTAATTACCCTTAAGTGGAAGATGTAAGAAAAATAATATAAATGGGTCAACATGTACTTTACATACGTGGCAGACAATGGAGATTGGTGTGGAAGAACAATTAAACAAAGATGAATCTGTAGTTCGGAATTATGAACATAGTGACTTAAGGTTATCTTCCTGCGGTCACATTTTATTCTGGAATACAGGTCAGTTCATAGAAAGGGTAGTGATCTGCTGGTACTTGACATTGAACTTTTTTGCAGATGTTAAGGGAAGCTAAAGAAAAAGAAAAGCAGCGACTGGCCGAGCAAGTTACGGATGAAAAAACCGCACACTATGGAGTCCTTTTCGATGATTACCAGGGTCTGTCACATCTCGAAGCTCTGGAAATACTGTCCAATGAAAGTGAAGCTAAGGTATTGCTTATTCTAATATTGATCTCTATTGTTATCAGCATGAAACAATATCTGCAAATTACAGTATTGTGATAAAACCATGGAGTTATGCATGCTTTCCACTGGAATGTGCTACATTATAACAAAACCTAAAAAGAAAGTCTTTGAAATACATCTAATTATGAGTGTCACTTTCTGAAACTTGTATATCCCTATCATTTTACTAATTGTCACAAAAGAAAAGAAGATTTAATATCCTATATTTGTAAAATCAAGACAAGGGATGGTTTGAAATGCATTTTGTATGCATTTCAAAGTAAATAAAATGGCATTTAAAAAAAAGAAAATTTTACTTTTTCAAAAATATAAATCTATGCATGCCATCTAAGCAAATATCCTGTATCCCAGGACTGAAATGCTTGACCGGAGATACGAAGAATCTCCTTAAAGCTTTATTTCTAAGACATGTTTCAATATTTGTGTCTAATAAAGAAAGACACTTTGAAGAGATATATACATACACATGAGAGTCAGCATGCATACTCCTTTTGGGTAAATAATTTCCCCGTTTATTTTTACTATCTATACTTCTTTATCTCAAACATGACTAGTCCTTTGAATTGCTTTTAGGGAATATTTATTTTTTTCTTACATTTTGTGCTTATTCATCAGCAGCTAAACTTGTATATTATCCGTGTTATTTTTATTTAGGTGCAGTCTTATTTATCATCTCTAGATGAAAGTGGGTTGGAATCGTTAAAAGCAGAACTTATTGCCATCAAAGAGATATTTCTTCAGAAAGATTTTGAAAAAGAACTACAAGAAACCTGCGAAAAAGGTAAACTTGAATAACCCGTTTTCAAGAATGTTATAATGCCAATCCCCTATGACTAAATGGGGACCAAAATAGATACATGGACATTTTTATCAGCAAAGAGTCTTGTAAAATTTGAGGGAAAGTGGATGAATCGTTGGAGAACCATCCTCTGTCTGCTAAAAAGCTGAAGCTTTGGAAAAAGTTAACCTTCCAGCAGCATGATGGTGGAAAACACTATACAAAGCAGATTTGGTATGGCTCAAGAACAAAAATATGAATATTCTACAGTGTCCCAGTCAATGTCCTGATCTCAATCCTAATTAGAATCGTGAGCACGGTTTGAAATCTAAAGTCCATAAGTGCCTCCCAACCAATCAGAACCACCTGGAGCAGAAGAGTTGGCAAAAAAGATAATTGTTTGGGAATTTGTGAATATATATATAATTTGTAATCTAGGGGGAAAGAAAATACTTTTCAAGGGGTTGGAATGCTTTTACAAGGCAGTATGTGTGACTTTACTGTATGGTAATAAATACCAGAATTGGTGGTTATTCACTATAGTTGTGTAATAACATGTGCCCGGCTGATTTATTTAACTTCTGATTAATTCATAAAGAATACAGGGGCTGAAGTCTCAAATAATGTGTAAACTGCTTGACCTATTTAGGAATTATTTGTTTTTGTTGTTTTTTTTTTCATAAATTTGGAGTGAGCTCCAGCGTGGAGCTCTTTTAGATCAATTTGGAACTGGACTTACAAATTCCAAAAAGTAGTATGATTAGGCAATATAAAATGATGATTTATCTCTGAACCTCTGGAAACTGATCTTGATGTCTTAGAGCCAGATGAACCAGGGAAACTGCGCTTAGAAATATAATTACAATTCACCCTTATATTAGTTTTGTTTTATAAATCACAAAGGAAGCCACTGGATGGCGCTCGGAGACCTTTTTATGTATTTCTGAAAACCTGCAGATCCATGTTACGTAATTGTATCTAAATTAGCTGTGAACCTATCTGACTGTGGTTCATGAAACATGGAAAGAGCTTCAGTAGGTATGTTGGAACATTTCAGGATGTGGATGCATTCACTGACCTCTACCAGATACACCTGTAAGCTAATTACTAGCAACTCCTTCAATAAAAAACAGAGAGACTTGGTCAAGAGGTTAAGTTTCTATATTCAAACCCAACAAGAGAATGAAATACAATCTAGTAACTGCCTTTGTGGAATGAATGTTGGTACCAGATGGATTGTGTTGTGTATCTCAAATTGTTTGTTAAAACGTACATTTTAAAATAATAAAAAAGTTAATTCTTGACAACATTCTTGCAGTTATCCATTAGTTTAAAAGGATTACTAGTGGTAACTATTAAAGAGTTAAGAAAAAAATAAAACCACTATTTCCATTAACTTTTTTATTTCTTGTAAAAATAACTGTAAAATATATTTTGCTTGTGCAGTTTGCCCATTTGTGCTGAAGTCATTAGATGGTATTTTTCCAATATTCTGTTCCAGAACGTCTCCTCCACGCAATTATAAGCAATAGAGCCAGGTTATTGTTGACCGGTTGCCAACTGTTATTTAATTTGGAAATTTTTTCACTAATGTATTTTCCCTTGCAGAAGAGGAGACAGAAGAATTTGCCAGCATGCTTACAGAACTACTGTTTGAACTACACGTCGCCGCCACCCCTGACAAGCTCAACAAGGTTTGTTTTATAGTTTATATTTTTATTGACGCATTTTTCAAGGTTCCAGCTTTAACTAAATGTGCTGTGTGCAGGTTCCGAATATGTTCACTGGTAACATTTCCTGTGTCAACTTCCTTACGCGTATACATATGTGTCAGTTCTCAAAATTCTGTAAAGGAACACTATAGTGTTAGAAATATAGATGTGTATCCCTAACGCTATAGTATCCTAGTCACTTAGTTGACTGCTGCCACAAGGGTTAGATGTAACTTACCATTTCCCCTTCCTCTGCACAACTTCTTAGTTAGGATCAACGATCTTGTCCAATCCCATGATCTGTCTTTAGAAACCTTTGGGAGGCTAGTGCGCATGCATTGTAAATTGCCGGGCTATGCCATCTGATTAAAATAACAGAACAATAACAGCGTTTTACTTTGCTATTTCTGCCTAAATCCCTGTAGTGGCTGTCCGAGTGACCGCCGCTAATGCCATTTAAACCCTGCAGAACAGTAATGTTTTTACATCCTTAATGGTTAGCATGGACTTCCACTTCACTCAATGCAATATGTGATATACATGGCTGCCATCAGAGTACTTGCGGGCCCCCACAACCCCACCTACACACATACTTGGGGGGTGGGGGTGGTATGAATTTTATGTGAAGGGGTCAGGGGTGTACTAACTTAATGTGAAGGAAGGGGTATGGATTTTATGTGAAGGGGGCCAGGGGTGTATTAACTTTATGTGAAGGGGGGGGGGTATGAATTTTATGTGAAGGGGTGTATTAACTTAATGTGAAGGGGGGTATGTAATTGATGTGAAGGGAGGGGTATTAACTTAATGTGAAGGGGCTGCGGTGCAGGGTTTTTATGTGTAGGGGGTGCAGGGTTTTTATGTGTAGGGGGCATGCAGGGTTTTTATGTGAAGGGAGTGTATGAATTTTATGGAAGGGGGTGCAGGGTTTGTATGTGAAGGGGAGGTGCAGGGGTTTTTGTATGAGGGGGCAGGGTTTTTGTGGAAGGGGGGCAGAGGATTTGTAGATGGGGATGCAGAGGTTTTGTATAAGGGGGCAGATCAGGGGGTTTTGTATGAGGGGGCAGGGTTTTTGTGGAAGGGGGGCAGAGGATTTGTAGATGGGGATGCAGGGGTTTTGTATAAAGGGGAAGGACAGGGGGTTTATATAATGGGGCAGGACAGGGGTTTTGTATAATGGGGGGAGGACAATAGTTTTATTTCTAAGTTAATTTATTTTACAACTGTTACAACAGTTCTATATTTTTTGTTACATAGTTAACTTATTTTGTTACAACTGTTTGTATTTGTTTATTGCATGTGAATTTTGGAAATGTCTGTGTAAACTGGAACTTTACAATAAATGTTGCACTGTATTTTCTGAGAAATATAAATGCATACGAGCATATACATTATATTTTTTTTGGGGGGGGGATCTTGGGTGAGTTCCCACACTTTTTTCACAGGGCTTGACTCCTGCATACACACACATATCCAGATACAAACTGCCAGACATACACTGACAAACATACCCACGCATGCTGGCAGCCATGGACAGACAAACATGCACAGACACATACACTAACACTGATATTGAAATTTAAGTAGTTTTAGTAACCCTCCTTTTTGCCAGGAGGGTGGTTTCCCTGTGGTTCAGCAGAGATCCTGTGTCAGCTGCAAGCAGCGCTGAGAGGAGTTGCTGAACTGTTCCTCTCTCCCACGTAGCTTCCTTTCAGCACTAGGTTTCTGGGTTTAAATGAATGGACATCACTTCCTCCCAGTGCGACCGTGCATGTCGGTTGGCATTACTTGTAAGAGACTCATGCCATCACAGTTCTGCAATGTAATGTAGTGTTGCAAGACTCCAGAGCACAACAGGCTCTTTAACAGATTACTTATTAACTCTTTAAGTGTGATTTTGTGTACTAAAATAAAATGGTAATATTTCATTATGTATAAGGAGGAATGCAGGGCATATAATGTCAGAGACAAAGGTTTGATGAAAGCGGGTAAGACATAGGAGGCATGGACGGGGGAAGCATGCTGTCTTTGGTTTTCTGGCCATGTATGCACAGAAGTGACACTAGCCAGCCTGGTTGCTGTATAACAACATTTCACTATGTTTTAAGGAGGAATGGGGGAGATAAAAGTGTGATCAAAGTAATCTAATGTCCAGAAGAAGGCATCTAAGGAGTAAGTGTCAAGGTTTAAAAAGCAGGGAGGGGGAGAAAAAACCTTTGGGAATAGAATAAGGGACTTTGGGAGAGGAACTTGGAGACTGGGAGAGGGTGTAGACCAAAGGGATGGATATTTTAGTATGGTTAGACCAGTGACACAGGTGCTAGGAGATGGGTCAGATTATTATAATGTAATTTAAAAAAAGCATAGAAGCCTCAGCATTGTGTTCCTTTAGCAAAGATGCTTAACCAGAGGCAAATGACGCGGGGCGCAATAAATACAGCTCCACGTAATGCTCTTGGCAAAATTTATAGGAACAAACTGCAAAAAGCCAGGAGGAAAAGATTTTGGATGCCACAGTCTCCTACCATTGAAGCCGTCATTTGTGAAGAAATTCTAGTCCCCTTTCCGTAGGATGCAGCTTTTGGAAAATCATGCCAGGTGAAAGGCGGGTGCCCATTATTGTACTCTGAACCACATTGTTTGTTTTTACGAAGTGTTTTTTTTTTTGTTGTGGTTGATTATTAAAAAATAGTATTTTAATAGTATTAAGCTATGCTGTTTTTCCTTTTCTCTTGTATGTCAATTAATGATGAGTGACGAGTCATTAATGGGAAAGGTGTAAGTGTATTTGGGAATTGCACTGCATTTTCACTGTGTTAGGTACTCAAGACTGTCTCCATTACTATTTTTGTAAATATGTTTAACCATTTGAAGGCCAGCTATCTTTTTCTGGGCATTCAGTTACAGAACAGAGGACTTATCAGTCATTATTTGTGTTGCTTTTAGACTTTTTATTAAATTACGCAGTTTAGAAAGTTATTTAAATTCTGAATACAAACCGGGTTATTCACTAAAGTGAGAATTCCAATTCAATTTTAAATTTTAAGGTTAGAATAGCCGAACTATAAAAATTGCTTCCAGTTTTATTTAGTATCGTTTTAAACTTACTTTGTATGGGCACGTTTGTAAATAAACCTGATTGTATACAAGTTTATGAATGTAACTAGTCAGTTTAACACTATATTTGTTGATTTCTTGGTCCTTAATTTTATTCCATGAAGTTACATTTTTTTCCATTTGCATTGAAAAATAAAATTCACTTAGAAATTAGAAGCATGCCTGTGTTGTTTGTGTTTTGGTTTTATTTGTAACATGGTTTTACATTGGCAGTTTCAATAAAATATTTCTTTTTTATTTTAGGCTCGAAAGAAAGCTCGGGACTGGTTGTCCTCAGAAACATCTCATTCAGAGCTGTCTCAAATTCACGACTCACTTGTTGAAGAAACTACCGAAACAGAAGAGCAGAAAAATATCAGTGAAGATGATAACCCAGATGTTAAGAAAGGCTTGCATGTGGAGGTAATCTAAAATCTTCAGATAATGTAGTAGATATGCTGAAGTTAAATGGTTACTCTAATCACCATGGCCACTTTAGTTATTTGAAGTGGTAATGGTGCCTGGATTCTGTATGTGCAGCATTTTGGTGGGAAACGGAGTACATACTGCGTTTTATCTCTGGCTGCATGTTTGGGGTGTCAGTCTGGGCATTCATTGGCTGAGAGCGATGTTCAGCTGACGTTTTCAGCCAATGAATGAGTACCAGGATTGGAATCCAGCTTCTGCAAGCAGGGACTTTGAAATAAGACCTCTCCAATGATAGAGGCATGTTATAACAGGATGAACTCCGAAATAATGCATTTATGTAAAACAACTAATTGGCTACATTTCCCATTGTTTGTTTTGTATTTTTTGCCTTTTTTTTGTTTGTTTCATGGTTTTTGAAAATCCAGTTGAATCATATTTAGCAATAACTACGGTTTGTACATAAACATTTTGGGTTTTTTTCTTTCTTTATAATGGTTAAAACTTCTAGATTTTATTAGTACGATGTTGTATTGGGATGTATATTTTCCTAGTGAATCAACATAATGTTCAATGGTTTAACTCTAAGCCTTATCTTGCTGCCTTTTAAACAATGCACACATTGGTCCTTGTGCGCTCTCCTCTAGACATTGAGCAGTGTTGAATTAACGGTGGTTGTCAAATTCTTTGTGCTTCGTTTCGAGAAGGACATCTGATGATTCTAATAGTGGATTAGTGTGTCTCGTAGTATGTAATTATGTTTTAGAACAAGAATAATGTCCTGTCTGTCCTGTCTTTAAGGAGGTATATATGCTGTCTATTGAAAGCCTGGCGGAGATTACAGCTCGCTGCATTGAGCAACTACACAAAGTGGCTGAATTAATTCTCCATGGGCAAGATGTAGAGAAACCAGCGAAAGACCAAGTGGTGGTTTTAACCAAGTAAGTATACATTTTATTTCCATTTACAACATTACTCTGATAGCTGTAAGCACTTGGGTAACCATTCAGTAAAGTAATGTGCATTTTCAGACGACACTAACTAGAGGTTTTAAAAAACTTTATAACTAGGAAATGTGCTGGGTAATTGGCTTCAATCCCCCAACCACACCCCCAAAAATGTAAAAACATAAAATAAAGGAAAGCGGAAAAGAAAAGTAAAGTTAAGTGATGTATTGGAAATGGAAAGTGCTGGAGGGATGTTTGAGGGAGACACCCAGAGTTTCCATGTGCTGGCTTTCTTGCAGCCATATTGCCTTTTTGATGTATGAAGTAGCTTTGTATGTTTGAAGAGCTTATATCATTTACAACGTAATACGATCATATCATGCGCTTTGTGCCTGGCGTCCAGAAATATTAGGTCTCATAGCTTTAATAACTAGAATTATAAATCTTCCAGTAATAGTAATGTCCTGTGTCTTGGGCAAGCTGTGGGTTGATTATATGTATGATTCAGGACTAATTTGGAAATTTTCTAGAGAATTCTGAACTATTTTTTTCCACATCTTCATCTCTTCTGAGGGCATTTCTGGGTAATTTCACATCGATTTAAAATAGGCTCTAGCTATGAGTTTAGGTCAATTCAGAAGTTGGTAAATTGTAGTAAATTGCAATTTTCGGGCTAAGATAGCTGAGCTGTGATTATATTGGAATTGGTGTTTTTTCCCCCCAAATCTGCTGTTTTAGACTACATTTCACATTTTTGTTTGTTACATTTTGGAGTTTACTGGAACCTCGGTTTAATGAGTGAATCTGAAGCAAATTTGTGCTTCACAATTTCCTCAAATTCTTCAGATGTGCTTTCCCCCTCCCCTAAATGTTGAGGGGCGATGGGGAGGGGGTAAACAGTGCCTCAATTGAAGTGCCAGGCAAATAAATGATTCTGCAAGACTTGTAGTAGTTTCAGCTCTCCTTAGATAATGAGATGATGGGTTGTCACGGTGAACGGATGCCTCGAGCAGCCTCAGATTAATGTGGTTACATTTTCTTTTATTTCTAGAATTCTATAAAACATTTGTGGGAGAATATTTCTAAAGAGACGAACCTGTCTATAATTTCAGTACTAGATAGCCCATGTGAGTGCAAATAGTCTAATCTGCAAATTGTGTAGGTTTTCTCAATATTAGCAGTAGTGAGCTTAAACCTGCCCAAGGACAAGGTACTTAGCATGTGTTTCTTATGCTCGGATTCTTTTTACTGGATAAATTGTAAGGCAATAAAAATACTAAAACCGTTATCCAATCATTTTTTAAGAAGAAATTAAAAAACTCTACAATAGGATACAAGAGTCAAGTAGCACATTCTTTAATATATATTAAGTCTGTTAGTGAGTCTATAACTCAGACAGTGCGAGATTACACACAGTTAAACAGTTTGCAAAGGTGAAACCTTTTTATTACCGCAATCTGTTGGGATCTGTCCTCAAATTATGAAAATGAATGCACCTCTCTTTCAATTAAACATTTCACTCGTTTAATGGATCAATAATGCTTTAATGTAAATGGCTTTTAAATGAACTGACACATGGAGACCGCTTTAAGTGTTATTTGCCATTACCTGCCCGTCACGATTTTTACTGCAACGTATTGAAACACTGTCTGGAGAGACTGTAGATAAACCTCACCGCTAAATAACGAAACCATTCAGTGCAAGTCAAATGCATATTCTAATGGGCTGCCTGGTGCATTATCCCAATCAGAGTGCAGCTGGAATTCAAATAATGGTTGGCTATTACAAAATGCACAGAGTATTGTAAAGTAATGGTAGCCCATTGCTTTCAAGTACAGATTTGTCAGGGATATAAATATAAAAAGATGTATGTGTTTGTATGTATTTTTATTACATTTTAACTTGAGTATTACAGTTTCTTGTTATATGGAACTGAAAATGGGTAATATTCATTATTCACAGCCAAAGAGGAATTTTTTTTTTGTATTTAAGAAAATAACCAGGTTAGTATAAAAAGCAATACCTTACAGAAATAATATTAAGTATTTTAAAAACAAACTTATCTTTGCAAAATGTTTTTTCTTCTTCTTCTGCAGGTTAACCAGTGCGATGTGTAAGGAGGTATCCTCGTTATCAAAGAATTTTTCCAATTCTCTAACCTCAGCTGGAGTAAGTATAGCTAACACCTTGACTGGTCTGGATTCGTTATTGCCTGGAGAAAATATTTGACCATGTATCAGTCTGTAGAACTAACGATGGATAATAATTAATAGAAATATATAAATTTATATAAAACCTAATCCATTATTTTAATAGAATATATACAACTTTGGACATCTGTTCTAGCTTTTTTTTAAATGTATTTTATTTTTTTAAAGAGCAAGACAAAGGCAGAAATCCTGAATCCAATGATCAACAGTATCAACCTGGAGGTAATATTGTATATTTTTATGTTATCCACATTCTGCATAAACCAATGGGTGGTATTTGCAAATGTCAAGTAAGATACCCATTTTCCCCACAAAGATAATAATTTGTGGGGGGGAAGGGGATTTTTTTTAGTATTATTATTACCTTGCAATTTATTTATATTTAGACATTTTCTCCCACAAATGTTTTATTTATTCAATACGGAATTTCAAAAATGTAGGCAATATAGCCTAGTTCTAAAATCATGGAAAACCTACACAAATGCCAGAAAAGCTCTTTCTGTGCAAAAAATGAGTGACTTTTCTAACCAGGAGTAAAGGGATCTATTCACTAAGTGGTGAATAAATAGTGAGATTAGGCAACTTGACAAGCAACTTGCGCAATAGTGGAGTTTGTTATTACAAGTGTCTATTTATTACAACTCACTCTTTACAGAATAAAACCCACATTTTCTGATTTTCAGCTTTTTTTTCATGCATAATAGTATTCTTATATCTGAGTGTAAAAATGTGCACAAGTGATGTGACTTTCTTGTTGAATGTGCAGAAATGTGATTGCACGTCGTTTGGGGAAAATGTAATCGAGAATGCCTTTATTTGGGGAAAGGTTTCTTTTGTTTGTTTCTGCTGAAGCAAATTATTATTTTCTACGATGCAACCTGTTTCCTTGTTTGTTTGTAGAATATAAACTTCTCTTTTTTTTTTTTTTTCGTGTTTATGCGTTTCACCTGATTTGTTACAATGTGACTCCCTGGTGAATCTTTTAATTCTGCAAGATAAATCTAGCACGATAGTTGGCAACCTTAGGCACTGCGGATGTTGCGGACTACATCTCCCCTGATGCTTTGCCAGCATTATGGCTGAACGAGCATTATGGGAGATGTAGTCCACAACACCTGGAGTACCGAAGGTTGCCTACCCTTAATCTAGATCAGTACAAACGCACATGCCAGATGTTTTCCATTGGATGGCATGTGGACGCCATCACAGTGACGATAAAAGAAATGTTCAGAAAAATAATCTTTTTTTTTTTTCACAGGGATGCAACAGCACCACCTACATCCAGGATGCATTCAGACTGCTTCTCCCAGTAATGCAGTATTCTTATATCCAGGCCACTTCTTCAAAATCATAGGACTTTCTCTGAACAGGCACACATGTGCTATATCCCACAATATAGCATCATCTTCCACAGGGAAATGGAAGAGTCACTACTTGGCCGGTCCTGCTGCTTTATAGGAGCTTTATATTGGTTATATGCAGTTTTGCACATTGTTGAAATTGATTAAGATATATTTTTGGATAGTCTTTTTGATTATTTGTAGACCATGTGATATCACAAATCGTTTTGTACGTGTTATTTCCCTGAAAATGAAGTCAGAGAAGTATTATGAATAAGTATTATAAGTTAAAACCTGCTTTACGCTGTCTCTTCTACTGCTGTTGCTCATCGTGGAGCCCACTATTGTAATCCAGTTAGAAACTAATTTACCGTAATTAATTCCATGGATGAATGATTACACATCAGGACAAACCATTTCATAAATGTAAAATGCGTTGTATTAAGATTAAAAGACTAGCTAAATAATTAATCACTTTTTTTTGTAGTTATTCATAATGTAAAAGAAACTATTAGCCAAGGTTAAATGTTATCTGTATCTCGGTTAAAGGTGGACAAGCCAGGCCTTGATTGATCCACTCTCAGACCAATAGTTTGGCCGAATTCTGACCTGATGTAATTTTCACTGAATACTCATTATTTTGTTTGTTCAAATGGTGGACCTCAAACTTTATGCACATACAGTGTCAGCCTCAGCCATGATATAAGAGGCTCATCTTATCTCCGAACTTGTCTCAGACTTGAAATGTGTCTTTTCTCAGGTCTTCTTGATTCTGAGTCAGTCTTAAGAACATGGTTCAGGTAGATTGCAACAGATAATGTTATTGGCATGTGACCGCTTTGTAGGGTCTATTTATTGGCTGAAATCACCAGCTTTGGCACAGTGCAGGAGTGTCTATCTGCAGAGGAGGCATTGGCAGAAACCCATCAGAACCCATGTATGTTGACAAACCATTCTTAAATGATTTAACTACTTACTCTGAGAGGTTGGTAGGTCATTCCTGGAACCATAACCACAAGCGAGACAACATAAGAGCTGGAGCTACTATAGCTGCAGTCCAGCAGAGGGCAGTGTGAGACATGTTAATAGTGACCTACAATGCAATTCAGTGCTTGTAACCTATATGTCCGGATACATCTACATGAGCACAATCCAAGATGACCATACCTTATTACCTTTCTTCTGCTGCGAATGGTGCAGAAATCAGACATTATAATTTTAAAACCTGACCTAAACATTAGTCATATCTCGAGCTCAGACAATATCATACGGTTAATGACAAAACAAACTGACTTTTTTTGAGGCGCTTTTACATCAAAACAGTTGAGCCAAGTTGATTGATGATAGTAGGTGACCGGTGTCTCACTGATATTTTATGTTTGATATGGACATTATAGTGTGTGTTGTTTTTTTGTTGTTGTTTTTTAAGGTAGCTAAATTAACAATGTGCCCGTTATATTACCAATGTCAATATATTGTAGTTACAGTGCTAATTTGTAATTTAACCGGTGTTGAGGAATCACAAGTAAACCTTGCTTGTCCACGTCATCAAATCAAGCCGTGTCAAAGTATCAGAGCTTTAGGGTAGTCATAGTTTTATTATTTGTTATAACGTCAGCATCGTTATCGGCTTGTAGGCAGCCGTTAATGTGTTGATAAGTATGGAGCGTTAGATTGTAATTTCCTTAATAGCTAGTAACTAAAGAATGAAAAATAGATTCAACATGAGTGACTATTTTCTAAGGTATTCTAAGTCTCCGTTTGAGTTTTACTGCAAGTAAATGAATCCATGATTTCTGAGCACACGGTAACTGTGGATAATGTAGAATAGGGGTAGTCAACCTGCTGCGCTACAGATGTTGTGGACTACACCTACCCTGTTGCTTTGCCAGCATTATGGCTATACGAGAATCATGGGAGATATAGTCCACGACATATGGAGTTCAGAAGGCTTCTGACCCCTGATGTAGAACATTGTGGTTTTTGGTGTATTTCCCAGTACTGCCTGGGGGGAAAAAAAGGTTTTCTATTATCACATCAATATCCTCACTCTCGCCAAACGTTATTATATCTATTGAACATGGGGAAGCATTTACTATTAAAACCAAAAAGGTTACACAATTGAGTTAACATTAAATTTAAGTGTGTAATTTAAGTATATTTTACTGACCGCAAGATATGCAGTGAAGGACCAAATCTAAAACACAGTACTCTGATCTCTTAAAATAGTTGCTGTATATATTCTACTTATTAGTCTAAATACAAATCTATATTGATGCTATTTTTTTCCCCCCAGTAAATATCTTGAGCCCCCCTCTCCATAATGATCAATGGTCTGAGTGTAATTCAGAAGACAGAATTACTAGAACTGTATTTACAATTAATTACACACAGATTTCTCTATTTTGTACCAGCTGAACATTGATAATTTGGCTTTTAAAATGTTTCCATGTATATTTAATTTACTTCTTACATTTACAGTGTTTATCAATATATATTGTTTGTTTCACCATTCTAACTAAGCATAGAGCCATAGAACTATCATATGTTTTTTCAAAGTGCTACAAGGATACAAGAGATTCATCCAGATAAGACGTGCCCAAACTTGGCGATTCATTAGACTTTATTATCCAAAATACATGATAATACAGAATATAGCCCAGAAGTCATTGTTCCCTGAAAAAGAATCTCATATGTGGGTGGAGTTATTGCAAAATTACTGCTAAGCTCCACCCCTGAGTCACACAGCACCCCTGCAGAATAGTGCTCTAGGCAAGTGCCTGTATATATCACTACATCAGTCTATAAATATATATCCTATTGCTTATCAATATTTTGTCTCATGTTTCCAAATTGCTGTAAATAGCCAAAATAGTTTAGGAATGTATACTGGTTTTGTCATGTTAATTAAATGGCTTGCACCAATGTATCCTACGGAATCCTATCATGACGGTGTTTAATAATTTTTCATTCAGAAAACTTGCTTTAAAGATCTGATAACATGAACTGCTTTTCTGGAAGTGTTTATGTACTGTTAATAGTTTGTCAGAGTTGGGAGGGGGTGTAACATTTTTTAATTAAATATTTTAATATGTGCCATAAGTAAGGTGCTGTAATTTGGTTTATAAATTTTCATTGGAAACATTAAAAGGTATATTTAAATTTCAAAGCTGGTATCGTTCCTTAACCTGTCATACCCAATATTAATCTGTAATACCCAATATTCATCTTGGCTGAAGACTGACTGATAGTTGGGGTAGGATGAAATTTTTAAAGAGCATTAAATGCAATTCTATACATTTGCCTGCCTTTCTACTAGTATAGTGTGTAGATAATATGTAATGCTTTTTAAAGCATTAATGATTGTTATTTAATGGGAGTAATATGACAAGCATGATATATGGGTAATATTTATGGAAGTATTCAAGGGAGTTGCAAGTTAACCATGGGTTGGACAATTTCTACTATTCTATTATTTCAGCCTAAATGTGTTAACGCTTTGTCTTTTTTTCTGTACAGCACTTTTTTTTAATTTTTTTTTTTTTTTTTTAACAAAACCTCCATGTGATTATAAACCTTTATAATGCATCTTCCACAAAGCACTATAGTCACCATGTAACACTGCAGATATGGCACTCGGATCAGCCTCAATTTTTGCTAAACACTATATTACATATTCGAGTAGTATGCACAGCTCTGGTAAAACTTTTGCAATTGAGCTTCATTAAAAATTTTTTTTTTTTTTTTTTACATTATAATTTTCCACATTAACCGCCACTAAAGCAGTAAAGGTAAATGCTCAGGTCCCCCATCTTCTGCTGAAATCAGGAAAATGTCCACACTCCATTCATCCTTCCCTCATTTCATTCCCCACTTAGATATGTTTAATTTTTTTATTGTTCGGTCCCGTATAAATCCGCTCCTCCTCCAGTTCAATTTCTCTTGCTCTGCACGGAGTCTTCACTCCCTCAATCCTGATTTTCCTTGGTCTTCTACCTTTATACAAGAAGAAAACAAAACGCTAAATCGCCAGATCTTTTCCATATAGAAGACGCTTCAATCCAAAGATAGGGATCAAATTACCTTTGTTCCAGTGAAAAGGACATGCGGCTAGGAAATACACAGGGGAGCAATAGGCCTTTACCACTTACACCTACTGGCACTTTATCAGAGACTTATAAACCATCCCTAACCTAAGTCATTGGGCTGTACCTATTCACCCCCTGCCATCTTCATTTCACTTCTCTTGTCCCTCTTGAAGTGGTCATGGTACCTGGAGTCTATCTGTGCAGCGTTTTGTTGTGAAGTGCACACACCAAGTTTAACCCCTTTTCTGCCGGAGCTGTAATTCCACCTCCGGTAGCGTCGTGATGGGTCATCCAATAGTTCTGGACTGGCTAATGTTAATTCTGTACAAATTTAGATATACAGACACTCCTTAATTGGCTGAAAGCGGTCAGCTGATGCTCTCAGCCAAATAACGAGCAGAAGGATCAAACCCTGCTTTACAACCAGGCACTCGGTACATTATATTGGGGAAACTCCACAAAAAGGGAATACTCACTATATTCAGCACATCTGAAATTAGGACTAATGTAGGATTGAAGGAATAGCGGCAATAGACTCTCGAAGCTGTTACACCGTATTTGACATCTTTACTAACAGTGCTAGAGTATTTTAATTTATTATCCCCTTTAATGACTCCACGTTTAGGATAGTAATAATTAAGTTCTAATCCTATATAAAGTAAAGTATAAAAATATGTTGCTCTCTGGTTCTGTAAATGCAACACAACATTAACCAAAATTGTCACAAGGAAATACTCTATTCAAAGACATAAGCAAAGTAAACCAGTTGCTTTGGTAGAAAATTCATATAAATTAATATTTATTTTGTCATTGCTTGATTCGGTCATCCTTTGGGGTCATATATAGACTGTATTTATTGTTCAAAGTTTTAAGTGTTTGGCAGGAACAATCAATTGGTTTTCTTGATGAATCCTCCACTTTCACTGCTGCCCAGAATCACACCTAATACATAATCATAATTATTCCAAAATACATTTTGTAACGGCTATACAGTGCGCATGGAACATTTCATTTAAAAAAAAAAATATCAAGTTTGGAAAAATCCAGGATCTCTAATGTAAAAATTTAACCAGACTAATATAAAAATGAAATTGTCTCTTTAAAAAAATAAAAAAAATAAACACTATTTTAAGAGCATGTAATTACATATGTATCCCATCTGTGAAAAATATTCAGCTCCTTTATTCCCAGAGGACACCTTTTAAAAGCCTTTCAGGTGGAAAATCAAGTATAGGCATATCGGTATTTAAATCCTGCAAGATGTCAATAAAGATACTTCAAGACAATGTTATTTTGAGAGAGCAAATTGTAATTTACAATACAATCAATAATATAGATTATGTTCCTTGCACAGTAAATCATTGAGAGCATTTACAATAAGTATATGACAGCTCTATAAAGTTCCTATGAAGCATGTTTAAGTCAGCAGAAGCACCGCCATAGTGAAATGGACATATAAAGGGAGGGTTATTAACCCGAGTGAGAATTCAAGGGGAATTTCAAATGTAAAGTCAAAATGGCCAATCAAGAGACATTATCTATTGGAGCAACATCAGTGTTCTAAATTCACCAGTGAGAATTTATGACTTGGTAACTAGCTTGTATCATGTTTGCATTTAAGAATGTGGTAAGAGTTCTCTCATTTTTAAAGGGACAGTTTAGGCACCATAACTTTATCTAAATAACTTTGTTATGGTGCCAGAATGCGTGGAGTGCTGCAGGGCAGGGGCGCTGCTGATTGGCAAAAAAAAAAAAAAGGTAAGTAAACATAATATTAAAAACCATGGGAATTAACAGCTCCCCTTTAACAAAGATAGAGTACGACATTTATAACTGAATAATCATTTTTTTTAATAAAAAAAAATCATAAATACACTAGAACATACAGCTTTTACCAATCTCTGTTTTGAGTCGACATTTTATATATAAACATGAATAATGCACAAATAAAAATAAGTGGCAGCAGACACAGCCAGACGATCCCAAGTGTGCTTGTGAAATCTGTAGAAAGAAACAAAGACAAAATCATTGGCTAGAAAGAACACACAAAGAGTTACTGTTTGGAAAATACTGCTTAAAGGACCACTATAATGCCAGAAAAATATACTTGTTTTCCTGGCACTATAGTGCCCTGAGGATGCCCCCACCCTCAAGGTTCCACTCCCGCCGGGCTCTAGGGTGAGGAAGGGGTTAAACTTACCTCTTTCTCCAGCGCCGGTCGGGGAACTCTCCTCCTCCTTGGCTGAATGCGCATGCACGGCAAGAGCCGCGCGCGCATTCAGCCAGTCTCATAGGAAAGCATTCACAATGCTTTCCTATGGATGCTGGCATCTTCTCACTGTGAAAATCACAGTAAGAAGCACGCAAGCGCCTCTAGCGGCTGTCAATTACACAGCCACTAGAGGCTGGATTAACCCTATTATAAACATAGCAGTTTCTCTGAAGGGTTAACCCTAGCTGGACCTGGCACCCAGACCACTTCATTAAGCTGAAGTGGTCTGGGTGCCTATAGTGGTCCTTTAAGGTTTTATTGGAGAATATAGCAATTTCATTCCAAATACAGAAACATTTTCATTATTCCTCTTTTGTTCTTTATCTCTATCCTATCCTTTTATTCTAAGATTTTCTGGGTCACTCCTTGTAGACTGTAGCTAGACACCCCTCCCCTCCTCCCCCCTACCCCGTCACATATATCACTTTGGCATTCATGGCATTCCCAATAAGATACTGAATCTATTGCGTTTCTCTGTTTAGAACTTTCCTAATGGTTTGCGGTCTATTATTTCCCAACTGGCACTGCCCCAGCTTACTTTAGAAATGTATATTTCTACACAAACTGACGTAGATTGTCATAGTTTTTTTGTGCTTTTTACTGCAGTTATATCCTACGTATCTTATTATCAACATGAGCTACAAAGATAAATAAATGAGTATCGAATCGTTACAGGGATGCCGTTTAATTTTATGATTCGTAAACAGGATAAACATTTCCTTAATGCATTTTGTATAACTTACATGGAGTGTTACTATAAAGCTGTAGTGATATATTAATCATGTCGTAGCTCCTTAGCTCATCGGGTAGATAAGACGATATTGCATCTGTTGTTGGATTGTGTTCACTAACATTTGCAATGTAGATTTCGATGGATGATGCTGAAGGATGGGTATCTTCTTCAGAACTCACTAAAATAAGGTGAAACTTCTCGTAGGAAGAAATTATATATTTTCCTTTCATTTCCATTGAGCGATTTATGTCATCTGAGTAACAAATAAATACATGTGATTGGTTGGAGTATTTTTTTTTTTATTGTTTCAATGTTGTAGACGGACGTGAGCAGGACAAACGTTAAATTGCTATTTTGAGTTTGTATATTTTTTGGGGGGGTTTGTTTTACCTTTTTTGAATTGTACAGCACTGAGTAATATGTGTCAGCTTTACAAATAAATATTGAAAACGGGTTGTGTTAGCATGCTTAAAAGATTGTAGGGACCATCCCATCTTCATCTTAAGGTATCGGGTGTAATAGCTGGAGTCTCTTGGCCCTGTTCTTCCATTCAGTGTTAAACCCGTTTCAAGCAATGTTACACTATATAGGGTAAGGGTTCCTGGCTCCTACTGGAGGTATGCATAAGGCAGAGATTACACACTTCCCTAAAGCCATACCTCTTCTTTCACTCTCCCTACAAGTTGATGGTACACACACCAGCCCATCATTGTGTGTTCGCTGCCTTAGTGTTATATTTGATTCTGGCTTCACCTTTACACCTCACATCCAGTCTGTAGCCAAATCCTGCCAGTCAGGGGCGTACCTAGAGCATTTGGCACCCTTGGCGGATCCTATGCTTTGCACCCCCCAAAAAAAAAAAAAAAAAAACCTGTAAAAAATGTTAAAGGTTTTCTTTAATTAATCCACACTCCTTAAATAAACCATACCCCTTAATTAATCCATACCCCTTAATTAATCCACACTAATTCATCCACACATCCTTAATTAATCCACTCCCCTTAATTGATACATGCACCCTTAATTAATCCACCCCCTTAATTAATCCACCCCCCATAATTAATCCACACTAATGAATCCACCCCCCATAACTAATCCATCCCCCCTTAATTAATACACCCCACTTAATTAATACACCCCCATAATTAATACACCCCCCTTAATCCACTACCCATAATTAATTCCCCCCTTAATTAATCCACCCCCCATAATTAATCCACCCCCCTTTATTAATACACCCCCATAATTAATATACCCCCCATAATTAATCCCACTCCTTAATTAATCCACCCCCCCCCGCAATTAATCCACCCCTATAATTAATACACCCCATAATTAATTCACCCCCTATAATTAATCCACCCCCCTTAATTAATACACCCCCATAATTAATCCACTCCCCCATAATTAATCCACACTAATTAATACACCCCCCCATAATTAATCCACCCCCCATAATTAATCCACTCCGCCCTAATTAATCCACCCCTATAATTAATCCACCCCCCATAATTAATACATCCCCAATAATTAATCCACCCCCATAATTAATCCACCCCCATAATATACACCACCCCCATAATTGATACACCCCCATTATTAATACAACCCCATTATTAATACAACCCCCCATAATTAATACACCCCATAATTAATACACCCCATAATTAATACACCCCCCATAATTAATATACACCCCCTCCTTTCTCTCTCACCCCCCTCATTTCTCCTCTCACCCCCCCTTTCTCTTTCTCACCCCTCTTTCTCTCCCCCTTTCTCTTTCTCACCCCCCTCGCTTGCCTCACCCCCCTCATTTCTCTTTCTGCCCCTTTCACCTCTTTCTCACTTACCTTCTCACCCCCCCTCCTTCGCTCTCACCCCTTTCTCCTTTTCTCACCCCTTTCTCTCTCTTTCTCACCGCCCCTCCTTTCCTGCCCCTCAACTTTCTCCTCCCCTCCTTTCTCCCCCCCTCCTTCTCTTTCTCTCCCCCCTCCCCCCTACCTCTGTAGTAGCGTGGCCGAGCCCAGTATAGTCGGCGGGTACAGGTAGCTTTTGTTTGCACTTCCTGTTAGTCCGGCCGGGTACAGGAGACAGCTGCCCTCTGTACCCGCCGACTATACTGGGCTCGGCCACGCTACTACTCATGGACGCACCACCCGGGCAAAGCTGCAGCCGCCTGAGGCTCTCTACAGAGCGCTCGGGCGGCTGCAGCATGGGGGGTGGCTGGTCTGGTCTGCAAGGCTGATTTTTCTCTCCGTCACTCCATTCGCCCCCTTGCCAATCCTTACATTGTCTTCCTGTGTCCTCTAGCATGGAATTCAAAATATTAACCCTGCATGTTGTCACTAATTCATAGGTATGCCCCTTCTCAGTCTCTCCTCTCTGCCGGTGACCTTCTCCTATCCGCTGCTCACACCCTTACTGCTAATTTGCACTTACAGGACTTCTTGTGGACAGCCTGACTCCGTTAGAACAGCCTGCCTACACCACAGACTCTCCCCAAGTCTTCAATCATTGAGGAAGCCCATCTAAATCCATATCTTCAAAATACTCAATGGCCTTCCAAGGTAACTGCTATTTCACAAATCTAATGCTCACTCTCTCATAGAGGGTTGACACTCCCTTTTCACCTCCAATCCTACTACTTTCCCACCCTGCCGCTTGGTTGCTGCCCTTCCTATTGTGTTTTTATACCACACCTTCTATAGACTGTAAGCTCTTTCGAACGGAGTACTCATCATCCGATAATGATCTATTGTTAAATTTCCCCCTTTAAAAAATTGTATAGTACTTCGGAATAAGTTGGTGCTGCTTAAATGCCAATAATAATGATAGCAGCAATGGGTGTTGTGATAACAGCTGCCCAATGCTGCTCAGGCTAATGCCTCATTACACCAATCCGCACAGAGGATATCGGCTGCTGAATACATTTCTTTAGCATTAAAACATTAAAAATGGTTTAATGCTGAATGGAAGAACAGTGCCAGAGGACTTAACACACTATAACCACTTCAATGAAATGATGCAGTTACAGTGCCTCCAGTGTGTCCTCTTGAACTTTTTTTTTATTTTTATTTATTTATATATTATAAAAGGAGCCAGAATATCCACTAATATACATGGCAGGTACACATCAAACAAGATGGCGGCTAAAAGCATTCCACACTTCAGGAGGAAATTTGCCCCCCTATGGGCTCTTGACACCCTGGGCGATCAATGCAGGTCAAAACTAGCTGAGTAACAAAAGGCTCACGACGCACAACCCAGGGCGCTAACAATGAACACAGAGGCCCAGAACAATGAATGTGGGAGATCTATACAGCTGAGCAACATTTGGTTTCTGGCGGACGGCCCAAGGCATCGACCAACCCCTCTCTACAAAGCTCTACAAAGCTTACCTGGCTTCTCCACCTTGGCTCCCGCTCCACCGCTTGACGCAGCACTCAATAAGTGACTCTCTGGTACTGGAGCAAGCTTGGCAGACAAGGCTCTGATGGTGGACTACTCACAGGCAAATACCTGCAAGTCGGGACTGTGTCCTGCCGGTGGCGGGGATGGGATGATCTCCTAGGGATTAAGGTCTTTCCCCATGAGTTAACGTACTGAAGCCAGCAGTTAATAATAACTGGGCCCAAGTTTTTTTTATCATTATGGCACGTTCAATCTAGCATTACTTAATTCCCACTGTTTCCCTCCTCTATGTCATATTGTTTCATTTGCTAATACCGGATTACTCTAATTTAAAAAAAAAAAAAGGGTGTAATATCTCATATGACATATGCTACTGATTTCTACAGTGAACCATGTATGTCTCAACCGTCCTGTACTTTTTCCCTTTCACCACAAAAAAAAAATGAAAAAACGAACAAAAAAAACAAAACAGCTCTTCAGTCACTTATTAAGAAGTGGAAAATTTGGGGGGAGGAGGGAGGCGTGGCCGGAACCCGAGCTGCAGGGTCGCACTCTGAAAGAGCTCTGCCGTGGAGGGCTCCCAAAAGCGGCTTACAAGCAACAAAAAAGAAGCACAAACTGCCCCAATTACCTGCAGCACAATGGCTCAGCACCGCAACAAGAAATCGGCGGAGGTAAAAGAGCAGGCGACCTTCTTTGCAGCCCGCTCATTGCAAGCAAGGCTGGTGGCATTACAGGCCCAGGATGACGCCGACTTAGTTGTGGATGGAGACCCCACAGGCAGCCAACAAATCAGCGCGGCACAGCTAATCACTACAGGAATGCTGCAAGAAATACTGGACACACTGGCAAACAAAATGCAAGCAACAATATACTCAGCCATAGCAGACCTGAAAAAGGAGCTTACTGATCTGGGGAATCACACCTCACAACTAGAGGAAGTTGCCGCATCTCACAACACCATGGCAGGAACATGGAGGGTCTAGAAGACAGATTCCTAGAATGTTAGTGAAAAATAATGGACATGGAGGACCGTTCCCGCAGAAACAACCTCCGTATGAGGGGGATGCTGGAAGAAATAGGCTTCGCTGACATGCAACCATATGCCATAGAATTCTTCCACTTCATGGTCCCTGACATACTGGCAGACCTGTTTCTACTGGGCCGCATACACCGCACAGCCAAACCTAAGCACTTACCTCCTTCAACGTCCTTGAGATGTCTTGTCCAGAGTACACTTGAAGTGTGAAAGAACTGATTCTCCTCTCACACAAAGAAAGTGCAAACATAGCTGCAAAGTTCAAAACGATACAAATATTTGTGGACTTATGAGCCGAAACACTCAGAAGAAGGCGTATGTTCCAAGCAACAACTGAAAGGCTCCGACAACACATAATCCCCTACCACTGGGGTTACCCGGCAAAGCTGTTGATCTCTAAAGGTGGCAAACTGATCCCGATCCTATCTAACACTGAAGGGTCTGATATGCTACCCACATGGGGCCTGCCTCCGAAACCGATCGCTGGCAGTCCGACACGAAGCCCTTGGCTGAGGACAGAGTGGAAGACCCCGAGAAAGAGAAGACCTTCCCCGAGAGATGAGTGATGCCCTCCTGCACATACTACATCACCTCATAAAGTCACTGAACATCCACACATATCTCTGGACTATACACCACTTTGACATAAGGGCTTCCGATAGCCTTACTTCCCCTCAGCCCTAACCTCTGGGCTCATAACCTCCTGTTGGGGCATGAGAACCAACATCTCACATACATTACCCCTTGAGCAGCACCCGAGAAGGGGAAACGCTCTACCTTTGTCCTTTCTTTGACAGGGGGAGGCAAACCTCCATCACACCTGAGTCAGGGGGAGAAGAAGGTGGCTCAGAGATAGCTGATATACCTCATGGGCGTTTGGGTATTACAACAAAGGGAAGAGACAAAGGGACCTATTGCGAATGTAATTGTGTTATTATGCTAATTCATTGTTATTGCAACCGTGCCTGCAACTAAAAAGTATACCAAGGTTGTTACATATATGTGTCCCCAGACGGCTCCACAGGGTACTTGATGGGACATGCGACCGAGAGACTGCATGCTAGGTCCATAGGGGGGAGGTCACCGCTTGTGGAGGTCACCGCTTATGCGATATTGGAAAACTGAATAATCCCCTAGAGATGGTCCCCGCTCCTCCCTGGTAGACCTCGCCCACTCCCCACTTACCACAGACCCCTGTGACAACGGGTGCCTCTCTAGGCAGGTGCCAGCAGACCGGTCCCTACACTCCGTACCCACCGAGTATGAGATACCACCCCTCCTCCAACAACAACCCGGTCCGAGTGACTAAGAGCAACCAAGCCAAGAGCACACGACTGTTATTCGCCTAGGGGTAATAGGTACCAGCCAAAACAACCTACCGCAGAGCTTCCACTGACAGGAGCCCATCCAGAGGCAGACCATCCCGACTAGACCCAGACTCGGTTCGCCCACTACTCTCCCACCCAGAATGTGTTCTGGATAAACTCACCAGGCACCTTGGATCTAAATGTATCCAAAATGTACTTTAACATTGATTTTATATATGGTTTCTGTTTAAATTGTTATGCTTTACAGTTGTTCCGCATTGTAGCAGGTACCACCATGACCTTTCCAGTGCACACCAGAGACCTAGAGAGCACACTCTCCTTAAGACTACCGCTCAACCCCCATTCCAAAAGGTAAAGATAGTCAGGCCCCAAAAAAGCCAGCGCAACATACTTAGTGTCCCATATAACACCGCCACAACGAAGACTCCACACCTCGTACACATCCCACGGGCTCTAGGCTCGGCAGTCCCAGAGAAGAGACAAACATCTATCATAAGCAACACAATGACCCCAGGCACACATTATGAAAATATACACACATAATGTTAGGGGACTCAACTCCTCCCAAAAACGTTCTACCCTCCTAACAGAACTGGCGCAATCCAAAGCAGACATTATATGTCTTTAAGAAACACACTTCAAAACCAACTCCTCGCCAATTATTGGGCGCAAGGTATACCCGAATCAATTCCATGCCACATCACCCAGGAAAAGTAGAGGTGTATCCATCCTCATAAGCAGGCAGCGACAAAATAGCCCTCAAACTGGACCCCCAGGGCAGGCATATAATCCTTGTGTGCACAATAGCTCAACATACACCATAGTTAATGCATAAACGCCAAACATTAACCAACCAATTTTCCTCCGCAAGCTTCTACACCATATCACCCACCATCAAACAGGGCCCACGATCATATGCAGGGATTTCAACCACATTCTAGACCCGACCACAAACTCCACAGCTACCTTCACCTCCGTGAGATCAAAGTTGATATACAAACACTGCAACTCAATAAACAAGACACATACGAAATATGGTCTTTAGGACATATGGCGCATATTTTATCCAAACAAACGTGAATACACCCACTACTCTCCAGTACACAACACTTACTCCAGGATCAATGGTATCCTCATGCATAGTGCACATCTAAACCAACTTTTGTCCTGCGAAATAGGCACATTAAAGTGGTCAGACCACAGCCCGATCACGCTTTCCATGACTGACCAATACAGGAACCGCAGCCCATCTCGACTAAATGAGAGCCTCCTGCAGGATCCCAAATGTGTCAGCACCATACATTCAGAACTCTCACAATACTTTATCACAAATGATACGATGAACACAAGTCCGATCACCCTGTGGATGACCCACAAACCAGTAATTAGGGGTATATTTATCAGTAGAGCCTCATACCTTAAAAAAAACACACCACACAACTCACACAATACAAAACCTCGCAAAACTGCAAGACCTACACAGAGCAAATCAACTCTCCCCTACTGACAAGAGTAAAAATCAAAACGCAAACACTAATTAATAACATCAAATTCCAGAAAGCTAGCTATGCACTTAAGAAACTAAAAGCTACCTCCTTTGTGATGGAAAATAAAGCCACCAAAACACTAGCGCAGAGATTCAGAGACAGACAGGCACAGACCAGTGTCCCTTACCTTCTCACCAAAACAGGACAAAAAAATATACGAACCAAAACAAATGTGATGAGTTTGCGAGGTATTACTGCACACTGTACAATCTCAAAGATAACACAGACATCACTCAACCTACACAGACCTCTATTGCTGCATACCTGCCGAACATACACCTACCCACCTTTACTGAACAACAATTGACACAATTGATCAGCCCTATCACAGAGGATGAACTCATTCCACATATAAATGCCAAGCCCAAAGGGACGGCCCCTGGACTGGACGGTCTGACAAACCTATACTACTCCACGTTTAAATACACAATTGCCCCTCACTTAACGAAGACCTTCAATGGGGCAACCCTGGCGGGTTACTTCCCCACAGAATTCCTCTCTGCACAAGTCATAACACTCCCAAAACCAGGGAAACCCACCATATTATGCCAAAATTTCCACCCAATCTCACTATTAAACTCAGACGCAAAACTTTATGCAAAAATCTACGCAGATGAACTGAAGTCCATCCTCCCTGCACTCATCGACACAGATCAGATGGGGTTCGTGGCGGGTAGACAAGGCCCGGACAATACGCGCAAGGTCTTAGACATATACCACATACTCCACCAATCCAAACCAGTGAATACATTACTCTCCCTAAACGCTGAAACAGCATTTGATAGATTCAATTGGCAATTCCTGCGGGCAGTCCTCGATAGGTTTAGCTTTCCCCCCTAATTTCATCTTCTCAGTTGAAGCCCTATATAGTGCCCCAACGGCAAAGGTCCTGAACTCGGGATATAGCTCCGGCCCTTACATATCACAAACTGAATCCACCAGGGTTGCCCCTTTTCACCTTTCCTGTATGTGCTGGCCCTAGAATCACTGGCAGAAGCAATTTGACAGAACCGAGACATACATGGAGTATCCATAAAGGTCAAGGATTACAAATTGAACTTATTTGCTGATGATATCTTACTAACACTCACACAACCTATGATCTTTCTCCCGAACCTCACACGTGAACTAATGGCATACAGCAAACGATCGTACTAACAACTGAATGTAACCATAACTTATCCACCACCACACAACCATGGTCCCTAGCAACACCGATACGATCGTAACAGGTATACAATGATACTTTCAATCACTGTAAATGGCAGCACCACGGCCTAACACACATACACCAGCTATATACATAGAATGGACTAAAACTGTTCCCAGAGCTACAGGAAGCATACTCCCTGCCACAATCATTAACATTCCCTTACCGACAACTGAAAACACTGTTTGTGAACCTGGCCGTCACGCAATAGCCTTAAGTCGGGGTCTGCGGCCTATGAGGGTGGAGAGCAGGACGGACGGCCGCCGTCCTGTTTGCAAACCTAGCCGTCATGCAATAGCCTTGTGATGCCCCCCCCAGGCCCCCCCCCCCCCCCCCCCCATGGACCGGGTGGGTTATCCCGGTCTCCACCGGAGGGAATCACCGCCCTACAAAGCCCAACATCGGACCTACCTGGAGACGCGCACCACGAGCCAGGCCACTAAAATGGCGGCACTGCGATCTGCACTGGATATCACAACCTCGCATGTCTGCAGACGAAAACAACCCGCTGAGCATCATCCTTACTAAATAAGTCCACACATGATCATGCCTTCTGACTACATGGAGAACGGGCTGAAATAAAAGAAATGTGTTTTGCCTGCACACTCATGTTTTCTTTAACCCCTGTGTGACATGTCATGATTCCCTTTTATTCTAGAAGTTTGGTCCTTAAGGGGTTAAAATGGTACATTTATTACCAATTCTCCAAGGGTATGCAAACGTTTGAGAACAACTGTAACATTTATTTATTGGACTAAGGAAAAGCCATTATCCAGCTCTGGAGCAATGTTATCTCTTAAAAGAAAAAGTAACTACATTTCCAAATCTTACACCAATAACAGATGACACCTTGTTTTAATGTCTCTGTGCCTACCTTGGGCCTTCCTTTCCTCGTGCACACTTTGTTCTGGAGCAGAATGAAACTGCTTAGAGTGAATATGTGACATGTTGACACACTTTCTGACAATGGTGGCAGATATTGTCTGTTTATCACTCATGAAAGATTCCAGCTGATCATGTGTGACGTTGTCCTCATTCTTTTGTAATATACACACGAAAGAGACGTATACCATTTTAGAAGAGTGCGATCCTTCGCTGAGAAGAGTATCTGTACAGGACAACATTACTGAGTTTTCTGGAGAGAGAAATCAAAAATCCAAATATGCTGTTATGCACTGTTCTGGAAAATGGGTCAATGAATAATATATGTGTTCTGACTGTAAGATCAAATTAGAGTCCATGAAAGAAGTTCTCTGGAAATATTTTTTATAACACATCTATAAATGACTGATGTTTTGTACATTATTCACTCATTGCAAAAGATTAGGAATCACATCAATATACAGAGTGCATAGCAGTATTGATTATCAATCAGAGCCGTGTTTCCAATACTTTTAAAAACAGAATGTAATGATGTGATGATTAATTCAGTTGGAAACATCTGGCTGCATGGAATTTTAGTGTGCAGGAAATATTCATTCAGGTATTAGGTACAATATCATCCAGGCTTGGTATGGCTTTAAAGGAACACTCCAAGCACTATAAGCACTACAGCTTGCTGCCCCGACATTGTAAGATTGTAAGGAGGCATTATCAGATGAACACTCTCAGCCAGCTTTGCTCAGAGGAGATAACAGAGGTTCCTGCTTATGAACTTCCAGCTCTCCTGTGATGGTTGTGGTATTTTCAACTGATAATAAAGACAATTTGGCTTAAAGGGTTATATTTTAACCTATAGTGGTTACTTATTAACACCCCTCCCTCCCCCCCTACGTTATTGTGCGCATACCTGTAAACTAATTTTTTTTTAAAACTTACTTAGAATCTGTTTCCGAACCAGTCTCCACCTACTTTGACATCACACCACGTCACCCAGTCCCTGTCTGTTGTCCAATCAAATGCTTCTCATAAAGAAGTATTGATGGACCTTAGGCGCATATGTGTTGAGCACCATGACATGCCAATCAGTGTCAGTAGTAAAGTTGACACTGCGCATGCACACAGTGTGTGCGTTCATGATTTACGAGATGAGCTAAATGAAAACCCCCAAATACTTCTCTTTTCAAACCAACTTTCTTAGTGAGTAATCGTTACTATACTACAACATTTTACACATGATTTTATGGTAGCACATTAATCAGTTGGTGATCGAAATATAGATTTTATTGATATATTTGTTTTGGTTTGTTTGAAAAGAGTAGCATTTTTTGTTTTCGTTAAGTGCCCTGCCTTTAACCCCTTAAGGACACATGACATGTGTGACATGTCATGTTTACCTTTTATTCTTTTATGCTTTGGTTATATTTTAGCACCCTTTTCACATATTTTTAGTTTACAAAATTAACTAAATGACAGCTCATCTTGCCGCTAACGCCTGCCTACCTCCCAGTTCTGGAGATGCCAAGGAAGAAGGAGGACAGCATAGAGGGCAGTATAGGGGAGTGAACAAAGGCACTGGAAGAAATAAAGGATAGTCCTATAAAACATAGGTAGGCGAGGGGGACTAGGAGGGCTGGCATTCCAGAAGAAGCCGTCAATTTTACAATGAGCCAATGATGAACAGGAATGTGTGTGCTTGAGTCCACGCACGCACATAGTCATACAGGCTTGTCCTTGCAGGCACGCTCACAGTGCTGCCTGCACATGAAGAAGCTCATTATGTCCATCACTAGCACACAGTTCATGCTAACAATGGACATTTTATGCACAGATTCGGTCAGTTTGGATTTGATTAAATTAATGAGCAAACAACTTGACTATTTATATGGGAGGGGAAGCCCGTCACTCCTGGCACGGTAACAACTACATAAGACTTAATGGTTATGGTGCTTGGAGTATTCTAATGGTCCGTGACATCCCATCCTTGTATTTTAATGAATAGCATCCCTTTAGTAATGTCTGTTACCCTTAATGTTCACTCCCTACCACAATATATATTCTAAAGTGCTAAGTAGATATATAAGTGCTACATAAATAATACATACAGACAAACAAATGATTCACCGTATGGATGACAGGAGAATTACTCATTGATTTGCACTGTATCATAGACACCATTAAGATAGCATGGCCCTATGTCAATTGCAAGTAGGAGTAAAGAGCCATCTTATAAGATATATTGCCTACCTTTGTTTATGGAAAACCCTTGCTGTGTTCCTGTTTCCTGCTGATTCCCCTTTAACCCCTTAAGGACCAAACTTCTGGAATAAAAGAGAATCATGACATGTCACACATATCATGTGTCCTTAAGGAGTTAAAATGACTTTTTCATATTTGACCTTGCATTGGATTAACCCTTGCTACACTGGTTCTCATTTGGACTGTCTTACCTAGTAAAGTAACTCTGGTAAAGGACTCTATTTTTTTTAAAGACATTTATTTGCACATTGAAATAATTACTTTACTGTTCCTTTATTTTCTGCATATGAAACCTGTATTTATGTTACAAATAAAAGGCCTGTTAATTTGGTGACTGTGCTCGCCTCCATCTCCTGACTGATTCCTCTTCTGCAACTGTCACTAGTCTAATACTATCCTTACCTTTTTGTGTCATTTTACCCCACTCCCTCTAGCATGTAAGCTCATTGAGCAGGGGCCTCAACCCCTCTGTTCCTGTGTGTCCAACTTGTCTGGTTACAACTACATGTTTGTTCCTCCACCCACTGGAAAGTGCTGCGGAATTTGTTGGCGCTATATAAATATAATAATTAATAATAATCTTACTCATTCTCCATCCTACTCACGTAAAATATATTTCTAAATCATATTCTTCAATAACCCTTAAAATAATTTCCCCTCCATAGATTTCATGCTCAAAGATGGCCCTTTTTAAAATATGGTCATCACAACTTATTTATGTGACTATTCTTGGAAGATTAAAAAACAATTGGTTACTGCAGTCACTAATCTACTAGGTACCCATTGCACTGTCTTCTGACCTAAGAGGTTTATCAAACTGTGCAATACAAGAGAATTTCCCTTGAGCCTCTTTACCTGTATTTACTTCTCAAAGTGGCATTATGTCAAGACTTGGGGAATTTCCGACTCAAGGTTTCATTTCATTTTTATCTGATGTGGCTGCTGCATTTTCTTGTTTGTTTAGTCTGACATTAGTCTGTCTGGATCACTTGTTTCCATTTTACAGACCGTAGAGAAAGATTTATATTGTATTATATCGATGTCATATGTTCTATAAAAGGATTGTTGAGTGAGCTCTTGAAAATCCATTTGAAATTCTGGGTTTTACTAGAGGAAACCAGAAAAGTTGCCCCAATTTGTATCAATCAATGTAATTCATTTCCTAAATACAGCAGTATTCCATTTTACAGAGCAGGACTCAATGTTTCAAGTCCAAGACTACTACACAGGCCAAAACAATACTTGCTCTTGCAAGCTTGGAGTGTCCATGGCACACTCACAGAGGCGGCTCTAGACTTTATGAGGCCTTAGGCGAAACTCAAACATGAGGCCCCACTAACAAAAAAATACATGCACACTGTCACATATACACATTGATGCACAGTTTACCTGTGTATGTGCCTGAGAGTGTGTCTGACAGAGAGTATCCGTGCGTGTGTGAATGTTTGTCTCTGTGAGCATGTTTGTGTTTTTGTCTGGGACCCTATGCGTATGGGGTAGCTGCTTGAAGTGTGTTGTGTGTATGGGGGGTCTGCCTGTACCCTTTGTCCATTGTGTTTATGGCAAAGCTATGTTTCTTGACTGTGTGTGCATGGTGAATGTCTTCAGCTGGTGATTGTGACAAGGTGAATAAAGGGGTACCAGTGGCAGGGAGAGCGTGACATGGCAAAGGGGGTAAACGGGACAGGGTTGGGGGGGTTAATGGACAGGGGGGTTTGTGAGAGAGAATGAGGGAGAGGGAGTATGACATGGTTTGATGAGGGAGTGTGACAGGGCGAGTGGAGGTAAGTGTGTCAGGGCAATTGTGGCATGGTAGGAGGAACGAGTGTGACAGGATTAAGGGGGGTTAATGTGACAGGGTGAGGGTGGCAGGGTTGGGGGGAGGGTGTGACAGAGTGAGAGAAGGCGAGTGTGACAGGATTAAGGGGGGTTAATGTGACAGGGTGAGTGTGGCAGAGTGTGGGCAGGTGAGTTTGGAGGGGGTGAGATTAACAGAATAAGGAGTGGATGCATGAAGAGGCTGACAGTGTGGGGGTGACAATGTGTGGGGAGGTGACAGTGTGGGGGGATATTAACAGTGTGTCTGGGGAGGCTGTGTGTGTGAGGGGGGTGATACTGTGTGTATGAGAGGGTGATGGTGTGAGGTAGAGGGGGTGGTGATGGTGTGAGGGAGGGGGAGGTGATGGTGAGGGGGAGGATGGGAGGGAGGAGGGGTGATGGTGAGAGGAGGAGGGGGTGATGGTGAGGGAGGAGGTGATGGTGAGAGGGAGGGGGAGGTATGGTGAGAGGGAGGGAGGTGATGGTGAGTGGGGGTGATGGTGACAGGAGGGGAGGCTATTTCAGAGGAGGGGTGATGGTGACAGGATTGGGGGATGGTGTGGGGGGTGATGGTGAGAGGAGGGGTGATGACAGGAGTGGAGGTGATAGTGTGGGGGTGATGGTGGAGGGAGAGGGGGAATGTGAGAGGAGGGGAGGTAGTGGGGGGTGATGGTGAGAGGGAGAGGGGGTGGTGGGGAGGTGATAGTGTGGGGGTGATGGTGAGAGGGAGGTGATAGTGTGAGGGAGAGGGGGTGATGTGAGAAGGAAGGGGTGATGGTGAAGGGGTGATGTGAGAGGGAGGGGGTGGTGATGGTGAGGTGGGGGTGATGCTAAGGGAAGAGGGTGAGGGTGGTGAGGGGGGTGATGCTGAGGGAGGGGAGTGATGTGAGAGGGAGGGGGTCTGATGGGGAGAGAGGGGAGACAACATACCTTGATTTATTCCCTGGTGGTCCAGTGTGGGCTGCCTGGTGGTCCGGTGGGCTGCCTGGTGGTCCCGTGGCCATTACTTCTGGTCTGCAGCGCTGCAGACCATGTATCTCGCGAGACCATCAGAGCGTTGCCGTGGTAACCCATGGCAACACTCTTATTGGCCAGTTCTCGGCGAGACACATGGTCTGCAGCTCTGCTCACTGCAGACCGGTTGTCTGCGATGGCTGGCCGGACAGACAGGAGGGCCTCGCACCCAGCACCATATTGGGCAAGCCGCCTGGCCCCCTCCTGGTGTCGGGTCCTCAGTCACCCTCAGGTGGTTTAGGCGCCTAATTAGACAGCCACCTCTGCACACTCACCAAGTCAAATTTGTACTCACTAGGTCCAAATTTGTACTTGCCAAAGTTCAACAGCTGTCACCAAAATCTATTGATCAGTTTAGCTAAGGTATGGGATTAGCTGTAATGTAAATACCCTATAGGTCCACAGACTCATTTTCTCTAAAAGTCAAACCTTTTCTATCAATATAAAATTAAATGCACAGGTGCAACATATATATATTGAATTGTATATCTAATAAAATACACAAAACAATTTACACAAAAAGTAATAATGTTTTTTATATTTGTTAAGAATTATATTAACAATCTTCACATCCAATTTATTTCACATATAACTGAAAATATATAGGAACTATTACTGCAACTATACCTGGTATAATAACAATATCAAGTTGTATATAATAAATGTCAAAAGTGCATAGTTACTCAATCTACAGCATGTAATACCTTAAATATAAAAAGGGGAGACTATTATTCTGCATCAATAGGTATTAGTGATGACAGGAAGCAGAGAGTTGTTGGCCCACAATAACACATTAGGCATGCTCATTATGTCATATTTTATTGTCACGAGCCGCGTGCGCATTCAATCACTCCATAGGAAAGCATTTCTCAATTTCTCACATAGCTTAGCAAATATAAAGGGGATTTAGTTGCACCTTATGGGTGTGTATGTGTCTGTCTGTTTGTATGTATATATGTGTCCTTGTATGTATATGTGTCTCGTGTGTGTGTGTCTGTCTGTCTGTTTGTATGTATATATGTGTCTTTGTATGTATATGTATATGTATATGTATATGTGTCTTGTGTGTTTGTCTGTCTGTTTGTATGTATGTGTGTCTTTGTATGTATATGTGTCTTGTGGGTGTGTCTGTCTGTCACACACACACTATTTCCTCAATCTGTATTTTGCAATTCCAGAGCATATTGCAATGTCACTGATTGCCTAACGGTAAAGGGAAGACAGTTTACAGGCAAATAGTGCTGAGTGAATCCACTTAGACACAAAAATAATCATTCACCCTATTGGGCAAGGCTGGTTGAAGGCAGAAATTAACCCCTAGCAGAGCCTTCATTGTTCAAGGCTTTCCCCTGTCTTCTACCACACACAATTTGACAAAACTAGGACACAAAATCAATGGACACTCCAAGTGCCATAACCAATACAGTTTATTGTAGTGCGTATGGTGTAAGGGTTGTATGGGTCTCTCTAGTTTTTGTTTATAAGCCTTTGTCAATTCAGTCACAATGTTGGCTGGGATTTATACAATATACAGATTAAGGAACAGCGTACACATAAGACTACTTAATCTGAGGAAACAAATATGGGGATTCAGTTCCACCATATGGCCATATCGTGCTAAGCCCACCACTACTCCACAGTACCCCAATATCGGTGGGTCCTACACTAATCCCAACGTATTTGTTTGCTGAGATAGATGATTTTACGTATCCTTCTAAAATGTAAAACTGTATTTTTATGAGTTCCTTAATTTATATATTGTATAAATGTTGGTCTCTACGGCAGTACCATTGCCGAGAAATGCATGTTCGGGGTGTGCCCCCAATTCCCTTTTTATTTCTTTACAATGTTGGCTAAGTTGATTCTTTATCCGTACAGATATTTTCAACTCAGACTTTTCAAGGCTGGTTGCCTACAATTTTTGTTGAACTGCTTAAAAAAGTTACGACAAATCAGACCTGCACCTTAGCCTCTTGGGACCATATCTAGTGGTATGAACTGTAGTTAGTGGATATGATGCCTGGAATTTCCCTTCAAACATAACCCCAACAGAAATGTGTCATTGCACCTCCCAAAAGGGACGCACCACACGGTAAATGGATGGGTCCGCCCAATGAATAACCAAGTGTGAACGGAAGTCACATGGCGAAACAGGGTTTCCTTTAAAAAAAAGTTGTGTGGACATAGATGTGTAAAGCACAGTTCATTAGGATGAGCAAATTGTAAAGCTCCAAACACTCCATGGCTTTCTGATACAAAATGTAAAGGAGAGTGAGCAGCCAAGACACAAACTCTTTCAAAAACTGCTGGCCCACTGACACCTGGCAAGAGCCTCATCAGGGGGACCAAGGGATACTTATCACTCTGTTCTGACTACGGTTGAGGTCTTGGGGCAGGTGATTATTAGAGGACACGAGGGGCAGTGGATGGAAAACTTAAGGGAACCTTGAGAGAAGAACGGCGAACTATGGGGATATATTGTTTTGTGGTTGCTTTCACGATCCTCTACGCATTGTGAATAATCTCACCTTTATTAAGACCTTCAGTCTATGGCCCAGGCTCATGAGGGGAGACTCCCTGGTACAGGAAGGGAATAAGAGATGGGGAGTAGGACCATTGAAGGACAACCCTATTCTATGGGGGAGGGGTTAACAGGAGAATGGGGAGGGTGACCGACTATGACACTACCTGTGAAAATTATGCAGGAGGTGAAAATCAGGCACAAAGTTCGTTAATGAAATTGCTAGACATTGCTCACATTATTTTATATAGTATGGTTCTATACGTATTGGTGACAATAAAGTAACCTTTTGACTATTGAAGAAACATAGAATGGACTCACATAATCTATTGAGATTCATTGAATTATTCACTAAAGAGAAAATTCAAGGTGAATTGAAATTGAATGTGAAAATAGCAAAATTTTCTAAGTCTATGCTTTCTGTTTGGCTGATCTGGCTTTAAATTCTGTTTGGCTGATCTGGCTAGTAAATAGCGTCACAATTAATGTATTTGCCTGGGCAGCAGGAGATATATTAGATGCTGGAGGAACATGGCATGGATTTACCCTGCTCCACCATTCATGAAAAGTGTCATCCAATGGAACAACACCAATAGTTTTCCCTAAGGCAGGGCCGACCCTTATCATTTAGCCATTGGGAAGATAATTGTGCGAAGTCCCTCTTGGCCACACACATATGTACAAACATACAATTCGTGTTTTATAATTTAGTGCATAAGAACTCATACATTTCTCTACACAAATCCCCACCCCCAGAATTTTAGGATTAAACTGTTTTAATTTCCAATTACTATTATGCAACACTTTCTCTAGAAATGTATTTACTAAAAACAGAATAAAATGTATTGTAGGGTTTCATATGTTGTATGTAAACAATGAACTGCAGTGAATTGAAAACAGCATTTACATTATGGAAATAAATTGGCTAGATTGCTAAAATAACTAAATAAATTCCAGTTTAGATATTTTGGTCTGATTTTTGCAAACAACTGTTTCATTTTATTAACCACGGTTTAGTAAATGGAAACCCACATAATATATAACATAGCTGTGTCTCATTAATATCTCATGTAGCCAAGACAATCTATCTGACAACTTGAAAGAAGTTGCACACCATGGTATACAGAGAAGCCTCTAAACAGAAAGGGTTCTGAGAAATGAATAATGCAGACAGATAAAATTAAATTAAAAAACTTACCTTTCACAGTCTTGATCATTTCAGGAATGCAAATAATAAGGACAATAATTATCCCAATGCATAGTTTTATTACATCAGATTTTGACATTTTACACACGTGTCACTAGGTGACTGCATGTTCACGCCATGTCTGTCTTACTTTTCCTGGGTTCTGAGTATTTTTGTGTGTAGTCATTTCCTCCGTTTAGCTACAGTTCTTGTTTTCTGTTGCTCTGTGACACATTGCGCTGGAGACATGATTTGTGCTGCAAGAACAGTTACTGTAATATCATCTGATGCCAAAGTGTACATTACACAAACAGTTAATAAATCATGTCTTGACGGTAGGCTTATAGTGCACTGTTGGTACTGCGCCAAAGTGTATCCACCAAAATTTGTAAAAAAAATATAAATAAATAAACTTTATCCCTATTTCCTAACTTTAACTTGCACTCTGTTCCCTAAGTACTGATACTATTCTGTAACCACTCTCCCTATTCTCTAAGTGGTCACCCTATTTCAAAATAACTCCTTAACCCCTCGTCCTATAGCCTAATAACGCACCCTATTCCTTAACCACTCACCATATTCCCCAATACCCCTATTCCCTAACTATTAGCCCTATTCCTAACCATTAACCCTATTCTCTAAGAACTCACCCTATTCCAAAATAACTCACCCTATTCCATAACCCCTCGCCCTATAACCTAACCACCCACCCTATTGTCTAGCCACTCACCATATTCTCCAATACCCACTTTTCCCTAATCATTAGCCCTATTCCCTAACCACTCACTCCATTCTCCAATCTTCCTATTCCCTAACCATTAGCCCTATTCCCTAATCACTCTCCCTATAATCCAATCACCAACCCTGTTCTATAACAACTCTCCTATTTCCTGAGCATTTACCCTATTTCTAAATCACCCACAATATTCCCTAACCCCACTCCCTATTGTAGGCTTGGGCACAATGAAAAAAGTGGTTTGTCCAAATTGATTATTATATTAAAAAAATCCAGGACTCAGGATTCGTCCATGTTTGAATTTTGGTTTGGACAAATTTTATTTATGAAATGATTTTCGGAAAAATCATTCAGTCTAAACACTCCACCAGGCTACGAGTCAACTACGAACTGCTGGAATACAATACCAATGGACTAACCCAAGAACCCTCATGGTGTTCCACAATGGTACTGACCATAAAATTACCTCGGCTGAGGAAGCGCCTGCACTGCTGCGAGCACTGGGACTACCTGCCTCTGGCGGAGAGCCAAGAGACCAGAGGAGAACGCATACCTGGGACCCAGCCAAAGTATTAGCCTTCACACCTCAGGGTCACATGACCACAGACACTGAGACATGACTGTACGCAGAACCCAGTGAACGACAAGCGGCACTGAGCAGCGATCACTATACACCGTTTTAACCTTTTTTTGTTTTTTTCTCAGGTTTCTTATAATTCTCTTTGTCTTCTGTTGCATAACCGACTAGCCACAGCTACCACAACACCCCTCTCACCCATCGCAGCCCCCTTGGTTAGGGGCACTAACAACTACAGCCGGACCTAACTCCTTCAGTAGCAACACTACTATTCTTTATAATCTACACCTGACAACCGAGGCTGCACCAAAACTGAGGCACCCTCAGACTTCCACGTGCAAAAACCCCAGCTATCACCTAGCTACACGACCACTGCTAGCAGCCACCAAACAGCTTACTAGAGTGGGAGGGGTACTGAGGGACACTGGATACACCAGAGCAATAGACTGACGTTCCCTCTCACGCACAGCACTGCCCTCTAGCTACTATATGTGATTTAATCTCATGATTTATGCTTATGTTCAAGTGTCTCCTACTCCACCTGATCCCACTACCCCTCAGCGCCCAGTTACTAAAATGTCTGGTGGTCCCCTTTCCTTAAGCTGTGACTAATACCCTTGTATAACTAGCATGTGCAGTCTTAGTATACAATTTGAATGTTTATGCAGCTGCTTTACTAACTACTTGCACCAGGTTATCGCTTGTAGACTACTTACTCTATACACCAAAAGGTTAATTCGTTCTAAATGGCTAACTAGCCTCATATCACCTAACTGGCAGCCATAGTCTACATGGGAAAAGCCTCACACTCTAATTAGACTACCTTTGATACAGCGAGTACAAGTAGACTACTACACTAGGCTTAACCAGCATGTTTTAAAGCTCTCTAGGTCCACATACAGTTAAGGCGCAGCAGCTTAGCATGTTACTGCATACTCAGCAATTAAATAGTCTAACCGCAATAGCCTGCCCTAAGAATTAGTATCTGGTCACAACACTAATCGTACTGTAATAATTTTACATTATAGTTAAGTAAACGAGAACCTACGCTGTTGAAATAACAATCTAACTAACTTAAAAATGGGCCTGAATAACAAATGCCACAACCTGTACTGCAAATGTTTACCAATTTACCCTGATGTCGCCGTTGTGGCGCACCAAGGATATATGTTACTTTTGTGCACAACAAAAATAAAGAATTGTAAAAAATAAAAAAAAGTATTGTTAATACAGAAATCATTATGTCTAACTTGTACTTATCAGCCTATTTAATAATTAATTTAATAGTGAATTTTATGTGTGTCAATGTAATTGTTAGTGGTTGGAAGGTATTATCCATGATTCAGGCTTAGGATTGTATATTGTTTTGATAGTATTATATAAAACAATTGGTCATAATAAAAGTTGGCTTCAACCACCTTGACCACTTCTGCTTTTAGGAGTGGTCATGGAGGTAGGAGTCTGGTTTTGCAGCGTGCCTGCTTGAAAATTAAAAGAATGGAATCATGCTGTAGGTATTACGTCCATATACAATTAATACAGCTGCCTGTCTATATAACCAGATATCTGTACTATACAAAATGTTGCTATTTTTCTCAGCACACAAGCCATTCAGTGTACCAGAGATCTCTCCTACTTACTAATAACCATAAGCAGGGTATTTGACTAATGTTATCCATTTATTTTGTCACACCTAATCTATTTGACAAAATCAGGTCTCTTTCCAGCTGTCCCAATTTTTGGACTATGTGTACTGCTTCAAGGTACAGCAGAGACTAGATTCCCAGAAACCACAGTGTGAATATATATCATAATATACACTTGTGCTGTGAAAACTATACTCTGAGATTGGCAGGCTAACTTGGTTGCCAGTCAGATTGGCATGCAAACATGGCAGACTGACATGTCCCTTTTCAGCCGGTACCTGTCCATTTATTGTATAGGTGAGTTTCCAAATTTTTTTTTTTTTTTAATTTGACAATTTTTATTAATATTTCAAGTTTTGTAGGGGTACAGAAAAGAAGGGTGGTTTCGGGGGGAAGCCGAGTACAAATAGTTTATTTATCATACATTCCCCAACATAAAGCAACGTAAAGTGTATTGCTCCTCCCCGCTGCCCATAAGCTGCAGTTCTGTTAGTGAGGCCCTGTAGTGTGGGTGTTGTTTGCCAATGATGCTAGGTGGGTCATACTCGGCCTAGTGCATAGTAGTGCACGGGTAGTCCACATGGGCGGCTGGGTCTTATTATCGTTAGGGGATGCTTGTGGATTGTTATTTAGGGAGGTGGGGGGAGAAACGGGGCTGAGGTCTGCTTAGGTTTCCCTCTGTTTCATGAGGGCTTTGCCCCAGGATTCTGCGTTAGGTTGTGTTCGTCTGGCCATCAATTCATAGGTGCAGTTGGTTTCTACTGTGTGTATGCATTGAGTGATTGTGGGTGGATTTGTATCTTTCCAGTGTCTGCTAATTACAGTGAGGGCAGCTATGAGTATGTGGTATAGTATGTATTGTTGCATCTTTTGCATTCCTTTCAATGGTAGCAGGAGTGGGAACGTTTCTGGTTTGAGGGGGATGTGTATGCCTGTGCATTGTTGTGAGAGATGTGCGACATTTTGCCAGTATGTTTTGAGTATTGTGCAGTGTAACATTGTGCCTTTGTCTGATTTGCACCTCCAGCATGCGTCTGAGACATTCGGGTAACTGCGTTTGAGGCGTGTGGGGACTAGGTACCATCTGTATAGTACTTTGCGTGACAACTCCACATGTGATGTGCAAAGGGTCATTCGTTTCTGGGCTTGTAGTATTCTCTGCCATTGGGCGTCCATTAGTTTGTATGTGAGTTCTTTTTCCCACGTTGCCTTGAATAAGAGAGAGGCTATATTATGTGTGGTATGTTCGGAGGCGTATATGATGGAGATGAGTTTGTTTGGTGGTTTGAGTTGTAGGCACATATTTTCCACTTTTGTCAGAGGGGTGTTTAGCTTCGCAGGGGGTTGTTCTTTGTATTTCAGCTTGATCCAGGATTGAAGTTGAGTATATGAGAATTGTGCTACTGTGGGTAGGTGGAACTCTTCTTGGAGATGTGTGAATGGTTTGAGGTTTGAGTTGTGGAGTAGTTGGAATAGAGAGTGTACCCCATGTCTATTCCAGAGCTTGTGATTGAAGTCGGGGATCAAGATTGGCACAGCTGCTAGTGGTAGTGACGGAGGGATATTTCTCATTAGGCCTTGCTTGGTTCTGTGGTTGTCCCATAGAGATAAGGTTAGTTTTGTTGTGGGTAGAATGCTTTTGCACGTGAGTCGTTTATCTCTGGGTAGCCATGCTAGTTGTGTGAGCGAGTGTCTCTCTGCAAACATTTGTTCGATCTTCATCTAAGTTAGTGGTTTGGTGCGATGGAATGCTGAGAGTAAGGGGGCGATGTGTGCAGCCCTATAGTAGCTCATCACGTCGGGCATGCCCATGCCACCTTGGTTGAAGGGTTTATACATCGTTGTTTGTGCAACCCTAGGCCTTATGCCTCCCCATGCAAATGAGTTGAGGAGTTGTTGCATGTTTTTGATATATTGTGTAGGTAGCTTGATTGGGAGTGTGCGGAATAGATATTGGACTTTTGGCAAGAGTATCATCTTGATGGCTGCTATTCTGCAGGTCCAGGATATGTATTTTCCTTTCCATCCTTGTGTGGTAGATCTCAATTTGTTCAGCAGTTTGACGTAGTTAGCTTTGTGTAATTTTGCAGTTCCTTGTGTTATGTTTACTCCTAAGAATGTGACGTGGTCTTTACGTCAGTTTCTAAAGTTTTACTAATCCTTGAGCAGTTTCTAATATAGATCTCAATTGGTT